CATGCCTGTTCCTAGATGATCCATAAAGTAATTATACATTGACCCTTTCATTCATGCAAACGTAGCTGTGTTACACAACACGACCCTCTGCATCTTTTGCTCTGCCAGGGTCCACCTACTTGACAATGAACAAAGACCACTCTTCATATAACATCACGCTTACAAACATAAAGGTGCCTGTATCTCCAAACTTTACAATGAAACGTGGTGTTTTTATTAGAGCAATGGGCTCGGCTTGGCCAACAGCACCTTGTGTGAAAGTTTCGCGATCAATGTCGCAAACAGCCCAAAAAATATTTTTTGGTCGTCGTCGTCGAAGAGGTCGACCCCCAGATCCAGTTTGGCTGGTAGCGACATTGCGAAATCTGGGATCGCCCACGATGAACTTCATACTTTGACACAAGATTCCTTTGACCCCGACGAGCACGTTGATCTATTAAAGAGCCCACGTTTGATTGTAAAGTTTGGAGATACAGGCACCTTTATGTTTTACATATGCTGTAAGGGTGATGCTATATGAGAAGTGGTCTTTGTTTAATGTAAAGTAGTATGACTATAAATAATAGAGCAAAAGATGCAGAGGGCGTGTTTGTGTAACTTGAGTCATTCAGCACAGGCGATGCATGATTCTTGTACACTATTTAGGAATAGTTCAAAATGCCAGCTAATAATCCATTCCTCCCATTCACCTTTGTGGCCCAATCCAATGCATACGAACGATTGTCTTGCTCTTAGCCCAGCATGTCCATCATTCAACTTTCTTGATCCGAGAGGATTTGACTGAAAAACGCTCAAACACAGAAGTATCATCCAATATCAGAAGAATCAAATTGGTAAGTTATTTGTAAACTGCCACTCGATAGCCCATTCCTTCCATTCACCTTTGTTGTCCAATCCAATGCATATGGACGATTGTCCTGCTCCAGCCCATCATCTCCATCCTTCAACTTTCTTGATTCGAGAGGCTTTGATTGAACAACGCTAAAACAAAAAAAAGTACATACCATCCAACATGAGAAAGATCTATTTAATGTCCAGGTCTTCCACTCCCAGCTCATTGACTCTTCTTCCTCCAATTCTCAACAGTTGGTGCATTCACGTACAACTACAACCTTGCGAACGATTGCCCTACTTCAACCCATCATGTCAATCCCACAACTGCCTTGATCCGATTGCCTTTGACTGAATGGCAATCCATGGCATGTGCGCCTCATCTGCAACACCCGCGTTTCATGACACTTCACCTTCTCTTGCACACTCCTCTACCACGACCAATCGTAACAGCATTCATTGCAGCAGTCGCTATTAGCAAAGCCTTTACTCCATTGTCTCAAACAGCGTTCTTTACTTGCGGCAGCTTGCCATACAGCTATTTTTACATGAGCAGCAGATAGCCCTTGTATAATAGCAGCATTATTTACATATAGCAACTTGCTACAATACATACGAATTTTTATGGATATGGATTGGTGCATGGGATGGAAGGATCTGGATATATACAAGGCGTGGAAAACGCATCTTTGTTCTTATGCATCGATTGCTGTTAACTTGAACATTATGCATGTTGCTATCATCCTGGGCAATTGGTAAATACACGCTATTCCATGGCAACCACTGTCATTATTTTTTGTGCAATCTGTCAACCATCATCATCCAATTTCGACACGCCATCCATATGATTTGGCAACACGCATCACGGATCACCTTGCGTCTATCCATTCACCTTTTCACGATACACGCCAAAGGATAAAAGCTTCCTCAGTTACACCTCATCATGTGTTGGCGCGTGAAGAAGGATACATGATATGGCAAATGCAGGATGGTAGAGGTATCTACTTGTGGATGGCGGGATAAAGGAAAAGGGAGGAAGCGAAGAAAAGGTCTGATTGAGTCATTGTGTCCTGAAGAACAAAGCCTGTATTCGATACTATAGCTCTCTTCTCCTTTCTTTGTGATTAGATCTTGTCAATAAAGCCAACACACGTTCCTATTTGATGATATGGATGATGATAGCCAGTTGACTTGTCGATGTCGTATTATGTGGTCCTCACTTGATGATATAATCAAGATGCTTTTTATGATGATGGTACTCGAGGAATATTCTATTGGTATTAGCATTGATATTATAACAATGAATGGCTTGCAAATACAATGAATATGCATCAAGGGGGGTTACTACTACTCTCCTCCTAATGCATGCATCATGCACCGATCGGGGTAATCGATCCGACCTATGTTGCACAAAGGGAGGCTGACAATGATCTCATAAGCATGATGAACACGTTTTGATAGGTGCATCACTGTGTACGGGGGGTGATAGGTCACATGAGTACTTTAGACAGTGATAATGAGCATGTAACCTTACCCCTTATTTACCGAGTAATGACGAGTGGAATTTATTCACATGACAATGACTTGGCCATGTCAAGAAGTGTGTGTGTGTGCGTGTGTGTTTCAAAAAGACAAATTTCCCGACGACATGTTATTGACTTGATGTTATTGTCAATGGGTTGGTTGGTTGGTTGGGGGAGAGCAGTGGACAATTAGCTCATATTGTTGGGCGTGGAAAAAACAATCAAGGAGAGAGAGAGAGAGAGGACATTGTACAAGGTCGAGAGCCGCGTTGACAGGGCGATGATCCGGTGTTCGGAGAACGGGTTATATAAAGAAGCACGCATCACACACAGTGTGTGTATCCCTTTGAACAACGACAACAACGACCCAAGACATTCTTTCACCCGAAACCTTTACTCTTTCTTTCCCCACTTTTCTTACATCATGTCATCACCTTTGCCTGTCAATGCCAAAGGTCTCTCTGATCGGAATGGTGGCAGCGGCCTTGACGATGAGAACAACAACGCCAATTACCTATCTTCGTCATTTGACCGAGCTTCTTCCACGGCTCGTTTAAGTTCTTCGCCTATTCCTCCACATGTCTACAGCTCTTCACCCACACGCAGTACATCAGGATCGATCTATGGAAGTACGGGAATACCACACAACAATGCTTTGGAGCGTGTAGCAAGTACAGCAGCAAGTAGTATTGGTGGAGGCAGCAGTAGCAATAATGGCGAGTTACCCGAGACACAAGTTGCCAAGGCTGTGAAACGACATCTTGTGGATACGGCTACTTCTTCGCCAGCAGGATCCATTCATCACTATGATAGTCCAGGCAGTGTGGGTGATTATGATACCGATGATGATGCAGATGCAGTAACAAGCGTACATCAACTCCCTGGTGGATCTATTACACATGGCATTTACAAATGGGCTGAAGACGTCGAGAATAATCAATTGCAACGTAAACGTACACGATCCATGATGGTCCCATCGGCTGAACATGAGGATCCTAGTCTGGCCCATTTACGGGCACCCGGTGGTTTCCGTCGCCACTTTGTCGCCCAGCGTGCAGCCAAAAAAGGAAAAACACCCTCTCCTTGGATAACTCGGTCCTTTGTGGAATTCCTTGCTCTTTATGGCCACTTTGGTGGTGAGGATTTGAGTGATGATGAAGGAGAGGAGGATGAGGATGAAGAGGAAGAACAAGAAGGCGGTGATGAAGAATCTCCCTTGTTGCCACGTGAAGCACAAGCTCCCCAAGGAACAGCAACGCCAACCAAAGCCGTGTTTTTATTACTCAAATCATTCATTGGCACTGGTAAGTAAAAAGGAAGGATGGGTGACCATATGAAAAAAGGATAGGATGGCTAAAAGGTACACTATCTTCTTGTAGGTGTGATGTTTTTGCCAAAAGCGTAAGTGGTTACACTTGGCATCGAGAGAAAACATCCAAAATGACTGACATTGATTTATGCAGATTTGCCAATGGTGGTCTGATCTTTTCCACAACTCTGTTGACCGTTATTTCCATCATCTCGTTATATTGTTTCTTGTTATTGGTTGAAACACGTAACAAGGTCCCTATGTCTTTTGGTGATATTGGTGGTGTCCTCTTTGGAGCCAAGATGCGGATGGCTGTATTGGTTGCAATCACTGTGTCACAGGTAAAAGGAGTTATTTTGGTAGTAGTGGATTGATTAGTGGGGGCTAACCCTTGTATGTTTCAGGTTGGTTTTGTGTGTGCCTACATGGTGTTCGTCGCCCAAAACTTGCAGGCTTTGGTGGAATCGGTGTTCCAGTGCAAGGTCAACATCCCGCTTGCATTCCTGATTCTCGGTCAAGTTTTGGTGTTTGTGCCACTCGCCATGATCCGCAAGATCCAAAAGTTGTCAGCCTTTGCCTTGATTGCAGATCTTTTTATCCTGATTGGTCTCGTGTATTTATACTACTATGACTTTTTGATGTTGGCTACGCGTGGTGTAGGAGAAGGTGTCATTTGGTCAATCAATCCCTCGTCGTTCCCAATGTTCATTGGCACAGCTGTATTCACCTATGAAGGTGTGGGTTTGGTTATTCCTATCACCGAATCCATGAAGGATCCCAAGAAATTCCCTGCCGTCTTATCAGGTACCATGGTGTTCATCACTTTGCTCTTTTTGTCGGTGGGCTTCATCTCGTACATGGCATTTGGTAAAGAGGTGCAAACCGTTATCTTGCTCAATCTCCCACCTGGTGGCCTTGTTGATAGCATCCAAGGTTTATATGCATTGGCCATTTGTTTATCCATTCCATTGCAATTGTTCCCTGCCATCCGTATCATGGAAACCGGTCTTTTTACTCGCTCCGGAAAACATAATCCTGTGGTCAAGTGGCAAAAGAATGCTTTCCGCTTTGTCACGGTGCTCGTATGCGCTGGTGTTGCTATTGCTGGTTCTGCTGATCTTGACAAGTTTGTTTCGCTCGTTGGATCTGTATGCTGTGTTCCTTTGTGCTTCCTTTTCCCACCACTTTTCCATCTCAAAGCCATTGCTCAAACCTTCCGTCAAAAAGCAATCGATATCACCATCATTACATTTGGTCTTGTGTGTATGGCATACACCACTTTTATCACCGTGAGTCTCTGGTCATCTACTAGTGAAGCTCCTCCCCTATCACGCTGTCAATAGATAATTGTATATGTATACCATTTCTTCATTCATTAAACATGACATGCTTCAAATCATACATTCATGGTTAGTTACAAAGAGGGATTGTAAAGGCGATAATGGGGTTGAAAGACATTGATCCACAATACACGTGATCACAATTTAAAGAGGCCATGCATGTTGTCAGTGACACTGAATATGTAAGGTACTTTATGAAATGGTATGATGTCTAAGTCTAAACTTCTAAGGTTATGTACAATGGATGATGAGTATGCGATAATGTAAAAGTTATGCTGATTCTTCTGTTGACAAAGGTGGTAATTCTCGACCAGCAGCCTTCCATTGTTTGAGCACATCCCCAGGTTCACCGAGGACATCGCTAGCCCGTACACGTTTATGATAATCATGCTCGCACTTGACACCACTCTTGCCAATGACAATACGATCCTGCTCAGGAGATTCACCCTTTTTGATAAACGCACGTACACCATCAATGATAACGGGACCTTCAGGATTGAAATAATGCGAGGTTTGCGTCTTGAAATCATGGACGACATCGTAGCATTGCAAGCGGCCACATGTGTTGAGGAATTGGGAGGCGCATTTTGAGCAGCACAGCATGAGCAAATTGCATGATGCATGGGAACAGTTTTGATATCGGTTGCATGGTTCGCCACAAATATGGCATTTGCCAAGGACTTGATCGGTGATAGGCTCACCCATACGCTTGTCAAAGGTGAAATTGCGGCCCTTGAAGAGTGATGTGCGCTTATCCTGTTGCTCCTTGATCCATCGACCATACGCTGTAATTCCACCTTCCACAAGATGTACTTGTTTGAAACCAGAAGCTGATTGAAGAATGGCACCCGCCTTGCTGCATCGAATACCACCTAACATTGGAAAACGATTAATAAGAGATCCTTTTTATGACAATGCATATCATCTTTTTTACCTGTGCAGTACATGAAAACTTCTTGATCTCGAGGAACATCCTTGCAAATCTCATTCATCGACTTGACGCTACCACGGAATGAATCCACATTGGGTCGAATGGCACCTTCAAAGTAGCCAATCTCACTAAAAAAAGCGCCCCCCCCCTCGTTAATCTCATGTGATTACTCCACATGTCCCATTTTTTACTTGCCTTTCATAATGGTTTCTCATATCAATCAAAATGGGATCCTTGCCATGCGTTTCCTTGTACTTTGAGAGCTTTTCATGCCATGCAGCAGGAGACAAGTGGGATGGCTGATTGGTCAAATCATAACTCTTGGGATCCAAACCATCGGCTACCAACTGATGTGCATGTGTTAATCACCCCATCCAATACCATTGAGTCATGATCTTTACCTGTTTACGAATGCGAACGTGGAGAGCACGGAATGCAGCTGGCCCTGCCGAATCCTCGGTACCGAAATTCAAATCCATCAATTGACCACCGAGCTTTGGCTTAAGGATGTGGTTGCAATAGGTCCTCAATTCTTGGATACGCCATTCGGGGCAAGAGAGCTGTGCATTGATACCTTCATGAGCAATGTAGACACGCCCTACAATGTCCAATCGACCGAGATCGTCCAAAAGCTGTTGTCGGAAATGAGCTAGATCCACCTGGGACAAGTCATGAAACTTGTAAAAAGCCAAGGTACGGTACTGCAATGGCATGGGTGTTGTTGCTGTCTCCTCACAAGTTGCCGTTGCTGTAGCAGTGGCCGTCGTCGTCTTTGTCATTGTGGCAGTGGCAATGTGGGATCGGCCAATGAGGATCGAGAGTGCAGGACCAACGACAGGACGACATGTTGATACCGCCACCCCTGGAAGGACTCTCTTGGCGACTAGACGAGGTGTTGACGTACGAGATACATTGCGTGCTACCAAGAACAAAGGGTGGCCAAGTCGATGGAGCATGTTGCTGCTGGTAGAAAAAGGAAAGAAGGAAAGAAAGAAAGAGAGCGATTGTGTATCTGAGCTTGTCAAAATAATGAGGAGGCCCAGCTAAATAAGTGTGGCGTGATTATCCTTTCAGTGTCACCAGCCTATCACCACAACCACAACCACCACTGTCATATCCTGAAAGTGGGTTTCGTTTGCTATGCCTTGTCGATCCTTCTTCTAGTCAATACCACTTGTTTGAAATCCTTGTATTATCTTTCAACCAGTATTAGAATAAACAAATAGTTGTATGTATCCCCGCAGCTAAATTTCATGCAATATCAAGTTTATCTTCATTCATCATCTTCATTACCACCATCCAATAACTACTCTTATATACATGATGATGAGCTTACGATGATTCAGGTGATGGATGGCCTTTGATAGAGTGTGTCAGTCGACCAAAACAAACATAGCTGCACTCAATTGCTGTAATGTTGACATGTGCTACTACGTACTCAAAGCACCTTTTTTTCCAATCCCTATCATCTACCTTTTTGTAAATTATAGCTTGAGTGAGTAAGACTATGGACATGGAGGAAATAGGCTGTGATCCAATAGCTTGTTGGTGAGGACAGCATATTTGAAACATCGGAGCAGATGAGTCCGCTGTGTAATGCCGGTGATGATGCACGTGCATTATGCTCTGCAGGATGAGACGAGGAGGAGAAATAGAGTAGTAGCTATCACCTATGATCGATCATGGCATGACTTTCGACAACAGCACATGATGATGGGTATCTAAGGAGTCGTGAAAAAGGAATGCTACTCGATGCAAAAGGGGAAGGGGGAGTTGGGTGGGAACTTGTTAAACTTTTGCCTGGGAACCATGGTCGTCGTCGCTGTCGTCGTTGCCATGTCGTATCTTTTACAAAGGACGACCATGTTCACTGCCCGTTCCCTGACCAAAGCAAACAAGTATGTTACGCACACACATACACCACCCATGGAAACCAGGTGACAAGGGAATAAAAATGGTGATGATATATTTCCTGCGTGCGTGCGATAAGCATAGTTTTTTTTTTGTACCCTTTCTCTCTCTCTTCCTCCCCTCACACTCTCCATTTTTCATATCCCTCTTTCTTTTTTTTCTTTTATACAGCTTTATTACTACACCTATTACTACTACAGTCCTAATGGCACAACACGACGAGCGCATTGCGTACTATTCAACATTATGCGAACAATTGTACAACCCAAAGTCATCGGCTGAACGAGACCAAGTGCAAAAGATGCTCGAGTACAGCTTCCCCACATTTGCAGGCACGGGTGGCATGGTACCGCAACAACAACAACCTCCTGGCATGGACAACAGCCCAACGTTCGCCATTGTCACTCCAACGGACACTGCTTCTGCTTTGCGAGTGCTCTTGGAAAACTCTCCCAGTCCTTATGTTCAGACGTTTTGCTTGTCCCGCTTTAAGCAGCTTATTCAGGCGCAGTTTACTCTCTTTTCAGATGAAACCAAAGTGCAACTACGTAAGTTACAATCGCATCCATGGTGGAAGATCCAAAAGGCTTATCATGAAAACCTAGGATCTTTTTTGTTGGAATACTGCTTTATGCATACGGATCTTGAACCCTTTGTGATCACTCAGCTAGCAGGCGTCTTGGCATTGTTGACAAGATTGGGATGGCTTGATGTGGAAGAATATCGAAACGTACAAAAGGACATCCATCAGTTTCTTCAGGCAAGTGTGTAAGATATACCTTCTCGGGCAAACAGCATATGCATGTCGGATCATAATATGTGTGGTACAAGGAGCTGATTTCAGGGACATACGATGTAGGCATCGGTGGATCATCGTATCGTTGGTATGCATATCCTTGCTGTTTTAATACAAGACATCCATGATTCCCCAAGTGCACCATGCAACACTGCAAAGTTTAGAAAAGCAGGTAAGAGAGGGATGTGGTCAGCGGCATGAAAAGCAAAGGAAGCCTAAAGTGTGGTTTTTATAGCTGCTTCATTCCGAGATACCCAGCTTTATGCAATCTTTGAAACCACGTTCAAGACATTAGACAATCTGCTGCGACATACCATCCCCTTTGATAAACGTAAGCGATCCATTTCATTCGACCATTTCCATGCATACTACTAACATGCCATATATACAGCTGGACAAGAAGACAGGCTACGGCATGTCACCATCAATGTCCTTCTTAAATGCCTATCATACGATTTCGCAGGCACAAGTTTGGATGAAGCTGGGGAAGACATTGGCACTGTACAGGTAAACTTCCCATAAGACATTGAGATGATGTGGTATTAAATGATCATGGTAGATCCCTTCTTCTTGGCGATACGTCTTTGAAGATGATAATTTCATCCCAACATTATTTGGAGCTTATCAAGCATTTCCACCTCCGTTATCAGCAAAGGCAAGTAAACGTGGTTGGGATCATTGGGGAGGTTAACAAAGATTGACAACAATTGGTTTTAGGTTATGGAATGCCTTGTACTGGTAGCATCCGTTCGAAAGGGGCTATTTGAGACCGACAATCAGCGATCCAAATTTGTGGTCAGCCTTATGAAAGGGATCAGAGAGGTCATTCTTACATCTCAAGGCATGAACAATGTGGACAATTACAATGAATTTTGTCGGCTTCTTTTCCGATTCCGATCGTCAGCACCACTGAACGAGATGGCGGAGAAACCTGACTATGGGGAGTGGATCGAATTAATCGCGGATTTCACATTGAAGGCCGTGCAATCTTGGAAGGTATGGATCATGTGATTGGATCAAAAGTACAGAGGAGCTGATCTCATCCCCCCTTGGTCATAGTGGGCTCCCAACACAGCTGCTTACCTATTGGGATTTTGGTCTCGTACTATACAAAGCATGACCTATTATCAAAAGTTGGGCGAAATCACTGCTGAAAAGCTGGGAAACATTAGTGTTGAGGTGAATAGCAAGGAAAAGCTCGTGACAACAAGGATACTCATCATTGGATGCAATTCCTTTTTACAGCTCACACGCATCTACGCCACCACAAACGTTGAATCGGTTGCTGCAAGAATAGAAGAAATGCTGGATGGTATGTACTTGAAACTTTTGTATCATTCAACAGGCAAAATAAGTTGACTATAATATTATTGCAGATCCATTAGAGAGCGAAGAAGACCTTGTAGAAAACCTGGTGATGCTTGGTCAAATTGCACGGTGCAAGTACGAGGGATCTACCGATGTCTTGATTGCTGTGTTTGATCCAATTGCTATACAGTATCAGGTAAAGTGATCTCAAGGAGGAGGAGAAAAAGTGATCCATGATTGATACTTTTATTAGGAGTTGGTTACGCAAATTACAGCAGGTGTAGCTAATCCAGACGCCCTTCGGGATACAATGGAAGTGGTTCAACTCAAGATTGCATGGTTGGCATACATCTTGGGGGCCTTCATTGGAAGTCGACCAGTGAGTAGCGCACATGTATAGGATGATGGAGGGTGGCAAGCAATACTTACTTGATTACATATTCTATGTAGTCTTACATGAGCAGGATTGAAACCGATGTTATTGATGGGAGGCTCATAGCCAAGGTGTTGCAGCTGATGGAGGTCAACCAAGCATTACAAAGTCATCTTGGCGAGGCATCCTTGAATCAAAAGCTTGAAATGGCGATCATTTTCTTCTTGATGCAATTCCGGAAGTCGTATATCAGTGAGACCAACGTGGTAAGTTAATCAAGAAGTCGAGGTATATGCCACAATGCTCTAATGTAGTAATCATGATATAGCTATATCCTGATTTAGCAGAAGCCTTTGGTATTACGGATCCAAAGATGATATTGAACGTAATGATGACCAAGATGTAAGTGTGCGTGTGTGTAATGTTTATTGTAAATGGGTTGCTGATCATAATGTTCTTAGAATCAAGAATCTGCAAGTATGGCGACACAATGAGCATGTGATCCGGAAGACGTTGCAACTTTTTAATGAGCTTGCTAGCGGGTGAGTGATACAACATCTAGCGCAAGATACTCTGGTCTAAATTAACCTTGATATTCTTCTTCTAGATTCAGTGCAGTGAGAAATTTACGCAAGACCGAAGCAATGCGGATCATGTTACAAAACCACATGTCGAGTGAATTTGCGTTCTTTGAAAACGAGCATCATCAGCAGAATCGGATGTTGTATTATCAAGTGTTATGCAAGGTGTTATTTGCGGACGACCATTGTGAATCCGATTTCTACGCATTCATGCGACCTTTTGAAGAACGTCTAGAACCGTTGGAAACATTGGATTCAGTGGATGCATTTCGCCAACCTGCAGTTCGGGTAAGTGGATCATCCTATTGTTGTTGATGGATGCACCTCCTACTCACATGTACATACATACACTTGGGTTAACACAAACGTGGTAAACGATTTAGCTTATGCTGCAAGATATCTTTCGAGATCTAAGAGGCTTTATCCAACCCATCCAAAACCGACGCGACTATACGTTATTCTTCAATTGGTTTTATCCCGAATACATGCCGATCTTGTTACGTGCCTTGGAAGTGTGGGCGCCGGATCCATCCGTGGCGAATGTTTTGCTAAAGTTTTTTGCCGAGTTGGTCCACAACAAGAGCCAGAGACTCAACTTTGATGTATCCTCCCCCAACAGCTTATTGCTTTTCCGTGATACGAGCCGTCTTATTTCAATCTATGGTCGGCATGCACTCGACATTGCCGAGGTAAATGAAAAGTATGCTTGCAAGTAAGTTCTTGTCCTACCCACCTAACCCCCCCCCCAATGGATGATCGCTGTACTTATCATGGATAGGTACAAGGGCATTTCCATTTGCTTCAAGATGCTGTCGCGATGTCTAAGTGGGCGGTATATCAATTTTGGTGTGTTTTGGCTGTATCAGGATAAGGCGATCGACGAGGCATTTCACATGATGTTTCAGCTGATGTTGAGCATTCCGCATCATGATCTCATGGTACGTTGGTGGTTGTATAATCGAGAACAAGGATGGTTGGATTAAGAACCAAGGACAACTGATCGACACTATGATTCGATTTAGGGATTCCCAAAGTTGGCATCGGCATTTGCAGCCCTGTTGGATGATTTTAGCAAGGAACAACTCACTACTTTGCCGACCCTGGAGCCCAATACGTTCCTTTACATCATAAGGGCATGTGAACAAGGCATTGAATCGAATGAGCATTATGTCAGATCACATGCATGTTCAGCTATCGACCATATCTGCACATTTGTTGCCCATGAGAGTGATCATCATCAACATCATCAACATCGACAACGACACCAACATCAAGCACCAGCGACCCATTGGCTTGTGAGCTACTTTGGTCAATTCCCTACCGTACTTCCATCATTGCTTGTCACCGTATTCAACCTCGTACTATTTGACGACAACAGTGATCAGTGGGCGTTATCAAGACCATTGTACGTGTTGATGCTACTCCAAAGGAATGTAAGTATACTATACTATACACACATCCCATGATGTTGTTGTTGAAAGCTGATCTTTTATATGATTGTAGTATGCTATGGAATACACAAATCGGGTGATCCAACAACAGTTGCCTGAACGACAATCGTTTGTGTCCAAGGTCTGTGGGTTGGTGGATGGTGGTACAAAAAAAGAGGTTTGGGGGTGTATGTGGACGGGCAGTGGAGCATGACATGTTGTGTAACCATGTTCTTTTTTCTGCTTGATTCCCTTTGTTCCTTTTTCATCTAACCTATTTTGGAATATAAACATTATTTAGGCTTTGGGCGATTTGACGGAAGCCATCGGATGGGACTTGTCCAACAAGGATCGTGAACGGTTTTCCCGAAACGTGTCAGCGTTTAGGCGCGAATTGACTTTGCACAATATATCCTTGGTCCCCGTTTCACCACACGACCTTGCTACCACCACCTCCATGACAACCACGTTGCTACCCAACGCAGCAACAACCGTTGTCAACAACAATAATGGTCCAAACAACAGCAATAACAATAATACCAATGCTACCGTAGCTGCCTATTAAATGTATATCAAAAAGAGCAAAGATGGAGGTTTTAATACAATTGAGCAATGTACAATAAGCGAGTGTGTTTTTTCTCCACATCCACACAAAATAACACGCAACGTAATAAAGAAAAAGAAAAATCAAATGCTAACGAGAATTGAGGACGGGAAAGCTTTTACAAGGAATTAATAACGGGTTGTTGTTGTTGCTTTTTTTTAACTGGGTGCCTTTGTCTCCACAGCATGATGATGATGAGGATGATGTTGCTGTTGTTGTTGTGCATGTGGTTTGACAGGTGAATAGGGACGTGCTGATGTGGGTGATTGACCAGGTGGAGGGGGTGGTGGAATACTGCTGTTGCTGCTACTATGGCTACTTGCACTTGTACTCGTACTTGCAGTGCTTTGTTGATGGTGATGATGATGATGCGGCTGCGGTGGTTGTTGTTGTGATGGATGATGTTGTTGTTGATAGGCATCATGATGGTGTTGTCGTCCAAAAGGAGGCGATCTTGGTTCACTAGGTGAAGCTGATGATGATTCGTAATCCATCATCATACGTGTTGTAGCAGCAGGCATGGTGGCATGGTGATTACCCGATGATGATGATGGTGGTGGTGGTAATGATGGGTGATGAGAAGGGGGTGATTGAATACGTGGACGTTTATCAATGGGGTGTTGTTGTTGTTCATCATAGGAGGGTCGTTTTTGAGCAGCCAAACTAATCAATGTTCCTGCAGCACTTTCATCAGTAGTAGCAGCGGCAGCAGCTGATGGTGGTCGATGGTCATAATAAGCTGAACGAGAGGATGATGATGGTGCTGGTGGTGGTGGAGGAGGAGGGTGCATAGTAGTACGTGGTGATGAGGATGCTGGTTGTTGTGGTTGTTGAAGATGACTACCTGCAGTAGAAGTAGGTGATGGTGGAACAGCTGCAACAGGTGGCAACATGGGTTGTTGTTGATGATGTGGTTGTGTTGTTTGAGGTGGTCTTGGTGATGGCAATGGTGAACGATCAGCTGCTGATTTACCGGGAACAGAATCACGTAGAGGTGAAATCAGTGGATTAGGAGCTGATGGTGGTGGTGATCCATGTCGATGTTGTTGCATAGGCGATCGTCGACTTGGCATTGGGAGATCTCGTGACCATGCATTCTCCTGCACAACCAACAGTAACATCGTTAAGATCACGAAAAAGAATGTTCCAAACTAATAATATAGAAAACTTACATTGCCATTGTTGCCATGAGGTGGATGTCCCATTGGTGGAGGTGGAGGTGGAGCTGAACCATTACCACGATGATGATGTGCCGATGATGTTGGTGGGGTGAATGGTGGACGAACCATACCACTTGTACTTGGAGGCTGAGCTTGAGCACTTCCCATCAGTGAATGAGGAGGAGGAGGTGGACCAGAAGGTGGTAGTGTTTCTGATGGATAAGGTCCAGCAGTATTGGTAGCTGGGTTGTGTGGTGGCATCCCATTTTGCGAATATTGATAAGGGTTATTCACATCTTGTGGTACTGGTGTTGTTGCCACTGCAGGTGTATTGCCATTTGTGCCAGAGCTATAATAAAACAATTAACATGCATGATTCATCCATGATAGGCTTTGGGTAGTTTACCTTGGGATACCATGTGTTTTACGCAAGAGCTCAAGGCGTTGTCGAATGTGTGGGTTGTTTGGATCAAGTTCACTCGCTCGTTGATAGGCATCGAGAGCATCCTGAATCTGGTTGTTGCATGATTCGTAGAGCGTACCAAGGTCATACCACACCTCGCTGATGTAAGGATTCAATCGAATGGCACGGCTATAAGCATCCAATGCATCCCTGTATTGGTTGATCTGATAATAGAGTACACCAATTGAGCACCAAAAGGTAGGATTCCTTGCATCACGGTAGACGGCTTGTTGATAGGCTTCATAGGCCTTATTGTAATTTTGCTCTGCCATATAGCATCGTCCAAGCAAGTACCATGATTGAGCATCGTTGCTATCAGTCTTTAGAGATCGAGTAAGATAGTTGACAGCTTGGGTTTGATTGGAAAATGAGGTGTTTTGTTGATGATAAAGCCAACCAAGTTGTTGCAGCACCTTGGCATGATCAGGATTTTCAGCCAATACACGTTCATAAGCTTCCTTGGCAAGGTCGTATTCCTTTTGCTGCTCATAAACATGTCCAGTCTGGAACCAAATGTCGACTTCGGTCAATGGCTGAGGAGGGTTGTGCAGGATGTAGCGGAAGCACTGGAAGAAATAGGAAAATGTGTCATCAATAATGGGTTCATGGGGGGTAGGAAAAGAGTCATTTGGCTTTTACCTGCAAACTCAGATCATACTTTTGCTGCTGTTTGTAAATGATGCCAAGCCGAAAGTAGATCTCATTGGCCTTTTCAAACCCAGGGTCCATCTTCATAACCGCCGAAAATGCCTCCTCGGCATGCTCAATTGAGCCATATCGGTCGTACAAAATGCCAATCCCATACCAAAGTTTCGGGTCCTACTCAACTACCATGTTTAGCTCCCTTTTCTTCTTCACATTGGTGCTTGTGGCCATCATCAATCAATACCTTTGGATTCGGCAAATGATATAAAGCTTGTTGATAAGCATGATACGCCTCTTGTAGATTATCCATCATAAGATAGCAATGTCCCAATGCACTCCATGTCTCGCCATTGTTCTCTTGTATAGCGAGGATACGTTTAAAGTAGTCGACAGCCTAAATATCAATAAAGTGAGTATACAAGAGAAGGTGAGGAAAGGGGGATGTGATGAGCTTATACCTTGCCGAATTGTTCTCTGCCACGGCACAATGAAGCGATATGTGACAATGCGTTGATTGAGTATGGATTATGTCGCAATGCATATTCGTAGGAGGCCATGGCACGTTCCCAGTCAGACATCAGTTCCGCAAGGTTACCTAAATATAACGTGCCCAAACCAAAATAAGTGTGGCGTCCCTTACACAAATCCAGAGAAACACTAGCCCAGAAAGGAGGTACACAAGATTAAAGTCGGTGGATAGGGCGGGCAAGTTACACATGCACCAAACTCAAAAAAAAAGTGCCCAGCATATGTTGTTGTTGCTTGTTGCCCATCATCATCCTCATCCATCCACATCCTTCTTAGTCGCATAGATCCAACATCATCCCTTCTCTCTCTCATTCACCCCCCTGGCCATCATGATCCTTCTAGTAAAAGAAAAAATATGACAAACACCCACCACCACCACCATCATCCCCCCCAATCTTGTTGATTCCTTTCTCTCTCTCTCTCTCTCCCATATAATTCTTGATGCTCCTCCCTTTCTGCCTCTTTTTTTTCTCACATCTCCCCCACATGAACACATTCACCCCCAAAACACACAATCCCATCCGTGTAAAAAAGAGAAAAGAAAGAGATCCAATCCATGTATACGCACCTAATGTTAACCATGCTTGTTCATTCACAGCAGCCAATTTCTGCACAATGGGCGGTTGCTGTTGTTGTTGTTGTTGTTGGTGATGGTGTGCAGGTGTTGGTGGTGCTTGAGGAGGTGCTGTAGTGGATGGAGGCATCGGTACTGACATGTTCGTCCGAGATGAGAGAAAGCTGCAATGACCGATTTACAATGGTGTCAATGGAGAGAAGAAAGGAACAACGAAAAGAAAAAGAGTGTGTGTGAAGTGTATTTGTGTGTGTGTGTGTGTGTGTGTAAAGCAAAAGAGAAAGGAAAGAAAAAGGAAAGGAGAATGCGAAAAGAAAAAGGAAGAACCAACAAAGCTTCTGGATGAATAAATGACACTAAGTGCGTGTGTGCGTGTGTATGCGCTGAAAGCAGCAGCAGCAGCAGCAGCAACAACAATCCCTTTTGCCCGCGCGCGTGTGTGTATATAATTGTTGCTGGTTAATGATGGCTGTGTGGCTCCTGTTCTCCGGTGCTGCTGTTGCTGAAGAGACACACGGCCTGGTACATCTACGCATTTTGTTCTTTTGGGGGGGACACACCGTCAACAAGATATTTCTTTTTGTATGTTGATTGATATCTCTTTTTCAAGTATGACGGATGAATGATGATGATGATGCTGATGGATCGTTCTATCATGTGAGAAAAATAAGCACTAGCAGCAGTAAGCCAAATGTTCCTCTTGGTAAATGAAAAAATAGAATGGATGCTGTAAATACGTATGACTCTTGTGTTTGCATATATCACTTAAAGCGTTCTTGTCTCCAAGATGTCTCTTTGTTTTTCCACCCAATCATTCACTCCCCCCATGTGCTCCTTGTCGTGCACCCCTTTTGTGTTAGTTTCTCCTTCTGCCGCCCTTACACTCCACTCTTCACCCCCCCCCGAAACTTCCTTGGTGCATTGTCCCCCAATATCCACTGGTATCACTTGCTAATTGTGGTTGGTCCACTTTTATTTATGCGGCTCACTGTAAAATATAAAGTTCATTGTGGGTGCACCAGCTGCACGTGAGGTAGGATCGGGCATCGTGTCACATTGAACAACTTGTTGCATTTCATGTGCATATCCACGTCATACATCACTTCCACCAATCCAGCATGTTGTTGATATGTCGGGATGACGGAGCAGGATATACATCATTTATCTTTTAATCGATAACGCTTCACTACTATGCTTTCACCATCACGACGGCTATCATCATGCTTGAATACCAACACATAATAGCATGACCAATGTCAAGAAAAAGGAAAAAAGTGATCTACCCCCTTTTATGTCTGAAAGGAAAAAGAAAGAGAGAGAGGTCCTTTTTCGCCCCATGGTGCCATGCATTGTTGTGCAGATTTTGCCCCCAACCTGGGCGGTGCAGAGAATTTCTAATTATGGTTGTACCGGCCATGGGATTTTGCTGCATGCTCCTCTCTTCATCATCATTTCCGCCCACATATACATGTACATGTGCGTGTGTATGTGTGCTGCCAAAGCCACTGCAGCTTAAGGGGAGCCTAAAGTGGGGGTACATAAAAGGCGTCTTATGACATGCATCTTCATGCAATTGAGGAGAAAGGGGGGGGTCATTCGAAGTTGATCGCATTTTCTTCCTGCTCTGCAGTTAAAGAACATTTCCATTTCCTAATGGTCGATACAATGACAACATTACAGAACAAGGAGAAAACCTGTCATGATCCACCGGTTCAACAACCATCATCATCTATCATTTAGCTTACCATAAATGCTCAATAATGGATTCATTTTTCTTGGTGGTGTATTGACAAACATGGTGTTGTGGTGGTGGTGGATCACCCTTCTCCCCTTTTATATGAAAACCATTCTTATATATATATACGTGTGTGTGTGCGTACGTGTATGTGTTTGGTTGATGTTATGCTTGGTGCTACATGCAACATCGTCATCATGGTGCCACGCATTGGATGCATCCACGCTGCTCAGGCTTAGGTGTCACCACCGCATAATCGTTTCACCAACAATCCCACGGCCACTGCAACAAGCACTCCGATCCCACTTTCTTTCTTTGATCTACAATCAGATCTCAATTTTTGTATTACAAACCTACACCCCATACACTCCTTGTCCATATAGTTTATGCACGCCGATATACATAAACCTTTTTTTGCTCCCACCACACCATATCACCGAGGATTTGAATTGTCGTACAGCAGCTTGGTACCTACATTGCATCACAATAGACCTCACGGGAACCAATGCAACAATCATCACAGCCATCCATCATGTCATGTGATGCCTGTTTTATCTTGTCGTCATGGTTACTTGCTAGACAGCATAATCCCTTTCCCCCTATGCTGGTAGCTGGTGGTCGTTTAGGCAATTTCGTTGGGATGCTTAGGCAAACATAGCCATCAGGGCGATAAAGTTGCCCTACATCCCTATTCGATCATAAAATCTCAATAGCTATTCATTATGCGTTGGCTTTAGGCTTCTGTATACATCATGCAAGGGGTTGCTGCCGCTATGAATTATGCCTTAAAAATGCATCAGAAGCAGCTGCATATGTACTCGTCCAAAGTTTTATATGCATTCCGCTGTCTTTTGATTGACAACAAGATGGATGATGATCATGCTAGGTACTTGTGCCAATGCTATGCTATAATAACATTGTTGCCGGATCCACAAGCATACGGCTATACATACGTAGAAGCCTTCTTGATACAACCAGGGTCATCAAGCGACAAGGAGTCGCAAAAAGATGTGAGATACCCTGTTACGCAGGTTGATGGCCAACTATGGGGTTGATGTTATGTTGTTGCTGCTGCTGCTGCATATCGATTTGCCAAAAAAAGGGGAAGACGATCTGCTCACATACATTTGCTCCTGACAGGATGGAGATTGTTCTCGACTGCAACGTTCTTTCACAGCTTTTGTCCTTCCAAATGCATGGTTGGAGCGATCACAAGGAGAATGTGTGTGTTTTTTGCATCTCCACATAGCCCCATTTTCGCTCACCCAAACCCCCATAATAGCCCAAACTACATATATCATGGCAAGGGTGGATGAATATTTTACGCTTAGGTACCATGGTTGTGGAAGTGCCATGACACAAATAGCGTGTGATTATCTTTAGTGTCATAGATGACATCCTACGTTGTGACATTAACTACCACTATTCCACCGCTATTATGATTGCAAAAGGGTGGTGTTATGTATGTAGGCATGATGATCATCATCTTCAGTTATCAGCAGCACCGATTCTCGGGATTACTACTATAGCGCTTAGGAGATGTATGCAATGCTATATGCACACACACATGGATCCAACCTGAATTATGGATGACTAACCACACGAGGACAGGCGCTTTATTAGATTGACGGATGATGAATAATGATCTGCAGGGCATGCACCACCACGCGCTCTAAACACACAAGGTTCTGGACACTTGATCGATCGCTCACTCACTCTTTTTTCCACCATCTCACGATAAAAAAACGCTTGTTCTCATTACGTGGTATCAGCGTACAGCAAGGGATCCAAGCCCAAATCACTGCATCAACCTACATGATGAGGAGCAAAAAGCAAAAGGTGGGAGGTAACACCAAAGTTAGTTGTTTATTGCTCGCTTTGATGTTTCATAAATGCGCTCGATCGGGCATTAGGTCCATTCCAAATGTCAATGTGTCACCATGGATGTCTATTTATCTTGAGGCATCTTTTTTGCATTCGTTCCACAAAAGGGATAGTACCTGTATCACTTGTTCCTCTCTCCTCCTCCTCCAGGTCCAACTTTTTCCTCCTTTTGCTTGGTCCGATCCCAGTAACAACCCCCCATCAGAAAACTTGTTGCGCTTGTGTTTTGTACCACCATCCATTCAGGTCCGTGAGGTTGATTAAACTCTGTACTAGCTGCTTTTTTTTCTCAACATCGACGAGCCTGTGTCACCCATTGTATTGTATTGTATTGTTTCCATCCCGTTGCGTCGTATCATCCGTGTACATTATCCAAGATGAGATGAATTGGGCAATGGTTCGCAATACGACTCTTTACCACTCCTGCTACAAACCTCTATCATCGGCTACGACTACTACGACCCCGACACTAGCACACAATACGCCGTAATACAAGAAAAGCAAAAGTGTGGGTTATCAATGCGGCTTTTTTTTTTGAGGTGCAGAAAAATTTTCCCGATTAGTGGCATCGGTGCTGCAGCAGCACCACCCCATCATTGTCATTTGTTTGACGTACTCTATTAAAGTCGGGCCCCATGCATTTTTAAACAATGGCTTGCTGCTGAATGTTCGTATACCATAGTTGCACACATTGAGACCATTCCCGTGGTCAAGCAAGTATAGATCAACCTAAAGCAATTACCCCTTTTTCGGGTTTGCCATGTTGAGAGACGTGATTACACAAGAAAGGGGGCTCTATCTGTGTCACCATACTAGAACATTGCTCTGGAATAATTGAAATCTGCTGTAACCGGTAATGCGTTCCATATCGGTTTGGTTACTCAATACAGGCTGACGTTTTCACATTCACGCCAACTTTTGGTAGGTTACTCAATACTAAAGATACCAATACGTAGCTCGATGTTGTTGTTCTACCCGGTCATTGTTGCCTATTACGTTACTCACAAGCCCCAACCGAAAAGTAGTACGTTGTGTGTCATTGTCGGAATACCAATACCTTCCTTACAAAGTACACTGTCCCATACTCAGGGGCACATGGGATTCATTCGAATGCATCTCACACGACTTTGTGAGTACCATGCATGCTTATTTCAACCAACTTTGGGCCACCTTGTGATCATTCTCGGGTGTCAATCATTGAGCCAACAGTAATCCCAATTGCAAAAGTGATATTAAAAATGATTCTAGTAGCTGTTGTTGTTGCTTTACATGGCATGTATGCAATGGTGATGAAGTTTAATTAGGATGCATATATATAAAAAGGATGTTGTAGTAGACCAGCTATTACAATGCATGATAAAAGTTGTATGCAACAAGGGATGGGAGGATGCATCTAGCAAATGGTAACGACATAACCTTGTGCCTTGCACATGTAGGTGGAGGTGTTGTCATCATAGGCATATGAGTAAGCATCGGGGCAAGCATCCTCAACAGCCTTGGAAAAGTAGTTGGGCGAGCAAGTATCAGGAGTGCTATGAGCGCCAGCGCAGCAGTATTCATCAGTGCCAAACTTGGAGCAAGCTGACTTGCAGCCGACAACATGACCCTTGCTATTCTTGACCTGAAGATCGCTAGGGCAGGATGGAAGCTTGTTGCATGTAGGGGCACCACAGCGGTATTGGTCAGCACCACTCTCCTTCTTGGGATGAATAGGCTTGATGGACATGGGAAGGTTGAAACCATCGACAAAGCTCAAGTCATAATAATCATAGCCACCATGACCCTTAAAAGTAAACCTATCATCATCATCATCATCATGTTAATGATAATCGTGGTACATGTAGAATTAAGAAGAATGCATATACATACTCAGCTAATGAAGCAGGGTCAGCAGCACCAGCAATGGCATTGCACTCTTTACCATGGCACTGGTCACGGGCCCAGAAACGACCTTGCCAGTTGCTAGGAAGAGAATAGGTGGTTTGGCTGCCCTTGGCAACAACTTTTGTGGAAGCCTTGCTTTGACCATTGGTCAACTTGCCGACATGGAGATCATAGCCACAATGGTTCTTGACAACAATGTGAACATTACCCGAGGGAGCAGCAACAGCAGCACCAAAGAGAGCAGCAAGGGAAAGCAACTTGATAAAGTACATGGTGAGTAAGTAGAATGATGCTTCTTGATCATCGTTGATGGCGATCCCATTTTATACCTTGGTGCAAAAAAAATCTTCTTGGTTACCCTGATCATCAAGGTCACCTGCGCAGTAGAAATAGGGGCAGGGTATAATACCGATTGGATAGAGAGGCTGCTGTTTCATGTTCAGTTGTCTTGGATTAACAATAATGTGTCAGTTATCTGTTTCGCATACGCGAGGAGCAAATAACGGATGGCAAAAGGTGATCAAAGTAACCACGTGGTGGTATTGATAGTCTTGAGCACGGATCAACATGATAGTTGAGCTACAATGTCGGTCATGCTTTCCAAGGTCGTACGATCATGCAAACTAGTGAAGCTAAAAGACATAGTTTAGGTAGTAGCTTGCACAACTTGCAATAGCATCGGGGTGTAGCGGTGCGATCGTTTATCTGAAACCAAGTCCACAATAATGGTAATGTTTGGCCATTGTGCCAATTATCTTCCATTGCTGGCAACTTTGTTCCTGAAATCCTACGTATTCGTCATTTGTCTTTAAAGTTTCCCATGAAGCGGTGGTCAAAATACCATGTTTCCCAGTTACCGGGTCATTCATTAAGAGCCCACTAGCTACTTACGAGTAGAAGAAGCGTAAAGACACTTTCAAATGTATTCATTGTCTAGTATTCTTGTATGACGTTCATTGACCAATTACCCCCAAAATCATAAAAATATGCCTTTCATTCTAAAGGAAGCAAGCAAAAGTTGTTTATTGTTTGCAATTGATCGCTGCTTGCATAAAGAGCTGGATTATCTGAAATGTGGCAGAAAATAGGAACTCAGTTTCCCAGTTACCCAGAACCTGGTTGCTAGTGACCCGAGTCAATGTGGGACCCACTGCTATTGGGTCAACTTATGGAGAAGTGGCCAATTGTTAAACATCATTTGGTAAGCAATGGTATTCTTGTTGTCCAAGTCTTGATCCAAGTGACGTTGTTACATATCAATGGCATGGCAATGATGATGATAAATGTTTGTCGTACAAGGTTGTGGATGCATAACAACTCATATGCAAAGAAGATCCCTCCCACCCCGCATTCATTCAACCCGTTTTCCCGATGCATGTCCTCATACACAAAGTAAAGGCTTGGTATTATTTGATCCACGATAAAGAACACTACTCGAACTATAGCTTGGTGAAGGGTGCGGTATCGGTGGGTTGAAGCCTGGTATACACAACATGGGTAAATAATGAGCCATCAACTTGATCACCGCAAGACATTTTGCTTACCAGTTATCCTTTGGATACTCAGCTTCACCTTCAATGACGTGGAAAGTATAGATGTAGCGGGACTTTTTGGAATAGTTTGGAGCCGACTTGTGAACAACGCTGCCATGGATCAACACCAAGGTACCAGCTTCCACTTCTCCTTTGACATATCTCGATTCATCCACATGGACCGTTTCTTCGCCAATGAACGTGGTGCCACTGCCATTGGGATCACGCACAAATCGTTTTTCAATTGGTTTCTCTATACCCATTACGTAAATAAACCTGATTTTGCATCCGTCATCTTGTCCTCTTACCCTTATGTGATCCAGGAATGAACCATAAACATCCATTTTCTTCTGTGCAATCTTCCAATGCAAACCAAAAACCTGTCGCTGACAAAGGATTCGTGTAAAGGAAGGATGAATCTTGATGAGATGGCACTGTATAAGCAAAGATGTTAGCATTTATGTATCGATTCAATCCATGAACACTTGCCTGGCCCACCAATGTAAGGTTGCTATATGGATTTGGTCAACCAATTGGAATTGCATATGTAACTCTTAACCTATTACCTTAAAGATGACCATGGATTGAAGCAATCGAGGATCCTTGAACTTCAAATCTCGCACCATTTCTGACATTGTTTCATTGAGAGAGATTGACCGAAAGTGGGGATCCAATTCGTGGATACCTGCTCTCCACCATCAATGTTTAATACGTACATCATTAACATGTGTCCTCTTTCTCTTACCATGTCCAATCTTGTTGATCGCTCGCTCCTTGGGAATCTTCAATTGGCCATTGTCATCAAAGGCACCTTCTTCAAAGAAGAAATGGATCTTGTCACCCGAGTTCAGGAAGTAGTCATCGCCAACATGCTTTTTATCAGTGCCAGTGCCAGTCGAGAATCGTGTTAGTGGATGTCCTTCCAAGCTGAAGTCTTCAAGTAGTTGAGCAGCACGATCTTTGAGTTCCTTGGCCTTGTCTTTGGTGAAGAAGTTGGGGATAATGAGAAAACTACACATCAAGTCGGTCAATGAGGGTTGTCAATGGGCGTGTCCTGCAATGCAATACCCGTCTCGGTCAAACTATGTCCATTAGGGGGTTGAGTGATTGTGCGCATTGGTTGTATATAGAAGCCTTTACCTGTTCCAGTTGTTCTTGAGTGAGTACCATGATCTTCCTTGAATAAAGAAAACGCGAAAGAGATTGGGACGTTGAGCGTGGGATAATGCTTGGAAATCATTCGTTTTTGTCACCCGACTTGTCGGTTTTCGATATGATCATTGTGAGCTGCATAAATGACACCACCACCCTTCAATGATAACGTTTAATACACCTAGCATACCTTAAAGGGTGTACATTTTGATCCTTTGAAATCACTCCATTGACTTTCTGGATCCTATTACTTTCAAGTGGTAACCATATCTATAAGGGGATGGTCGCACAGACACTGCTGCCACACGCTTATCGGTTTATCTTCCAAAAAGCAACATAGGTGGCTGCAAGTAATGTACACAAAACAACAAGAATTTCCCTATCCCCACGCTGAATATGTGTTTCATGTCCAAAAGCAGCTCTCAAGCTTGGCATGTGTGTGTGTAAAACTTTGGCTTGTGTCTGTGGGGAATACAACAATGAAATGCTTGATGCCCATTAATTATGACATGTACTACGCACGTAAATAAATGAGCTTTCATTTTTGTCGTCCTCTTTGACGTTGATTGTGACGGATTAGTAGCACCTATAATGAGCTAAAAGGTTGATGACAAAGAACAAGTTTTCTCAGGTACCAACCATGTAATTGGTTACACAAAGACCTACCCATGACATGCATGCTTAAATATGCGACTTTTTGGTTCATTATCATACATGAGACGCAGGGCCAAATGCGATAGCCCTGTATAAAAAGAAAGACATATCATACAAAAGTACATTTAAACGCATGGCATGATCATTTAGTAGTTGAGAATGTAAGCAAGAGAAATTTTGGTGTGTGTGTGTGTGTGTGTGAAAGAGAAAATAGAGATGCGTGTGAAACAAGGAATAAGCTATGTACATACATTGGGAGAGTGGGGAAATGAGAAGAGGATAGGGTGGCACAGCATAGACACGTTCGTTTGCAATAATGATGAATGGGGTTGGATGTGCGCCGATCACACTTTTGATTATATCACTTTCCCGAAAACTCCCGTTTCGTCAAAAAGTCATACACTTAACGTCGTTGTTTTCGACTCGATGTTCTTGGTGGTGGTCTACGCGATGATGATGATGATGATGCTGTGCTTCGACTTTTACCACCTCGAGATCGATTGCGTTTCTTGATAACATCCGTTTTAAGACTTAAAGGTCGTACCATACCATGAAGCTTGAGAAAGAGACCACATGCATTGCATAATGGTTCTCCCTTGGGATTACGACGCCAGAGAGGTGTATTAGTAGTCTCACAATTGGTGCAACAAATGATTCCATCCGGATGGTTTGGCAGCAAGGGTGGAGCAGGGGTTGCTTTTTTTCTGCTTCCGGGCGATGTTCTTTTTGTATTCTTCTTTTGGTGTGATGATGACAATGAAGAGCGCACGTGTCGTTTAGTATGCTGTGTTGTAAGCAACCAATCAGGATCATTGTCCTTGTCATCCTCCTCTTCATTCTCTTCCTCTTCGCTCGTTTCGTCTTCATCGTTTTTATCGGGTATGGCTTGTTTCACGGCAACATCAGCCGCTGCTACTACCTCGGTTGAAGTAGAAGCCGTGCTGGTAGTAGTGGTGATGGATGGCGGTGTTGATGGCGGAAAGTTTTCCTCAGCACTGATGAGTTGGTTGATGAATGTATCATCATTCGACACGTTTTCTTGTGATTCTTGTTGTAATGCAGAGGTTGATAGAATATGAGATGGGTGAATGTGTAAAAATTGGGAAAGGTCATTGTCGTGCAAAGTATGATTGTTGTTGTCAACCTCGCAGCTGGTGCCGTTGCCACCAGACATGATCACGGGCTCACCAAGGAGTAGTGTGTCATTTGGATTGTTGTTGTGATGATACATCCAAGCTGTTGTTGTATCATGGTCTTGCTTAGTGATGGTATTCCACTCCTCGTTGAATGGTGTACTCGTTTGGAACGTCATGTATTCCGAGCTATTGGGTGTCATCGGTAATGGAATACCCGCCATGCCAATAATAGGATGCTCCGAGAGTGGGTGATAGTGATGATGGCTGTATCCCAAAGTCAAATCGCTTGCTGTTCCAGAAGACACAAGCCCATTCAAAAAGAGCTGCTCAACATCTGCCATCATGGGTTCACTTGAAGAGGATGCAGCACCAGGAAATGAGGCTGGATGTGGTTGCTGTTGAAAAGGATAATGGACCTGGGAATGCATGGCTGCAACAGGAGAAAAAGGGAAAAAAAGAAAATTGATGCGAAAAAAAAAGAAGAGACGGGGCTTTTAATGCATCAACTGACGACCGGGATCGTTGACATGGCTATACAATTCCTTGTGTCACAAAGGACCACCATTCGTCATATATACCTTCATATGCGAGACAACTCTGCCGGGTGCACAGTATAAAAGGGAATCATGCAACTATGGTACGCGCATCACCGTAACAGTGCCGTGCACCTTTGTGTAGAAAATAAGCAACAACGTGATGATAGGGCATTCTCTATCTTTTGTATCATGGGCACCACTGCACTATCAATAGGTTGATCAGCACCTTTATCGTGCCATCTTCATGCCATATGAGCCTAACAAATACTAAACCCCTTCTTTCCCATACTACATTCGCTTTGTTGTTTTGCTCTCTTTTTCCTTTCTTCCTTTTTGATATTGGATGAGTTGTACAAAGTATTACACAGCCTTTTCATCGATGAGTCTTTGCTCAGCCGTCATGGCAAGACGCGAGGTGGCTGGCCCCTTCTCCTCCGCTTACATCTACCATCCAATCAAGCGAAGCATAGCTTTGGCATCTTTTCGTAAAAGCTAAAAAAGGAAACACGTTTCTGTGCTCAAAGGATGACTATTTATCACTCATTCCTCGGCAGATATCACTCAACATCGCGTCTTTAATGATTTGAAAGAAAAGTCAAGAAGCTTTGAAGCTCATTAACAATGTCAACCCAGAATGAAAGAAGCCGAGATTGGTATAATAAAGGAAAGTGGGGAGAGTGATGAGACAGCAACATCAGCGGCATGGATGTGGTGTTCTAGGCCTGCAGATGCTTAAAAAGTGGCGTAATTTAGTTTTGAGCCTTGGCTCATTGCATGTGCGCTAAGACAAATAGATTGTTACCTATATGGAGAATCCCGTTCTTCAGCGGTTCATGCAACCCAACACACTTGATGCACAAATAATGCCGATGGCTACACACATGTTAATCAACATGATTGCATGATGTCCTATTATGTCTCCCACTAACCTTGATTGTCAATCTAAATCTTGCTTACTTTTCAAGAACAAAAAAAGAACGACATGATTAAGCTCAGTGTGTGTGTATATATGTCAAACGTTGTTGAAAGGCACGTGGTGGGGAGATGTTTCTCTTACGTCGCTTCTCCAGCATCAGCACCATCCCATCACCATCACCATGCGCACACGTAGATCCCACATTAATAAGACGTTTATATATTGATATGCACATGAATCCTGTTGAGCTATGTATGTATGTCCAGAGCGTGTGCTGTCAGCGGCGAAACCGGTGAGCGAGGTGATGCTCAAAAGAGAAAGGGCGGTATTACTCCGCCTTTATTGCACATCGTTTTCCTGCAACCACTACGTGTTTTTGGCATCCATGGCATCCGAGGCAGTCCGTCAAGCCATCATTGACAGCCTATTCTCTCCCGAAGCTGGAGGTACAATGCGTAATGTGCTCATCACTCACGTCGTCTCATTGTCTTCTTTTCCCCGTTAGGTGCCGCCGAGAAGTTGCTTATCCATCTCAAGGTCTTTGAAGATGTAAAACATACCGATTCCGGTGGACGAGGCAACGGCACTCCCCAAATCGTTGGCAAACCTCGATATCTCTGTCTAACACGCAAGTAAATGTGGATATACAAAAGATAGGCTATTGACACCTTGTATACAACAGAAAAACGCAACAAGATCCGGTTATACAAGACCAAACGCAACCAGAATGGAGCATTCACCATTGGGAAAACGTGGTCTCTTGAGGATATTAAGCTGATTGAATCAATGGATGTAAGTATGGGTGTGTGTGTATATACAAAGACATGAAGAAGGGATATTGATGTGTGTGTGTGTTTGTGTGTGTCGTTAGGCCAACCAATTTTCGATGACATTGAATAAGCAATATGTATGGGCTGTTGAATGGCCACGAGAGAAACTCGTCTTTTTGGCACACGTGGTAGATGTAAGTAAATGAAGAGGAAGAATGATAATGGATGTTAACCTATGTTTAGTCATGCCAACGATTCCTCGGCAAAGTTCCTCGCCTGGTCAACCTTGATGAGAGCTATTTATTGCGTTGTAAGTATGGGTCATTGGAAGTAGGATATCGGTGGATAGCATGTTGATCATTCATTGTATGATAGATTTGGCGGGATCCGTTTCAGCAGTACCATCCAAGCCTAGTGCTACGTCAATGACACCTTCATCACCTTCATCCACCATTCCTCCCAGTATTCCACCACCAAGCTCACCACCTACCAATCATCATGAAAACGATACACGATCCTATTCGTCATCATCTCAACAGTATCCACCATCAGCTGAACGTTCTTATCCACCACCTTCTTCTCCATCATCCACTCGATCGCCACCATTACAACCACCAGCTGCGCTTGAGCAGCAACGAAGTAGCAACCATAACATCACACTTGGATCTCCACCAGGTGCAAGAACGGTGGAACCTAATGTAAACACCACTGAGGAAACAGCAGCAACAGCAGCAGCAGCAACAAGATACCCAGATCATTCACAACCACCCGTTAATGGTGAGACAACAGAAAGGGAACGTCGTGAACAAGAACGTCTTCAACGTGAGATGCGCCGTGAACGTGAAAAGAGAGATAAACAAGCGCAACAGGAACAAGGCAAGTTTGCAATATGGCATGATGCCGATGATGCCATAACATGTTGACATTTTCAATAGAAAAACAACGCAAAATGGCTGAGATGCAGGATAAGATGGCTGAACAAGCGTCGTTGATGAATGTGGAAGAGCTTTTAGCGGATTTCAATTGGAAAACGAGTGGTAATGCTGCAGCATTGGAGAAACGACTTTTGGGAGAGTTGCATGCGCTGGAAGCAGTAAGTATCACGTGATCAATGATAGAGGATGTAGGCATCTAAGTGAACTTTTTCTCAGGCCAATGTACATGCCATTATTCAATCGGATGAGCGTGTTCGTTCTGTGGTGGATCAAATCGATGAAGCATTGCAGGAATTGGATACCATGGACAATTGGTTGTTATTGTATAGCGCCGAATTGAATGTAAGTTGTTGATATGAATGCGGATGACATGGGTTTTAATGCTCTCTCTCTATCGGCAGAGTATGGGCGATGATATCCGTGAAATCGAATCCCAGAATCGTGGTCTACAGATCCTTGCGCAAAATCAACAAAAGCTTAGCCGTGACCTGGATTACTTGCTGGTAAATGGTGCTTACATTGAAGTGAAACAGCCCAACTCAACTATCGCTCTTATATAGAATGCCATCACCATTCCTCGTTCCTGCTTAGACAGTCTCAAGTATGATCCAATGGACACTGCTGAGAATGTGGGTCAAATTCAAGCAGCGGCAGAAAAGTTGCAACAAGTTCTCAAGATCAAGTTGGATGATGGAATGCAAAACATGCGGGCAGTGCAAGAACGTATGGAAGTGTACAATGCACACAGCAACAAATTCAGCAGCCGTATCTATGATCATATGAAGCAAGAATTTGAAAAGCACGTACGTTGAAAGATGGCTCATCTGCGTAGATGGTTGAATTCACCAAACTACCTACCCCTTTTGTACAGGCTCAGAATTATGGAGATATGAGAAATCGTTCGCCAGCCAACTCATCCCGCAAAAATCAACCCATTGTCGCTGTGCCTCACAAGTCGATCGAAGACAGCCTTATCCGCTATCAAGGATTTTCATTATGGGAAAAGGAAATGGAGCCACGTATGTATAGTGAACTTCAACGGCATTATGCACAAGCTATGGCCCCCTTGTACGAACAAGATATACGTGAGCTCCTTGATGCCACTCGACCCTCGTATACGATCCTACGTAACCGTGGAGCTGATGATTTGGATTATAGTATGTGAATGATATTGAACAATGCGAAATCAGCCGCTAACACTGTATCCTTTAGTCTTTAAGCCTGAAGAATCACGTCCTGTACGAGCATTGGCGTATGGTGCCAACCTTAGAAGTGAGGACTCGAGAACACATCGGTACCGTCATATGCTTCGAGGATCTGTGGAAGGTGTCATCGGCAATGGAGGTAGCCGTGGTAGCATCGATGATGACGAGCGGGCTGCAGATGATGTATGTTACGAGGATCATATTGCTAGCTAGACATATCCATGGCACTAAGGTGTGTATTTCTTTGTAGGCTTTTGGTCAGCTCATTGCACAAACAACCATGCTTGTATGCCGAGAACAGAACTTCATGTGCGATTTGTTCCAATACTATCAAGGTGCACCCAAATCCTTTTTGGAACGTGGCCCAGTGTATGCTCAAGTGCCCAATTCAAACGAATTGTGTGGTCGACGAGAAAAGCCACGTGATATCAAAATGTCCAAGAAAATACTGTAAGTAGATGGCTCGATGGATATTATGGATGCCCAGTTCTTAAGCCTTTGATTTATAGTGATTGGATGGAGAACATATTTGAGACGCTTGAACCAAGCATTGTCAGCCTTATCGAATATGGCGTAAAGAGTGATCCAACGTAAGTCATTCAACAGGAATCGGACCTGAGGAGGTTAGGATACCAATCATTGGATTTCTATCTAGGCAAGCGATAAGTATGTTGGCAGCCGTTGAATTCCAGAATGACAAGTGGGCGGGATCAGATCAAAAATTCATGTTACGCATGTGCAATTCATTGATGCAACGATTGACTCGGATGTTTGAACGTTTTGTGGTAAGTTTTGCTGCTACGAGCTATGCTATATAGGGGTGATGATTGATGTATCGCACTTTCAGGCCGACCAATTGAAAGTCATTGAGGACACCAAAGTGAGCACCAAGAAACGGCGTGGTATTCTACCATTCTTTCGCACATTCCCTGTAAGTTCATAGGATGCGGTTTTTTTGGGGGGGGATGATACAGTCGCACTAAATAAGGTTGATAGGTATTTGCATTACGATTGGAAGTGGCAGCTGCCAATGTGGATCCGGATTCTCAAACGCGAAAGACTGTGAACGATGCCTATGAGAAAATCATCAACACCATGATGTCGAGCTTGGATTCTATTGCTCGTGAAACCGATCAAACCGGCGATGATAAGGAACAACTGAATGCAAACATCATGTATATTGGTAAGTGGTCCTATCATCTCGTGTATCACAGTAGGCTTCATCTTTAACAAACTTTTTTTTAGAAAACATGCATCATTTCCACCATGAGCTGCGCTCAAACAAATTGCATGTGCTTGAGAAATGGATGAAGTATGCAAAGAACCAGTATGAGACGAGCTTGAACTCTTACATCAAGGTGGTGATTCGACGACCGTTGGGCAAGCTACTTGTAAGTATTGCCATGGAGACACTACGTATGAAAACAATGTTGGCTAAGGCGTGTGCTACAGGAATTCTTTGAAGGAGTGGAGAATCTCATGCACACAAGTACCCCAGAAGAAGTGCAATTCCACATGAACTACAACAAGACCCAACTTCGTAAAGTAATAAGCATGTATCCTCCCAAGGAGGTAAGTGTAATCAGGAACACCATCGATATCATCCATCCACCTTACTAAAGACATCGTTGTATTTAGATTAAGAAATCTTTGGAGCAATTATACAGGCGAGTTGACAAGCACTTTTCTGAAGAGGAGGGTCTTTTACAAGTGGTTTGGCGTGGTATTCAAGAAGAATTTATTCGACAGCACGAAAAGATGGAAGACTTGATCCAAAAGTGTTATCCGGATGCACGTGTCCACTTGGAGTTCAGCATACAAGACCTTTTAGGCATGATGAGCGAGCTGGCACGCAAGGTGCATGTGTAATGAATGTCTCATAATATATCCTCCTTTTAATACAATCCCCCAATTCCCTCTTTTTTATTCAAACATGAGATGGATGATGATGGAAGCGGAGCAAAGATGGACATGGGCAAAGGACAATGAGGGAATCTTATGATATGGGCGGTGGTCGGACATCCAAGAGTGTGTGTGTGTGCTAGCGCTAGGCCAAAGGGCGTAAAAAAGGGTCTTGAGTTCAGTGGCTGGTGGGGTTTTACGCTTACACTCATACACGACATTTCACGGTGTGCTTGACATGGTTTGGATGATGGCGTTTGCTATTATTAAGTAACCTGCCTTGCCATTGCGAGTGTTGTGATACGGTTTCCCAGCCAAAGATGTTATGCGAAAGAGAAACTTGCTAATGTCTTGCCAGCTGAGAAGGATTTACTCATCAGTCGGAAACCAAGAATAAACCCCAAGGACCTCGGTAGACCTGGTGCTCGAGAGACAAAGGCACAGGGACAGATACGGGTTCTACATTACTGTCATTATTATGTTCGAAATAAATCTTTGATTGCTTTGATATCAAACAAGCCCCTGGGTTATTGTGTTGCTGCAGTGAGGATCATATAGCTTAGGATGTGATATGCCCTACAATGTTTTGGCATTCAAGGATTAATCTTTCTGATATCAACCTTTTAGCGACATTGGGCGATCTCTCGACTTGAGCTACCAGATCCCATGTTAGAAAATCATATGCTTAGGGAAATGTCGTGTCTCTGTTACATAGTAATCATCGACCATGGGGCTGCCAAAAAGTATGAAGCCTTGAATGTGATCAAATGAGACCTCCACCTGATACTCTTTTAAGCCAAAGAAAAAGTTATCATCAACCCATCTTAGTTCGGAAGAACATTTATTCAAGTACATTGCAAGGTAATAGTCATTATAGTAAGTCTAATGCTTTTCGCTGGCACCTTCTTCAGTGTCATCTCGACGTGAGTTCCACCTTCGCTATGCTCTTCATGATGTTCCAGATCACATCTGTCACCCAGTCATCCAATTCCAATGCATTTTCATGTTACTTCGATGGCAGGTGTGGCATGTCTACATTATCCGATTAGTGATTACTCTTTGCTACAATAACCAGAACCTTACATTAGTGGTATACGATTTGTTTACGATGGCCACGACGACTTCCTCGAGAGTCTTGTCTTCATCATGGCATGAAGATAAACACCTTTGATGCCTGGCAAGGAACCTTATTGTCGTTTTCAGCGTCCAAGACCAAAGGCAATGAGGAAAATTTTGTTGTTTCTTTGGTTTGAATCTTGATGAAGTGAGTATAGCACCATTGTCTAGCCGAGTCGCGGTGGTGGTGCTTGACTCGGTGTCGAATAAACATCCAAATCAGGGGATTGTAATTGATCGAAATAGTCAACCTCATCTACATGTTGGTGCTGTTCTGGTGTGGTGGGCATGGCAACGGTATCATGGGTGGCCTCAGCTGGAGTTAAAGATGGTGGTGGCATGGGCAAAGAGGTGGGCACAGACAACGGCGTAGCCATGGAAACAGCTGGTTGTTGATGTTGATGATGATCTGAAATGCAGGTTTGCTTCGATACAAGGCAAAGAAAGCGTAAACCATTAGCCCCACATTATTCTTCTTTCCTTTTCCTCACATCCAGCTCATGCTTACCATTGAATGAATACCTCACGTTGATATCCAAAATATGGTTCAAAGAGATGGCTCCAGTACCTTGAAAGTATCACGGCATTTCGATGCTGCTTGTAAATGTCATCGCATCATCTTAGACTTATCTAATGTGATTTTCTAGCCGGTAATCGGAAAAAGGAACAAGGGAAGGAGAGAAGGGGAGAGGGGAAAGAGAAAGAAGAGGGAAACGAAGGAAGTAGATCATGAACGCGTACAATAACATGTGTTCTGTTGATCATCATTCTTTGTCTCTGATACAAATAAATAAAAAAAGAAAGAAACCCGGCTGGATGGCCCTATCCTCACCACCTGCAACAATGAAAGGGACGTTAGATCAAGAAGAAGAATGAAGAAACAAGTACACTTACCCTGCACAGGTGGGATCAGGCAGTTGGAACAAAGACAAAGATTTTGTGTAAGCGGGGCCCGATGCAGAGGAGAGCGTAGCTCGTGCTGGTTCACCTGGGTGGTATGTTTGAAAGCAAAGATTAAAAGCGATTCAAGGCTGCAAATGTAATAAATGTGTATGTTACCAAACGTTTCCATGTCACGTTACTTTTGGTATAGTCGGCTTGGTTGTAAGGACGAGCAGCCGATTAAAAACGCGTTGTTGCTGTATAGCTCCTCTCTACTGTACACGCTTTTTACGATGCATGTTTGCCCTTGCGTTCCCCGACGCTGGCGGTATGTATCATTATCTTGAAGCATTTCCTGGAACCCCAAGAAGAACGAAGCTACAAAAGAAATACATAGCAGCAAAGAAATTAGATTGCAATACGTGCAGCCATGTCCCTTTTCCAATTCTTGTACCTTCTTGTAGTGCTACCCAGTTCTTGTTCTGCAACAACCGCCTGGGTCTTCGTTGTCGTTGATCACGTTGTAATACTTGCTCACGTAATTGCTTGATTTTCTTTGTGGGTTCGCAGCGAATAAGACAAGGACGGTTACAGCGTTTGGCCATTTGTGAGATGCAGACGTCCCGTGTATGGAGATTTTAACGTGCTGGTGGCGTCCAATACAGTATCAGGTTACTGCTTAAACCGCATAAAGAGAAAAGATTAGAATCATTGAGTAAGCAAAAGAGAGCTTTGCTATCCCTTAACTTACCTTGAAAAGTACATTGGATTCATCGTTGTCGACATTGTCAGTTGAAAAGAGCTATAACCAGGACACCTTCTTATATCAACCCCATGTGGGCTCTGGTGTGCCACCTAATCCACCTTTGCATATGTATCTCAGGAGATAGCTACATCAAAAGGGAATGTGAATATGTGCATCATCAAGTAGGGTGATCAGGCTTCACCTTCAATAAAGAGCTAACTATCACAATGACAGCAATGATAATGAAAATAGGCTAACAATGAAGGCTAGAAAAGGTCATCATCACAAATGAGTCCATGGATCGGTCACAAACTAAGACCATCAACCTTCATGATACTCACATTAACTTGGGCTTGGAGGCTTCGGCAATCAAAAGAGTGGTACAATGGAGGCAAAGAAGAGGGGTATGGGAGTATGATAGTAGGCGACAACATCCCTGGTTTATATATGCATGGTCGGCGTGGGTATTTCTGTGACCACAAACAATGATAAATGTTTGTTGGGGATAGTGTACAAGATGATAGATTGATGGGATGGCTTCACAAAGAGTCTTGGTATGGTTGATTGCCGCTGCATGAATCAAGATTTGAGATGTAAACAAGGTGACAATATCCATCATCATCTTGGCTATCACGAATCACTTGTTCTGCTAAATTTCACGAGATAAGACGTAGGGTACTCCTTTCAGTAAGAAAAGTTGAAGATTGTCAGCAAACATAGCGCCCACGCATGGTGGGGATCCCATTCATCATCCAACAGTGCACCACATGCTTTCCTTTTTTGTGCGTTTGAATGGGAAATTACATTTATAGACGTTTGTTTAAAGTAATAAGCTATGGATACAACTAAATACAATGTTGGTATGATCTCTGTGGAAGGATGATGGAATGTTGTCATGGAGCTATTAGGTAACGAATGATCCAAAGCACGTGTTGCTGGGATGAGGAGAGACGAAAGCCCGACATAATTTGGCGTGCAATGCACACACGCACGTTTGTTTCTTTTACTGTACTACCCCAGACCTTCTCCTCACTTGAAATGCAATCGTCAACAGGCAAGGACGCTATACCCTTTTGTGAAGCCATTCAACTAAATGACAGTGGACAATGTAGCATCTTGGGAGACTCTACTCGACCCACAAGAAAAGACATCGTACGTGGAATTGTTTCGAACGGCTGACACCGAAGGCAAAGGTGTCCTTCTCAAAGATGAAGCCATGGAATTCTTCAAAAAGTCCAATGTACCCAACAACATTCTAGGCGAGGCAAGTATATTCAACAACATTTATTGTCGTATGATGTATACATACTTATATCATAGCTCTAGATATGGGAAGCAGCCGACCGAGACAACAAGGGTTTCCTTACCGACCAAGAATTCTGTATAGCCATGAAGCTGATTGCCTGTGCACAACATGGTATTCTTCCTGCTAGCCCTGTATTGACAACAACTGGTAGGTGGGTATATTGTGTGTGCGTGTGTATGTACAATGGGATGTATATCCATGATTGACGCCAATTTGATAGTCCCATTGCCACAACTTGAAGGGGTTCATGTACGACCAGCAATACCGAATACGAACCGACCCTCGACCCCACGATCCAATCCTCCACCTTCAGCAAGTCCCAATCTCCAGGCAGCTTCACCAGGAAGTGACACTTTGTTACCTGATGAACGTGCCCATTATATCAGTCTCTTTCAATCCTCAGGTCCTGTGGATGGTATCTTGATCGGTAAGTGGATCGAAGGATGGATTATACAAGGAATACGTTAGCTGATATGCAAGGATATCATTAGGGGAAAAGGCCAAGGAGGTCTTTTTACGATCCAACTTGCAACCTTCCACGTTACACCAAATTTGGTCACTTGCTGATACTCGCAAATCAGGCACTCTCAACCAGACCGAATTCATCATTGCTATGCATTACATTACACGTGTCCTCGCTGGCCATTCTTTACCACCATCTCTTCCAGCATCTATTTATGCAGCAGCTGCTTCAGGTCGAATGAAATCGCCCGTCATGTCCAATCAATCACCTACCATTCGACGTCAAGATACGATGCCTTTCACAGGTGGTCAATCTCATCATCCTGGTCGTGGCGATTTTGATATTTCAAATGAAGAATTCAACAAGTACAAAAAATTCTTTGAACAATTGGATACGAATCACTCTGGTTTTATCTCTGGTATGTTATCCTATTGAAGGAGGTGGATTCATGCGTTGGACTTATGGTACTGCTTTTAGGTGGTGATGCTGTTGTTTTCTTCCGCCATTCCAAGCTATCCGAATCTGATCTTGCACGTATTTGGGATCTTGCTGATACGAATCAAACGGGTCAATTGAACTTGCAACAATTTGCTGTTGCTATGCATTTAATCAACCGACGGCTTTCGGGTGGTCAAATTCCAACCACGTTGTCAGGTAAATATTAGTTCCCTTGGAGATAGAAGATGATATTGACTTTGAATGGGATAGATACGGGCCTTGCACGACACCCATCATTTATGAATACTCAATCACAATCAACTGCTGCTGCTGCACCTACCCAACCTATGGCCAATCAATCATTTGATCTCCTTGGCTTATCTAGCAATGAACCATCATCATCAGCAGCACCACCGCCCGCTCAATCATCATCGCTACCATCAGTATCTCAGCCTGCTGTAGGAGCGACAACTGAATCTGTGAGTAACATTGGGCAACAGCGTGCTGAGCTCGAGTCGACACTTACATCCATCCGCAATGAAACGCAAAATCAGATTGCACGTAACGATCAGCTTCGTTCACAAGTGGATACCGAAGCACAGGCCATTCGACAATTGCAGGAGACCATTGCACGTGAGAAAGAGTCTTTGGAAGCGTTGAAACGAGCAGCTACAGATGCTGAACGAGAATTGGAACAACAAAAGAGCAAAAAGAACGAGCTGACACAAGAATTACGAGTATTGAAGCAAGAACACAATCACTACAATCAGCGTCTTGAACATGCTCAAAGCGAATTGCAAAAGACAACCATCAGCTCACCTGTATCTGCAAAGGAACAACCAACGACGAGTGCATCCTCCCCCATCAACAACAACAACAACATGTTTTCGTTATCCACTGCACCAGCTGGAGAGTTATTTGGCTCTGTCAATCAGCATTCAACGGGATCTCCCTCATTATCACCAGCAGCAAAGAAAGGATTCGATCCATTTGAAGGATTCAAAAAGGGGGCGGCAACATCATCATCTGCAGCATCGTCTCCTATTGCAACATTGAATCGATTGAAGGAAGAATCTGATAACAAGCAACAAACAAGATCGGGAACACCCAATGTGGATATCAGTGACATTGAAGCCAAATTCCCTGATCTATCAACGATGGAGCATAATTTCCAACCTACTTCACCAGCTCATCATCCTCCTCCTCCAGCATCTTCATCATCAGCAACATCCACGCCTGCTGCAACGCCTAAACAATCATCAGCATCGATTCCTTCTTCTACACAACCACAACAACAACCCACTTCACCCTTCCTTCATAATAATTATTCGATTCCACAACAACAACAACAACAACAACAGCCATTGGTTCGCCAAGCAACATTATCCCCTTCACAAGCTAAATCGGTTGCCAAGTACGGTTTTGATCTTTCAGCCTTTGAGGATGATGATGGACCCTCTACATCTACCACAAACACTGCTCCTGCTGCTGCTGCTCCTCCTTCTGGATCACTCAAGGATGATTTGCATTCATTGATCAGTAGCCCTGCAACTACAGGATCCACTCCTCAACCACCACCACCACAACAACAACAACAACAACAATCCACCAGCTTTGATGATATCTTCAATGTCACTCCTAGCAACAACAACAATAACAAACCTGCCCCAGAAAAGAAGCCCACATTTGATGAAATGTTCTTTTCTTAAATCAATAAAAGCTTCATAGTATACCTCCAACTACATAAGATTTGGGTGATGCATATGTATATACAAGTCATTATCTATTGTCATTCTATGATGTCTTAGCTAGTAAACAAGCGTTGAATAAACTCGGTGAGACCGATTTCATTGGTATTGAATTCATATGCGCCCCACATGACAAGAGCTGTAGTGGATGCCAAAGACCAGTTGGCGACCTTGTGCATGCGTGGGTATTCACGCTTGGGAATATAATCAACAATGCAAGACTCGAAACCAAGGTAAATGTGATATGGCAACACGACACCAAGCAAGCCGTCGGTGATTGGATGAGCACCATAGATAAACTGTGTGCTGATTAAGGGAACCAGGGCAAGTGATGATGCACGTTCCATTGACCACAAATAAGCTCCATGTGCATAGCCTTGTTCAGTAGCCTTCGTTTCATTATTCGATACAGCTTTGGTTGTTTCTTCTACACACATACAACATGTCAATTTGATCCGGATAGAATAAAATGCATCCTCGACTTACCCTTCTTTTCAGCACCAGCACCAGCATCCGTCGTTGCGACAGCAGTAGTGGCAGTAGAGGTTGAAGTGGATGAAGTAGCAGTAGCAGTTGTTGTGGTGGTAGAGGTAGCTGCAGTGCTCGCTTTAAGAGTCGAAAACAGGGATCGCCTATGAGTCAATGATCGATCGGGCAGCAGTCGACAATGTCACTTACAGGGTCTGGTCCACATTAAAGGTTGGGATTGTAATAAGCGTGGTCGACAGTGGCGAAGTAACATACGAGAAGCCATAGTGAACAAAGAAAAAGAGAGGATGTGGTCTTTACTGCTGCCCTGGAGACCTGGCAACCAAAATATATTGCGGATTGTGAAACATAGACAGCACCATGCCACCAGCACATAGTAGGCAGCTGAGCGATGGTATAAAGAATCCTGAAAAGGTCATCAACGTAATAGCATAGCGTGTATAAAGGGATCGAATACTTGATGTAAATAAAGACCAACTACTCGATTGATTGTCATGTCCATTTTGGATACAATGAATGTGTAAGTATACTTGAATCAAAACGATGAAAATGGGCTATATACATAGCTGCATGCAAAATGCACATTGATCATTGCGTCGTATGTGTACATGTCCACACAACGAACGAACAGCCTTGTTTGATTGGATTTGATTCTTTTGAGTGTGTGGGTGTGGGTGTGTGGATGTGTGTCAATCAAAGAATAGTGGCTTCGCGTGTCAGATTTAATTTCCTAGCTTTGGGCTCAACGCGTGGAACAAATCTTCTTTTCTCTTTCACATGGATCATCCACGCGGCTCTTCGCCACCTCCACCACCACCACCACCACAGACGATGTCTTCTTATCCAAGTGAATATAGTCGTCGTTCGCCACCACCTCCACCACCTCCACCAGGTTATGGTTATCGTTCAGGAGGAAGACCTTTTAGTTCACGTCCTTCGTCATCTCGATCTCCACCACCTCCACCTCCACCACCTGCACCTCGACGATCAGCCAATGACCGTTATTATGAAAGAGACTATTATTATCGTAGCAGATCACCTGTAGCAGCAGCAGCAGCACATCCACATGCAACACGTTATTCGTCTCCACCACCACCTCCACCTCCACCAAGATATGCATCGCCACCTCGACGACGTGGTGATGATAATGATGCTCCTACATCGAGATCACGTTCACCCGATAGACGTAGCAGCAGATATCGTGATGACTATCCACCTCCTTCTTCATCCTCATCCTCTCGTTATGATCGCCGCTATTATGATCGTTATGATGATTCTCGTCGATACGACCGGTATGATGATCGACGCTATCCTCGCTCATCATTGCCAAGAAGACCACGAAGAATGGACCGGTAACAAGATCAATTCTATTTTACAAACTCATATATATGTATGCTCATGCAACATGTTATTTAGTGGTTCATCCAGAGATCGTGAAGAGTCAACCACGCTGTTTGTTGGTAATCTTCCTTATGACTATATGGAACGAGAGGTATGTTGTATAACATTGAGTTTGTCATACACGAATTAATCATCTTGTGAGTAGGTGGCTTCCATGTTTGAACGCTATGGAAAAGTGAACAAGGTCACAGTCCCTGTGGACTCAGCTACTCAAAGAAACAAAGGATTTGCATTCGTTGAATTCGATCAACGACGTGAAGCCGAGGATGCTTTTGAAAGATTGGACAAATTCAGTGTCGAAGGCAGGCGACTCAAGTTGGATTGGTAAATGGGTTTTTATCGCGAGAGAGAGAAAAGTTGCGGGGTATACTTATATAGATTTATCTTGTAGGGATATTGGGTTGAAAAAGAAGGATGAATATCGTGGTCGTCGTTTCCAGGATCGAGGAAGGTATGCTTTGTTTATCTTTGGATGAGTGTATCCATTCAACTCACCACCCAAATGTTATCTTAGATTGCCACCTCCTCGTTCTCCTGATCGCTGTAAGTATAAATGAAAGCGTATCTTCTCATATCAGCATACTCATCCAATTATTATAGATGCAAGTCCACCACCACCTCCCCCTCCTTTATCATCACCTCCACCAAGATCACGTGAATACAGACGAGACTCCCGAGATCTTTATCGTCGATGAAAGAAAAAAAAGAGAGAGCATTTACAGGCTACAGCGCAACCAAAATACAACACTCGCAACACATTTGTTGAAGCAGTTCTTGGATATAAGGAACGGCTATCAGGATTTAGTCGGTTATATTGTGGATCTATATGTATATAATGCACGAGGATAAAAGATGATGGTGATCATGATGATGGAGGAGAACAGCAGCAACCCGTCGCTAGATAATGTACCAAGACGATGGAGATGGATGATGAATGGAAAGACACACACCCACAGACACAGACTCAGACACACACACACACACACATCCACTACTAGCAGAGACGCGAATACAAAATGAGGAGGAAAATCTTATTGATTACAAAAGGAGGAGAAGAGAGGAAAAGAGAGAGAGGAGAAGAAAGAGAGATAAAAATGAATGATCAACAGGTAAGCGTAAACACACACATACAACTATAGATGAGAACTAGGATACGTATAAAAGTGATAATAAATCAATATGGTTATTGCTGCAATGCTTCCATGTAATTGCCTGGGATCAAAGCACGTGTTCTCCTTGAAGGATCAAGTAATTCAGCTTCCCACCATCCATCAGGTTGTTTGTGAATCACTGCAAATGTATCACCCGCTTTGAATGACATTTCAGTCTCAATCTTGGCTTCATAACCCCATAAGGCACGCACTATAAAATGATGTCAATCTTCCCTTTCAAGTGTGTATATGTAAACCTCTTTCTTACCATAGCCAAGGATAGGCATTCCATCCGATAATCGGTTACCACGCATCGAAGATCGATTTTCTTGCGGCGGGGGTAATGGTGATTGCTGTGGTTGTCTCTTTTCGCTTTGCGACGTTGGCATCTTTGGCACTTCAGGAACATTCTCATCTTCTTTACCACGCTTTTTGCCGAAAATCGCTAATGAAAAACGACCTCCACTCTTTTCTTTGGTATTTTGACTCTGAGATGGTTTTGGTTGAGGTGCTTGTTGTTGTTGTTGCTGCTGTTGAGGAGGAGGAGGATAGGATGCTTGCGGTGGTGGTACAACATTGTAGGGTTGTGTTTGTGATGGTGGTTGCTGTTGTTGCATTGAAGAAGAAGATGTTGGTATCATATAATCATCACCGGGAACAGGAGTCAAATGTTGTCTACTTTCAGGGCGAGGACCATTAACACTGTTTTGTCGACCAAGGCCACCTGTAGAATAGTAATCAGAGCGTGGTTCTGGAGGAGCCATCGATAATTGTTGTTGTTGCTGTTGCTGCTGTTGCCATGGTGCTGCACGAATCCCCGCTTGTTGTTGTTCTGCTGTAGCTGACAAATCGGTGGGTGTAGGTGATGAAGCATGACGTTGAAGTTGAGCACGCACAGTCTCAAGTGCTTGATGAGCAGCACCAGCAGCAGCTGAAGGTTGAGGAGGTTGACCCATTGATGTATCAATTTTCAATTCGGGTGGTGTTGTTCCATGCATGCCTACTACAGCAAGGGTTGGAATGGTGCTTTGACGATCATAAATGCGTGCATTTTGTGTCCGTACAGGTAATTGTTGTGGTCGACGTATCGATGAAATCATCCATTTCTCTTCTCTTGGCTTAGGTCGTACCAAAGGTGGAAACTCATCCTCACTCTCCTCTTCATCCTCTCCTGGGGTTGGGATATTTTGAAGCTTGGGTTGTGGTGGTGATGGTGCCATTTTGGCTGGTGAAGGCGCACGCATATCAGTAACATGATTCTCAGGCGATTTTGCAGTAGCTGATTCAGTGGAGGAAGGTCGTTTGGGTCCATCATAAGATGGATTGGGTATAGGCTTGAAACGAAGATTATTGCTATTGTTGCTTTTGTCTGAAATGTCGCTGCCGTTACGTGTTGGTTTTGACATGGATGGTGATATAGCACGTTCTACTGAAGACGAAGGACGAGAATTGTTCATATCTTGGGGATATTGTTGAGGTGAAGTCACCATAGGTTCACGAGGGGCAGGAGTCTCTGTCGGCGTCGAAATAGAAGTTGTCATAGGAGGTGCATTATTATGCAAAGGCGATGTCGTAGGTGAAGCATTATTGTGCGCTATGGGTGGTGGTGACATTGTACGTGCTATGATAGGTGCTTCAGGTGCTGCTGCAGATGATGATGCCTTGTCGGTTGGCTTTTCCTTGATGCATAATGAATCAACATCGACATCATGGCCCACGCCATCAAGCATACTCTCAATCTCTTTGAATGCAAATGACATTGTATCTGGTTGTTGTTGTTGTTGTTGACGTTGATCACGTGATTGAACACTTGCTCGTTTTCCAGAGTGATGATCCTCCTCCAAAGGTTGTGCGTATTCAACAAATTCAAATCCATGGAGTGAGTCGAGGGCAGATTCACGATTGTGCGCGTAAGATGATAATGATGTTGATCCACGTTTGCTTTCATCCTCATGCATGCTCATTGTAGGAATAGTGCCATACGTTTGCTGTGGTGGTTCTCGTACTTGGGAATCAGAAAGTGGACGTCCAACTGATTTATGGTCATTTTGTTCACGTGAGACTGGATCATCTGAATAGGCTCTCGTGGGTGGCGGTTTGCTTGTATCAACAATATCAGTGGCGGTTGCATTTGATGGTGGATTCGGCAACGCTGAAGGCACAGGTGGTAGAGACATGGTTGGTGGCGGTGGCTGTGGACCTCGATCGGTGACACCATTAGAGATATTCATTGGATCTTCATAGGACATCATAGCTAAGTTATAGGGTAAGAAAGATTGCACATTATGACACCCTTGTATACATTGCTTTACCTGTGACCTTTGATCCTGTTCCATACTTGTCAATAAAACTCTTGATATCCTTATCCACGTCTGTCAATTCCAATGCCGAGCGAATCCTTTCACAGCACTATAATCCGTATACGAATGAATGACCCATTCGGTTGTATGTATCAAGATGATGATATCTTACCTGATCATCCACGATATAAACGCTTGACATCATATTTGCAAATCTGAATTAAAAATGCTCGTTAGTACCATCCATCCACTATTGTCCTTGATATCCTTATACTTACGCCCACAAGCTACTTCGAATGAAGTTGATCCGAGACTCTTCTAATTCCTGGTATACATCGCAAGTGCTCTGCCAATCCGATATCCATTTTTGGGTCACGTCGTTAAGCACATCCACTGCTCGCTTGTACTCGCTTTCTGTAAATAGGTTAGTCTCGTGATGTATCAGGCGTACAAGAGATGGGTGACATTACCTGCGGCAATAACAAGCTTCTTTTGCTCCTCAATTTCCTCTTCAACCTAGTATTCATGATATGAATAAACCAAATGTCTTGATCCTAAACTTGTCAATTACCTGATGCACCTCATCCGGTGATAATTCTTGATGACGTTCAGTGATATACTTCTCCATGCCTGTAAGCTTAGTGGATTCGGCCATGTAAAGATCCCTTGTCTATGAATGTATTATGTATATCAATTAGCCCATGATAAAACAAGCAATCGTTGTCAATTACCCGCATCACGTTTGCATAATGCATCGATCTCAGCTGTTTAGAGTTCTCTACTTGCTGTGATTGCTAATGCCAAGCCCATCAGCCTCTTGTACAATGCTCTTTGATATTCTCAACAACTTACCGCTTTGCGTTTTTCACTCTGGTCGTTGGTAAACCCATCCAATGGTGCCTGAAGATGTTGGCGTAACTGGTTGGCTAGATCCACATGGGCTCTGGCTGTGATCTCAATGGCACTCGGTATATGCGATACACTCTCGGCTAAGGTGCCCTGTTCAGCACGACCCACTTCCATTTGTGATAACTTGAGTAGTCGTTCGCCATAGTCTTCTTCGATTTGTGCCCTGAATACATGCATATCAGTCAAGCCCCCTTTCAACACGTGCAATAGAAGCAAGATGGGGGACGCATTACCTGATCTCATAGAGTTTTCTGATCTCATCGCATGTTTGCTTGGAAAGCTCCAACTTGTCGGCTATAACATCGACCCCCCGGTCATCGTCATCCTAGTTTCAGGGGGACGTCTCATTAGCACATGGCGTTCATTGGCATTGAGAAGGGGGCATACCCAGAATGAATTGGCAAACCGTGTACCCGTCATTGTAAACGGTTATATGAAAACGAAAAGAGGAAAAGAGCCAAGATCCAAATAGAGGCACACACACACACGGTAGAACAAGAAAGGCCACAGCTAAAAATAGGTTACGTCGATCCTCCAGAAAACTGAGTTTGATACCTCTTTTAATAAAAGTGGTCGCCCTTATCAACAATAAACATACATCACATACAACATCATCCTGTGTCTATATATGCAGTGGATTATAAAGCTTATGTTATGAAAATTATGCGTGTCGTTGAGGAAACGTGGTAGGTAAACATGGAATGTTGGGGAATGAGAGGTTAATGATAATATACTTTAGTGCCAACCAGATCATCTAATACAATTAACCTTCTTTTGTCGGAACCCGTAGCCAAGACGGCGTTCATTATCATATCCTTTCAAAAGATGTTCCACCACCCATGTTGTCTCTTGCATACACAAAGTGAGTGCTTCATTGACAGGCTGTGTCTTGTGTTGCTTTACAACAATGAAATGGTGGTGATGATGCATGATCCAAAACTAATGACTTTGAAACAGGTCCAATAATATCCCAGCAAAGCTGCGAGAGGTCAAGTGCTTTATCATCAATGTTGGTCAACAAACCATCCAAATAATGTACATTTGACATGCAACGTGGTCAATATTTCGTATGTGGCGTCATCCAGGGTTACACGCATGATACGCTTATTTCCATCTTCATCCTATATAGGTTAACGCGTCCAACCAGGTTTATCACCTTGAATCTGTAATCATCCCCATGTTCTTTTATGCACATGTCAAAGTCAACCAACCTATTGTATTGTATCAACAAGTGTGACAAGTGTACGGGGGGGTCACTGGCACACAAATTTGCTTCTCCTGGCAAGATTCTCACGTGACTTTGGCCTCATCTCCCATCATCTTCTATGCTCTCATGAAGTATTTTGTTGTCCCCATTGCATCAAATAGCTTTATACCAATACAGAATCGTAGCTTAGCTACCAATAGATCTATAAAGACATGTCGTCGGATCATCATACACCGAATAAAGCACGTCCTTGTTCTCATATTAGCACTCTTAGCAGTAAAGTCATGCCTCCTTGTAATACAATGAAAATCTTCTTTGTCATCGAAACAAAGAGTCTATTATCACGGAGAGATTATTCCACCAGGATGTATAATCGTAATGCTTACTATGTATACTAGGCTTAACAAGCTACTGGTATCATTCTATAATGATCAAACGGCAATCGCTATCAGTGATCACGCATTCCATTGGGTGCAGAGCTTACCACCGTTTTCATACATGGCAAGTGCTAGATTCCATTTCCCACTCACTGATCCACACATCCCATTGCGGTGTGAAAGGCGTAACCATGGAAACCCGCAATTCCAGAGTGAGGAAAGCAAAATCCAATGCATGCTTTGTGTTACAGCAGCCACACTCTGTGCATGGTTACACCACCGAACAAGGGAGCAACACGCGTATGCTCTATACAAGTCTTGGCTAGCTCGTTGTTTAATATTGAAAAAGGGAAATTTATACACGTAGTAATGGGGCTTAGTCGTTACAAGGGGCGGGGAAGAGAAGATGAACGATTAAGTGTTGAGCAAAAAGAATGCCATCATCACAATGGCCACAAAGGCATGATGAGGTTTCGGGTGCATGATACTCATCGCATTATTGCCCGTTGATGACGAACCACCACCAGGTGTTGTGCTACCCTGTTGAGATTGGTGATCCGAAATTTGGCCACTCGCATCCATGTATCGGCCTTGAGTGTATGCTGGTAATGGCGGCAGATCGTCGTTATCTTGGAATTGAAGCTGTTGACACGTTGCCGCTGATCTTGCCTTGATGAATTCCAGTATGCCTGTTTGGCCATTGGTTGTCGTGTTCATGTTGCTTTCAAAATCTTGGATCGTAAAGTTAGATTTAGCTCCAGGTGATCGAGGTTGTAATTGGCGATCCCAAGCCATATCCTCATGTAGCATAGCAGTCCATGCTTGAAGCCGTGGTTCCATCACTGAAGGCTTAAAGAATCGCTTGATAACCGTTTTTAAGATCGTCTCGAATTCATTCTTCCAATGGGGTGATGCAAGAAGCTTGTTAACAAGTGGACGTGTTGAATTGGGTCGTGCATATTGTTGGTATGGCACGGTCATTAACTTTTCATCAGGCGAATTGTTACCAAACGTCTCATCAAAATCATAGGTGATAACGGTCCATTGCTTTGTTTGGAGATCTTGATTCATGTAGCTGTTGCTTGCTTGATACCATAGACCATCCCATGATGCACCAAGAAAACTGAATGCAAGGTGGATAAGGGTATGTTGTGGATTCATGAGCTTGTTCCAAGCGTCGTCATTGGAATTACCATCGATGGCAGCCAAATCACGCATAAAGCCAATCAAAGGCACAATGGAATTATTCTTTTGAATGGTCTTGTCCTCGCCCTTATCTTCAAGCTTGTATAGATCTTCAGGGTATAATGATATGTCATCACCAAGGTATTGGAGATTGCCCTCTTGTTGCTCGCTAAGGCTGTTAAGCTTGATCGTTTCGCCTAAAAAGTGACATCATTAGTGCACCATTCTTGTATAAGCATTGACATCCATTTACCTGTAGAGGTACTCCTCCAATCACCGGCATGCAAAACATTGTCAATAAAGTGAGTTGAAGCGTCATCGATCATGACATACAAGCCGAATGGCTGATCATTAATAAACAAGCGCACCCAACTTGCTGACAAGGTTGCACCACCAGCCGCTGCGAGACAATCCATAAACAGCTTTTCCCTCCTAACGAATACAAATCAAGAAATTTCACTATAATTAGTATTTGAACACACACACTCACACAGGTGATGATGGCCATTTTTTTGTACTCACGCCATGGTCATATCGGTTTCTTCGGCACGAAGTTTCACAACTGTACGACCATAAAGCAAATCCTTTGTGGTTTTGTTTGGGTCTGCAAACTTGTCAAACTCGAGCTTGTAGCTTTGCTTGGCAAAATCCTTTGTGGATTGACCGCTTGTGGAAAAGCCTGCACCCCCTGTAAAGACATGGACCTCGTTGCTTGCAATGTAATGCACCTCGTCGACCTTGATATCCTTGACATCGGCTTTGGGATTGGCAAGCATGGCATCCAAACCAGTGATATTGGCGATCTTGAGTACAACGGTGGCCACTTCATTGGATCGGTTCATTCCCGTAAAGAGTGCTATCATCACACCGAGGAATCGTTAGCGCTTTTGGTAATGCAATGTTGTTGATTTTTGCCAAGCAACAAAACATAAACAGAGTTTGCCCTGCGCCATCATCCATCACAAAGATTTTCTGTCGCACACACAAACATACCCATCTCATTGCTCAATGGGGGCGGGGGAGAATTACTTACTTGGATAGATCGGATTGAAAGCTTGAGGCAGATCGGGCACGTCGTACACGGTTTGAGATCGACCAAAGAATTCGTTCCCTGTCGATTGAACACCTTGCTTGAGTTTCCGTTGGGTGGGTTCAGGTTGATTTTTTTGGCCATCCACGAGCACATATTGATAGCTGTCGCTTGAAGGAGCAGTGCCAGTATAGAGGTACGATGATTGTTGGCTACGTGAAAGTGGATGATTTTGACCACCAACAGACACCGCCACGGATTGTGAGCCTTGTGGAAATGCAACCACTGAATATTGGACGTCTGCAGCACCTATAGTGGTGATAGCACATCCACCTAATGCTAGCAATAATGGGGTGATCAACATGTATGTAAAGAGAAGGGACGCCTAAGGAAGCAAGAGATGGAGCAATGTAAGAGGAAAAAGAGAGAAGGAAAGAGATGTCAAGGTAAAAAAGTAGTCCTTGGAAAAGGCAGCCTGCTCTTGTCTAATTTATACTCACGCACCAGCACCACCACATCTTTCATTCAAGTGATCGTTGCTGACCGCGCGTGAGGTGGCGTGCAAAAATGGGTTGCGCAATAGTGGTGTAGCATCAATAAGCATGTGTCTGATTGACTGGATATGGTTCCTTGAGAAACATCTTTCTTCAAAAGATGATGCTGCATTATCCAAAACGAGCATATTTTCTCCTCCTTTACTTTCAACACTACTCCTTGGATGATAGAGAATCGTATCTTCCTCATTTTCCTTTTACATTTCATCTTCAATTGGTCCCACGCTTGACGCTGCTTATTATGTAATGCCACAACACACGCCGATCCTTCATTATTATTGATAACCACTTCTTTGGATGGACTTGTGCTGTTACACCCTGCGATAAATATAACGGATGAAAATGTCGATCATGGAAACGGCTGAGCCGCATTCCATACTCAGCGTGCGTTTCGGATCCCAGGGACTAGGTCTCCTGCAGTAAATGGTGCTGCACAATCATGCAGTAGGGAAGCCGTGTGTCGCATGTTGAAAACAGGTTTACCATTACCATTTGAAAAGAATTCATTTACGAGCACTAGCAATCACGCTTGTTTCCTTGTATCTTTGATGGGGTGCAGTAATAGTAATTATAGCAACACTTGGTACCGATAGCAGTATGAATAGCGAGGTTTTGGTGTTGGGTTCCAAGTCCAAGAGTGAGTTTACAGCCTTGTCAACATGTGGAGTAGCCCAAATTTATTATCACGAACATACATAATAGCCGTATGCATATCATGGGCGATGAATAATAGTAATTCTTGTACTTCTTTGAGGAGGTGGTCGAGCCTGGCCAGGTGAGAGCGAGATTTTGAGGAGTAAGAAGTGCTGCTGCATATTGTGATAACAGCACCACCAAATCCTTTCTCATCTTCAAGGACGAGGACATGCATTTTGCTCGCCAATATTGAGTTGTAAGCCATACCAATGCCTCATTCATTTGAGTCGTTAGAGATTGGACCATGTTGGATTGTCGTAAATCAAAGCTGGTGTAACGAAGTAATGGGGCTCGGAGAAGCTCTATTGACGGGATGGAGCGAAGATCCGTAAACAAAGGCGATCTCACATGATCTACACACCCCATATTCCACAGCCCCATTCGTGTCCCACCATGTGTAAAAAAAGACTCACATCGACAAGCATTGGAACATGCACTCTTGTAAGCTCCCGAGATGGCGCTACATACATGATGCTTTCTCCCCTTGAGTAAGTACAGTGTGAATGACAAGATGGATGTATGATTCAAACGTTTTGTCACAAATCTGTGTGCTCTGGGCTTGCTGAACAAGGTTAAAAGTGAGATGTAACGGTTACATTGGAGTAAAGTTGGGTTTGGATGATTGCTACTACCACCAGTGATCGCCCACCCATATACCGGACACTGCTGCTGCTGCTGCTGCTGCTGCAAGATGCAATAACGTTAATAGGAGCAATTTTAACAACCCTGGTTTTCCCATGCCCCGTTTTTTCTTTCGCTTTACCTCCATCCCCCTTTCCAAACTTACCATGTTATCGATGGAACGGTAGGTAATGCCATGTTTAGTTACACAAACCATCTTCGCGTGTGTCAAATAGTGGACCAAGGCGTTTTGTCAATATGGATTGGTATGCTTTTGCCGGGATCCCAGGTCCAGGGAATGTATAAGCTAGCGTATCAAAGTTTTCTGAATGATGGGCCATGACCCCAATTCCTATTTAGTGCTTGAGGATCATCATGTTGGTTATGGTGCTTCACTTTACATTCATGTAGACAACGAGTGCATACGTAAAATAGATCCGTTTGTTATCTACGATGATGACGCGATTGATTTATTAGAAGTGTACGTGTATCTACTATGATGATGATAATGTGTAGGGAAGTGACTTGGACATCTGAATGAGCAACTGCTAAAATGGGTCGGCCCAAGTGGGCAAGTTTATCTGGCTGATGGCTCCGCGATTTGACACAAACGCTTCCCCTTCTCTCTTTTCAATCCACACACCCTGTCATTCACTCAAGGCATCAAGGCATGTACAGAAATGAGCTCTTGTTGGTGATGCAAGTCCAGAAAGAACGTAGTATGCGGCTGTAGCCAAGGCTCTTCTTGTTCGTTGCTATGCTACTCCACGCTTGGTGTCAACAGGTACATTCAGAGACCAACGTTGCAGCCGAATTGGTTCCATTGACGCGTCAGCTTGTATAGAGGGCAAGTTTGGTCTTAATACGTGGGCTGGTTTGGCGTTTTGTTTCGGCTCAACTACACTACACCATGGTTTTCGGTTTCCAGTAACCAACAACAACGGGTCTTTGTGTATATGGAAAAGGCAAGTACAATGAAACAAACAATGAAAAGGGTGTTTATTGTGCGTGTGCGCTAATAATGAATTGAATAGGTTTCTTTGGTCAGGCAATGCAACTTGGGGCATCATCATCATCTCTTTGGGTTCAAGTCTCAGCCTGTATCAAGTGGCAGTTGCGTCGCTCTGCACTAGCCAAGTGTGCTGGAAAAGCTTCTTGGAACGCGTCCAGGGCTCTATAGGCCTGCGTTGAGTTGATGGGTCGATGACGATGGGTTGTTGGAAGAGCATGGTCACCGTGTTGAGGTAAAAGGGGATTTGCAACAGCTTGTGAATGTGTTTAACCAACACGCTCTTCTCGTGATAGACTCGTTCTTTCCCTTGAGGATTTCTTTTCATGAGGTGGGAAAATGATTGGAAGGATTGGGGATCATTCTTTCTTTGGAGAGGATGAATGAGGACAACTATGAGCCTGGACTCTACGTAAGTGATATCCTTCCTTGCCATGGATCGAACTGGCCTTGCGTGATTCGTGCAGTGCCTTCTCAAGAACAAGGGATCGCCCGACTTTGCTCGTATGGTGGTGATTTGGTTTGTGAATTCCTTCGGATTTGCTTTCTTCCTTGGAGAGGATCACCTAACGGTATACCAAATCGCCATCATTCCCGGTATCAGATGGTCTAACTTGCCTGCTTTCTTATTTGTAGAGACGGCAATTACGATGATTACCACATTCACAACAATGACAATGATGACGACGATCACCCCATCTACAACAATGACAATGATAACGACAACGAGATTCAAAAGGAAGCCTGCAAGATCCCGTTCTTTTCAACTAGTGTATTTTTGGATGTTGGTGCGACGGATGAGATTGAGGACTGGCGACGAGTACGAGTAGGAATGATGACGGAGGACGACTACGACGATGGTGGTGGCAATGTACAGTACATAGCAAGATAGCTAGATGAAATAAAGCATTGTTTATTTATTACACGCTTGTTGGAGGTTGCTAGCTTGTGGATTACATACTATTGCTTCGAAGATGGAATAATAAAGGTGGTCCGGTTAAGAAGTACATGGCTTTTGTGATACAATAAGGAGGAGTGGGAAGTGGGATGAGCTTGAGAAGAGAAAAAGTGAAAAGATCCCTCCATTGAGTTTCAGGATGAGTGACCCATTCAATATGTATACGCATCTTTTTTTACATATACAAATTGGTTTATGCAGCCTCCTTCGACCTTCTCCTACATGGTGCGATACATACCTTGACACACTCATGGTTGGATGCTGTTTTACTTACGTACCTTCACAAAAGGCAATCATCATCATCATCCATTTGTGTAGCAACCTGTCAAGGACGCGTTTGTGTAACCACGTGCGGTTTCACTCAGCTCTTCATCTTTCCGTTAATGCAGCCGACACCATCCACTAGGAAAAAAGCAACTCCATCATGCTTACAGCATAGGTAAAACATAAAGACGCTCGTATCTCCAAACTTTACAATGAAACGTGGCTTTTATTAGAGCAATGTGCTCGGCTTGGCCAACAGCACCTGTGCAAGCCATGTTCAATGTCGCAAACAGCCCAAAAAATATTTTTTGGTCGTCGAAAAAGTTTCAAGAAGTCGACCCCTGGATCCAGTTTGGCTGGTGGCGACATTGCGAAATCTGGGATTAGCCACGACAACTTGAACTGGCACACAAGGTGTAGTTGGCCAAGCCGAGCACATTGCTCTATTCAAAACCCCAATGTTTTATTTAAAGCTTGGAGATACAGGCACCTTTATGTTTGTAAGCGTGATGCCATAAGGAGAAGTGGTCTTTGTTTAATGTAAAGTAGTATGGCTATAATAGAGCAAAAGATTCAGAAGGACCTCTTTTTTGCACCCCGCTAAAAAGTCAGGACTTCAGGGACAATGCATGACAGGTACGCAACCTCACTTTTATGTCATACATTGGCAGCCAATAGCCACTTTTGTGCATTCCCAACTTTTGCATTCTGTCATTGTAGGTGGACGATGCTCCTGCTCTAGACATTCATTTCCATGATTAAAGTAGGTTGATCCCGAGCTGATTTGGGTTGAGTTACGTTTCCACACAAGAGTCATGCCGGTTGAGTTGATGCACGAGCGTGTTTATGTCCAGAGTGATAATTCTTTGACCGCAGCTCAGTCAAATCAGCTCGGATCAACCTTACTTAATCAAGGAAATGAATGTCTGGAGCAGGCATCGTTCCCATGCAGTGGATCTCGCAACAATGATGATTGATAAAAGTGGCCGTTAGCTAGCAATACATGCCTGTTCCTAGATGATCCATAAAGTAATTATACATTGACCCTTTCATTCATGCAAACGTAGCTGTGTTACAACACGACCCTCTGCATCTTTTGCTCTGCCAGGTTCCACCACTTACAATGAACAAGACCACTCTTCATATAGCATCACACTTACAAACATAAAGGTGCTTCCGTATTCTAAACTTTAGCAATGGGAAACGTGGGGTTTTTATTACAGCACAAGCTCGGCTTGGCCAACAGCACCTCTTGGCTCAAGTTTCACGTTCAATGTCGCAATCAGCCCAAAAATATTTTGGTCGTCGTTGTCGAAGATGTCGACCCGAGGTCGGCCCCATGTCTTCCGCGAATTCAATCAAATCGCCTGGATAAGGAAACAGGTAATCAATTCAGTACACCACCTTTATCTTATGCGAGAGCTGCTCGCGTTCAACGTCCCACTCGTATCTGAGCATCTTGACTGCTAATGCACTTGACAAAACCACCCGATCTCATTGTGTGGAAAGCTGGTGGATCCTGCCTTCGTGCCCGAGTTTGTTTTTGACTTCACTTCTCGCACCGAAAACCGTTCAACACTTCTTCGTCACGGGTGAAAGCTATCCCGATAACTGGGTGTGGTGCATCGCACTCAGATCATTCACGCCGTATTGCTGAGCTATTCATTGATGATTCATCCTTGTACGAAAAAGCCCGCAAAAATGGTCTTCTTTCTGATGAACCTCGTATCTTACCCACTGGCCTTTATCGGAAAACGCCTCACATCATCAACATTCGTCTCAGCAACCTGCCATTCACATCTAGGGAAAACGTCCAGCAGATGGTATTCGACAAGCACTGCACCCTTTGGTAAGATTCTAGATCATGGTATTCTTCGTGACCAGGACCCCACTTGTTTATGGGACATGGTTACGCAACATTAAACGTTTCAGCCTCACCTGATTTCCCTCCCACTCACACACACGATTTGCTGGCCCCAACCTGCCGACTTCTTTTAAGTATGGGCTGAAATGCCATTACATTGTCTACACTGTCACGTCGTTCCGGTCACTCTATTTCATCATGTCCTAAGTCATCCAAGTCGCAATCGTCTTTGCTGGTCATGTGGTCAACCAGGCCATCGTGCAGCAAAATGTTCTTATCATCGCACCCCAACGCCAACCAATAACAAAGAACCACACGTGCCACCATCGCTCCATCGCCCACACTTTCATCGCCCACAGCCACGACTCTGATGTTTCAATGCATTCTTGATGACCTTTCCAATCGTGGAAGCTCACAACGACCAGCTTATTGTCGACTTTATCCCACCAGCTCAATACTGACCCCAACGCCAAACCTATCACCGATCGCCAACGCAGACTACTTAACCGCCTGTTCCCCTATTTCCGACGAAGCAAGAACCATTACTGAAACACTGACCAGCGTATTCATGACAGACTTTATGCTACACTTCGCCAAGGGGAAAGCGTTCCCTTTCTTGCCTTCTTTTGCATCGGAAAGTGTCTCTTCTTCGAGCTCGCAATGATCCGGTTTGATCTATTTCTCTCAGTTAACTTTTACTTTCACATTGCTGTATCATCTTTGGGGTATCACTCCTCGACATACTCCCAATAAAAATCGAGGCAAATCAAGCCTCCTATAACGAAGAGGTCGACCCCCAGATCCAGTTTGGCTGGTGGCGATGATTTGCGAAATTCGATTGCGAAGTCGGATCGTGAAATTGGCACCCGGCGTGCAGCGCTGGCCGCCGAGCCCATTGCTCTAAGAAAACCCCACGTTTCATTGTAAAATTTGAGATGGCAGGTCGAGAGGTTTTCGTAAGGAGTGCCATAAGAAGAGTGGTCTTTGTTCAGCCAACAAAGTCAGTGGATCCTGGCAGAGCAGCATGCAGAGGGAACTGAGTTTGGTGGGGGACCCGCCATTTACATGGATTCAGGATGGAAGGATGATACTATATACTGCTGGACAAAGCTGTACATAGACGCATATTACTTTCACAATAGCTACTGTTGTCCACTCTATGACATGTGAGCGATTCTCCTGCTTCAGACATTCATTTCCATGATTGGATTATGTTGATCCGAGTTGATTTGGCTGAGATACAGCCAAAGAGGGATTTTCACATCAATCCACACATCTAACCATGCTCTATAAGCTGCTCAATCCAGTAACCTTGTATGAGCGTAGCTCAGCCAAATCAACTCGATCAACATAATCCGGACCCTATGGAAATGAATGTCTGAAGCAGGAGAATCGCTCACATGTCATAGAGTGGACAACAGTGGCTATTGTGAAGAAATGGCTGTTAGATCGCAATGTACGGGCTTTTGTCAACAGTATATAGTATCATCCTTCCATCCTTCCAGTCATGTAAAGTAGCTGAGTTACACAAATAGGTCCCCAGATCTTTTGCCTGCCAGGGTCCACTCACTTGACAATGAACAAAGACCACTCTTCTTATAGCATCACACTTACAGTTCGATAAGGTGCCTGTATCTCCAAACTTTACAATGAAACGTGGGGTTTTTATTACATAAATGGCTCGGCTTGGCCAACAGCACCTTGGGTTCAAGTTTCACGTTCATGTCATAAACTTGCCCAAAAAATATTTTTTTGGTCGTCGTCGAAGAGGTTGAGCCCCGGATCCAGTTTGGGCTGAGAAGCACATTGCGAATCGGGGACGTCTTCCCACGATGAACTTCATACTTTGACACAAGATCTCGACCCCGACGAGCACGTTGATCTATTAAAGAGCCCACGTTTAATTGTAAAGATTGGCGATACAGGCACCTTATGTTTTAAATGAGTTGCAAGGGTGATGCTATATGAGAAGTGGTTCTTGTTTAATGTAAAGTAGGTATGATCAAATAGAGCAAAAGATGCAGAGGGCGTGTTTGTGTAACTTGAGTCATTCAGCACAGGCGATGCATGATTCTTGTACACTATTTAGGAATAATTCAAAATGCCAGCTAATAACCTTAGTCCTCCCATTCTCCATTGTTGTCCAATCCAATGCATACGAACGATTGTCCTGCTCCAGCCCAGCATGCCCATCATTCAACTTTCTTGATCCAATGAGATTTGACTGAAAAATGCTCAAACACAGAAACATCATCCAATATCAGAAGAGTCAAATTGGTAAGTTATTTGTAAACTGCCGGCTAATAGCCCATTCCTTCCATTCACCTTTGTTGTCCAATCCAATGCACACGAACGATTGTCCTGCTCCAGCCCATCATGCCCATCATTTAACTTTCATGATTCGAGCTAACCTGGTAGTATGAAGGCAATGGATGTTGTTGGATCATCATTATCATGTAAAGTGTAAAATGACACACACCCTTTTAGTATACGTGAGGATCATCATTTCTTTTATTTACGTGTACCTATTGTCTATCGTGAGGGTGATGATGACGATGGGTGGATGGTGTGTATAGGGTAATTGATGAGTGGCCTTAGTGTAATAGCAGTAGGGGGATTTAAACTTGGGGAACAGCAGCTCCACGACTTGAGACAACGCTTCTCTTCTTTTTCTCCCACCTTTCCTTATTCCATTCACGACATCCCGATCAAGGTAATGTATTATAAAAGAGTGCTCTTGTTGGCTGTGAGGTGTTAATGTAGTTCTGAACATGCATTGTCAGGGAGAGTGAGTGTGTCCAAGTGCTGAGGAATGAGCGTGGTTGGTGGTTGGTGGTTGCCATGGCGATATTGTTGCTTCCTCTTGTTCGTTGCTATTCCCGCCTTACGTTTGGTGTCAAGAGGTACATTCAGAGTCCAATGTTGCAGCCGAATTGGTTCCATTGACGCGTCAGCTTGTATAGAGGGCAAGTTTGGTTTCAACACGTTGGCTGGTTTGGCGTTTTGTTTCGGCTCAACTATACTACACCATGGTTTTCGGTTTCCAGTAACCAACAACAACGGGTCTTTGTGTATATGGAAAAGGCAAGTAGTACAGTGAACAAAGACAATGGGAAAGGCGTTCATTATGTCTCTCTGTGTGTGTGCTAATAACGAATGACGGTATTCTTGAATAGGTTCTTGGTCAACTAATGCAATTTTCGGCATCACCATCTCTTTCGATTCCACTCCCTCCCTGCACATGGTGGCTATTTGACGGCTCTTCTCGTGATACGATGGTGGCTACTCTTTGAGGATTGGAAAGATGGGGATCCATTCGTGCTTTGGGAAGGTGAATGAGAAAAAACAATGAGTCCAGGAACTATGAAGGTGATGGATCGAGCTTGGTTGCGCGTGAATTGTGGTGAGTGGTTTCTCCGATAAGTAAGCCATCATCCTGCCAGCACCAGATTTTCTAATTCGTCCTTCTTTTGTATATGAAGACGACGATAACGAGATCCACGACAATGGCAATGGCGATAGGAATGGTCATGATAACAACAACGACAACGATCATGTAGTCAATCATAGTTTCCTCTCCCATCCAAAAATGCAGCATGATCAATCCTCTTGCAATAAAAGTCGTTGTATCTGGCAATAGCTTGATTTATTCCTCGGTATCCAATGACTCTGTGGTTTGCAAGAAACATCGAATTGTAGATACTACCCATTGTTGGATGAATGACAATGTATATACGGTGATGAAGTTTATCCTTTCTCGATTTTCACGCTGAGAATGCTCAAAGGTACGAATGATGACATGCTCTTTGGGAACAAACGCATTGCACATCAGCGCGGTTTTCTCACCCAAGGGATGAGACATGATAGTGAATAATAAAAGACGTGAACAAATCAACGTACACAATTGTGCATATGGAAGAAAATGTGGAGAAGTGAAGGATGGATAGCAGCACAGAGATAAGAAGGGTGATTTAGAAGCAACCCGTTGTGTAACATGGATATCATTAACTGCTGGTCATCTTCAGCGAGATAACGTGGCAATAGGCAGATAAGGCCTTAATCATGGATTTGTTTGCACACTTGAAAAACAAATGATAGGAAATATCAGGAAATGCCAAAGTACACATTATGACTCTTATCTGCCAACGGCTAAGCATGATGACAAGTATATAAGAAAGACAACGCTATTTAGGTACTCTTTACTATTACTACACCTTTTGAGTCTTACTATACACGCAAGCATGGATCCCGGTCTCTCTCTTCTGGAACACATCAAGAGTGTCCCCAACCTCATCAACGAAGATCCTAGCATAGTCACTCCCAAGTGCGTCTCGTTTTCTTCTCGTCGTCCATGGAAAGAGCAACCCATTTCAGCAATAGCAGGAGGAGGATCACACGATAGCAGCGACGAAGCTACATCGGATACGTTATGCTTAGGAAATTGGGATAGCATGACTACCTTTCAGGATACCACTGCAATCAAGCAATAGCATCATACGTATATAGTTTAGCATTAATGATACCATCATCATCGTAGAAATAACAACCGTTCTTTATGTATACCATGATTGTACCATTTGCTTTTACGATTTTGGAGCTTGAATCGAATGATGATGATCGTCGTATTTGATAGAGTGCTTTAGTTCTATTATCAATGATCATAATAATGGACGATGACGGTGATGATGGTGGTACCTTAATATCATGCAGCATTGTTTATCTGTGCGCACAGGCTGACGGATAGAGTAGCCTTGTTCAAGGTTGCACAAAGGTGCAACTATGTAAGCTTGCCCACTTGCTCGCTTTGCTTGCGATAATTGGCTATAAGGTATAGCTTTATCTGCAGCTGCTGCATAAAATGCAACGTGGCTTGCATAAAGGAACATGTAATGCGGGCACTTGTGGGCACTTGTGATACAATTCTATACCATTTCATGCTAACGGGGTGATGTGCGATAAGTGGGGTAGTTGTTGGCTATATCCAATTCTTTGTTCCCATGGCAATAGGGGTGTGTTTTTTCCAACAACAGCAACTTTATGGCTGTCCTTACACGCAACATCCGAGGTCCCGGCTGTGAGTTGCCTTTTTTCATCCGCGGGTGCTGTGTCACTGTTAAACTGGATTTTCGTTCCACAGAAGAAATAAACACAAGCAAATAACATACACATGCTCGTACTGTATTTGGCCAGGCCCACAAAAAAGGATGAATATGGAACAAATAGAGATCACATGAAATATAGACAACAAAGACGATCGTCATAGCCTGCCACAGATTCCTTGCCAGCTGATGTACACATTCACTTTTTTCACAAAGGCATGTTGCTGTTATGGAAGAGTAAAGCCGAAGGGGTGAAATAGAAGAAAGAGCCTGGCCAAGCAACATGGGGGAGTAGAAAAGAAGAATAGTTGATCCGACCATCACTTTTTACCTCCGAGATCCAAACGCCATATGGATTGGGCTATGCTGACTTATGCATAATTTATACTAGTAGTCTAGTATGATCGTGTTTGTAACGCGTCAGGGAACTTGTAGCAGCATGACAGCTATATTGCCTCTCTTCCTTTGGCAGGATGAGAACTTGTCGTCATGGCGCAGCAAAAGGGCGTTCATGTGTATGCGTTGTTTTCGCTATTGCTGTTATTGGATATCCTATCCATCACCCCCAAAAATGCTATGTATACAACTACTTTAAGGCGGAGGAAGAAGAAGCATGCTTGCATCGGCTTATTCCCACCGATTGGCTAACCGATGCCTTGTTTGTCAGCAACACATCCCGCAGCAAAGTGATATCCACAGCTTCGGATAAAGACAAAATGGGACACACACATTGCTGCTCCTCTTGATGGGCAAAACGGATTATGCATCTTCATCATCGGGGATCTATTGACCATTCATCATGACCATGAACTACCAGAAATGACAGAAATGCCAAGAAGCCAGCTGAGCTGGGATGTTTTGTTGTTGCCATCCCAACCAGCAACAACACCCCCCCGGCAACAACGATGCACGTGCCACACTCACACACACACACTTTCATACCCATCACACACCCATCACATTCAATCCCGGTCGTGTGCAACTGTGGCTACAACAACAAAAATAACGCATACTGTGGCGGAAGGCAACACAATAGAGTGAACGATAAAACCAAAATGATTGTATTTTTCAAAAGTGTGGTGTGCAAGCGATAATAGCAAAGTGCGATTTATATACATAAGTGGTGGAGAGCATGTGAAAAAGCATACTATGGGTGGCATGAAAAAAATGTGGATATGGGATGGGTATCTTTGAACACACAAAATGTTACTTTGCAATGGCCTTTGAAGGGATAGTGTGTTGATGGCGGTGGTTGTTGGCATCAATGCCATGATGACAAACAGGGATAGATTGAACCCATGGGTCAAGAAGAAAGTCATTGCTGGTAATACGTGTATGGGGGCTGGGATCAAGCATCTTGTAAAGCATACGGCGAGCATCTGGGTTGGTAAAGTGTTGTGCAAAAGGGTCGAAGGTTTGTGTAGGATGCATGCGTGTATAGATCTGGAACGCCTTGTCACAGCTCTTTTTAGCTCTACGCCATACGAGACCACCGGTCCAAAGGCAATAGAACACGATACCAGCCGACCATACATCAGCAATAGCACCCCAATACTCCTTGTTGTCAAAGGCTTCAGGTGCAATGTAGGGTTCGGATCCAACAATACCACGGCTCTTGTGGCCTTGACGTTCCCATGCAAATCGAAAGACATCAGAGACGCCAAAATCAGTGATCTTGAGCACACCATCAGCCGTTAGGAGCATGTTCTCAGGTTTAATGTCACGGTGTGCCACACCACATTCGTGCAGGTAGGCTAGACCTTGCATCATTTGCTTCAAGCAACACAGCTTTTCACGCTCCGTTATGCGATCGGTCATGATACACGAGAACAAGTCGCCGCCAGGACACTATTCTTAGCATAATCAGTATACACGGTCATTTTCACAGCAAAGGAAATCATTAAACAACTTACGTATTCCATTACTGTACAATACCGCTTTTGCTCATTCAATACAAGATCAATGGTCTCGACAATGTTGGTATGGTGGAAGGTGGATGAAATGCAAAACTCGCCCGTCAACTTTTTCATGTACTCTTTTTCGGTCTCATTTTTAGATCTTTTGCGGAATTGTTTGATCGCATATAGCTTTTCTGTACGGCCAGCCTTGTTCAACTTGCGAAATACCATCACAATAGCAGAGGTACCTTCACCAAGACGACGATAGCATTCACCGTATTGCTTCAAGCTGGATGTTGTTGAGCCTGTAGGTGTTGGAGCACGTGCAGGACGAGGTCTTTGTTCTTCCTCGGGAATACAACATTTACGGGACGCTGCTGATGATAGGCGACGGCTGTTGATGGCACTGTCGATCGTTGAGCTTGGGCTGTTGTAGGCAGAATCCACTAAGCTACCGGCAGAAGATGGATGTTGATGTTGTTTGGATATTAAATCAGGAACCATGTTGTTGTTGTTGTTGTTGTTGTGGAAAAGAAATATCGTCGATTGTGTTTGGAAGATGCATGCAAAAGATAAAATAGGGGTTGTTGCTGTTGTTGACAAGAAAAAGATGATAATGGATAAAGCAGAAGGGCTAAACCGTTATAACCACAAGGGCATCACGGTAAAGGTATGCAGTGATAATAGTACAAGGAAATGGGGTTTATATACGATGATGTGTGATTTGAAAGAAATAAATGCGTTTGGCCAAAAGGTGGGTTTATATAATGAGAAGCGATGATCAGCCCGCCCAGTAAATTTTTTTCACTCTCACCCATTTGCACAGAGCACACAGAGCTTGAGGTCTCCCCCCAGCAGGATTTTTTTTGCACTTTTTTGGTCGATTTCTCTTACTCGGGTTGCTGTTTGAATAAATGCCGCAGTGGCTGTCCAATCGCCAAAACAGCTCCGGCAGCTGAGAGAATATGACGCGGGTTTCATTTTGTGATACAGATCACAGCTTGGCATTCCCCCATTCTTTTACTTTGAGTGTGCAGAAAGATGCGCTGTGTCATCATTCGCTTTGGAAAATAAACTTTCTACTCGTTTGACACGGCATCGTCATATCCATCGGATGAAATGATCCATGGTGAGATTGAATACTTTGGGCTCGATTCCGCTTGCCCCGTGGACTTTTTGCCGATTGTCCCTGAGCTGCAAGGGGACGACGACAAACGACGAACAAGAAAGAACGTGGAAAATACGGGCCGATAGCATCGATTGGAAGAACATTCATCTCCTTCCCAAACATGACCTCTATCCTTGATATCCATAAATTAGACTCAATGACACACACACACTCTACCTCTGATAATGAACCTGGTCACTTTTTGCTAGCCTCACGTGTAGCAGCTTATCCCATGATCTATCACACCCACACCCCCTTACTTTTTATCATCCCCCGGTAATCATCATCATTGTAATGATCCCCAACGTAATACTTGCCACGGGTTATGGAACAATGACGCTGTTGATGATTGTTCAGCAGCATGATCAAAACACTCATAAGCTCACTCACTCACTCACACCGCCCTTTTTTCATCGTCGGTGGTAGTCGGTGAAACCTTTGACCTTGATAGTGGCTTGTGCTTGTTGGACGGATAGTAAATGAACCTCTTCTCACACACACTCCCACCATAACAAAGATGCACAATGACAGAGTAGAATAATACACCTTGCCAAGTGGTCTTTCATTTATTGATTACTGATGCCGGTCATGCCACGTCGTTTGTCACCGTCATTTATGCTATTCGACATATGCCGCTGACAGATGCTGTAGCTTTTTTTGTGTGACATTGTGCCTATGTTGCATTTCACACAACATTGTACGCATATTACTTCCTCCGCCCGAATAAAAAAGATCGACATCTCATCCACAAAAAGAATAGCTTATTCAATGTTTGACTGTGATTGTGCAATGCATCATGCCATTCTCTAAAGAGCTTGTCCAATAAGCTCAACCTTCTCGATTGATGATCCAAATTGCTTGGTGTTAATATCTTCATTAATGGTAGTGATTGATTTGATTGAGACTCATTATTGTAGATTTTCTCATCATTTGCCGTAAGACATACACTAAGCCTAGTTTGAATAGCAATCTCAAATCCGGTTGTTATCGATTCTCACCCCAATTGTGATCTTAAACCCATGACATGATATCCATTGGGTCTCCACGTAGCTAGTTCTTGTATTCGTAATAACAACAGCTGTAATACTTTGTTGCATCATAGATGAACACACGTGCTGTTCCTGATGTCTCACTTTTTTTCCCACTTCCATGAGTCACCCAAAGATAGACACGAATAAAGATAACGGGATGCTGCAACAATAAAACTGTTATTCGATATGTACATGGTAACGGATGAATGTTTGCAAGCGTGTGCATATGGGATGTAGCGTGTATGATGAATGCTGTTGATGTCGTCTATTCTTTTTCTTATTGGGGTTGACCAAGAGTTGTACCAGGACCGGCAGCAGCAGCAGCAAGGACTTCGGCAGGCACTTCAACAACCACTCTCTGTAACTTTGGGTTGCTTGATACAACGACGTCTAATAAAAGAGATGTGCCACTACTGTTAGCCTATCATCCATTATGCATAACCTATCTTTGATCTAACCTGACATTTCCTCCTCGGGAGCAGCAACCAATCCCTTCGAAGCAAGCCACTTTTGGGTCTAATAAAGCATGTAAGCTTCACACTGACGCATTCTAGAATATGCACACTTACGTTCTTGATGGCACGATCGTGTTGTTTTTGCTTCTTTTTGGTAATGACTCGACCTTGGAACACAGGCTTGTTCTTGCCAATGGTACGAGGGGTTTCTGATTACATACCTGTGAGTAAAAGAAGTGGAGATACAAGGCACTCTACTTACTGTTTCTGCTGCCCATGGTCAAAATCGAGTGGAGATCAAGAAACAAAGGGTGTTTGAGAGAGAGGACGTCGGTCAAATTTTACTGGGACTCCACCCGCCAAAAGGCCAAGCCATCCTTTATTCATGCCGTTGCCCCTCTGCTGCTTGTGCTCAAACTACACACTCCGATCACCATTTGAGCTGAAAGCTGCAATCACTCACCACACACGCAACTTTCTCTCTCTCTCTCTTTTTCTCCCTTTGTTTACTCAAATGATTGCACGTCGCGTTTGGATGGCTGCTTCCACAGCAGTGCGTGGTCGTCGTAATGCATCCACGGTCGCTCTTCAAGATCTAAAGACGCGTTGGCCTGCCATGTCCACCACTGAACAAAATACCATTGCAAAAGAGTTAGAAGAGGTTCAAAAACAGGATTGGAACGTCATGTCCACTGAAGACAAAAAGGCTGCATGTACGTTATAAACACATATTTATACACCTTGATATTGATGATGATCTCCTTTTTAGACTATATTGCTTTTGGTGAGCATGGCCCACGTACACCGGTCGTTCAGCCTGGTGATCATACAAAGGTCGCAGGTGGTGTTGTTGCTGTTTTGACAACTGCTGCTACTCTTTTCTACATCCTCGATGCTAATGGTATGTCTCTAGGTTTATAAAAATGTCACATCATTGATGATTCTATTCTTTTTGTAGGTCAAGAGAAGCCTATGACTACAACACGGGAATGGGAAGAGGCTACAAACGAGCTTTTCAAGAGAGACAAAATCAACCCCATCACCGGTATTGCTTCAGAAGGCTACAAGGGCAAAGGCTATGTTACCCACAAGTAACTCTAATAAAAAAAGTTCCAAGTTCTCATATCGTGCTAATCATATTGAGCCACGTTAAATCATGAAAGTGAAGAGAAGAAAGGATGACACGTTTCGGGGCATTTTGTTGTGTGTGTGAGGGATGAACAACGGGGGTTGGGTGGGTAAAGTTGTTCTTGAGGGAAGAAAAAGTGGCCGACCACGCGTCTTTGTTTGTTGATGACCTTCCTAATGTTGCAATGCTGGCGTCAGGTTAGCGATAACAGGGGTTGATGATGATGATGAATGAGGTACGCAAAATTGGTTCTTTCACTTGTTCAATGTTTTGAAATGTAATAGGAACAACCACAATCGATGCGTTTTTATTATCTTAGTCTATCCACAAGTAGGGTGGCACTATGAAATGCAATACATGTGATATAATAAAGGACGTTGTAGATGATGCATCTGGATGCTATAACTGAACGATCTTTTCCAAAACAACAGCCACGCCATCCTCCTCATTTGTTTCCGTGGTGAGATCTGGTATAATAAAGAGGGCAAGAGCAATTAATCACTCCTCCACTCTCTTCATCCTATTGTTCCAATTTACCTGCAATAGCCTTCACATTTTCATGTGCGTTCCCCATGGCAACAGCGATCCCTATGATACGTAATTAACTCTTGTGTCCTTGGATACCCCCCATCCACATCCACCCATTGCCCGCCTACCTGCAAACTTTAGCATTTCAATATCATTAGGCATGTCACCAAATGCAATAAGGTTGTTGGGATCCACATCCAATTTGCTACAAAGGTAGGCCAATGCGGATGCCTTGGAAACACCGGCAGCACAAATTTCGACAAAGTGTGAGCTTGAAAAGGTCAAGTGGATCATGGATTTCCATTTTGGATCAGCAAAGACTTGTGTCTGAAGGAACTCGTACAACTGGCTAGCAGGCCACGTGCGGTGCGTCAACAACAAGTTCTCCACGGTGTCTTCTTCTTCACTACCAGGTTTCTTCAAGAAGCCTTCAATAGGGTCGTCGTCCACCAAAACGGGTTTGCCTTGCATAAACTTGCCGCATTGCTCATCGAATCCACTCTCGCTCTTGTAATGCACATCGCTCTCAGCTGCCATGAGCACATGAGGTCCTAACACCGTCTTGACTTGTTTGATAATAGCACGCACATGATCGGGTGGAATGGAGAACTTTTTAATGATGGTTCTTGTATGGCTATCCAAGATCTGAGCACCGTTGCAACAAATACAAAGAAGATGTGAAAGGCCCTCCGCTTGATCAACAGCATGGATCATGGTTCGTGTAGGTCGACCTGATGCAAAGATGATACGCAACCCCTTGTTTTCGATTGCATGCAGTGCTGATACCGTCCGTGGTGATATTTTGCCACTAAGGATAAAAGGAGAAGATGAGATGAAAGAGCGGGATTTTTTTTCTTTTATGATCCACTTACGCATTAAAACCACCAACGATCAATGTACCATCCAAATCAGAAGCAACAAGTTGCACACGACTCAAATCTAATGTCTTTGTGGGTGCCATGGAAATAATCGGGTTGAGTGAAAGAGAGAGGGAGAAGGAAGGAGGGAGAGAGAGAAAGATAGAGAGAACGAGAGCGAAAGAGAGGTAAAAAGAGTCAAAGAAAAAAGAGAACGCCGTAGTGTGCGTGTGCTCCAGATAACTCTTTTGTCATTGTTGTACAGTGGATTATAGTATTCCTTTCTCCCTGTTCTTGTCGGGCCGCAACAATCCAACTTGCGTATTGTAAGGAGAGCTGGATTGGTGAAAGCTCGCATGGACCGCTTTTCCGTCAACGCCTTTACAACCTTGTTTTCTTTCTCAAAAATCCCATCCTATTGTGAATCGCATTCATTGCTTCTGATTATATGCTGTCGTATGCACGATTTCAGAAGCCACAATCTCATCCCTTCTTTTAGCGATGTCATTTACTTTATCAAGGAAGTGACACCATGCACCTACCCACGCACGTACGCATCATATCATTACCCCATCATCCCGCCATTGCGCGCCAATACGAGGCTGCAGTATAACGTCACGCGTGCTACTTACTACCTATATCGGATAGGTGATCTCGTCCTTTTTTCTTTTGACATCATGAGATACATACCAAGTACAACTCTACATTCATGTCATCTTTAATCTTTATCATCAACGATTCGGATGTTGTATGTATTATCGGATGCATACTATCGGGATTATTGCGGGTTTGGCAAGGGTTCTCCTGCTGCTGGCGGACAATCATAATAGTGTAACCACTCCTAGGCGTGTGCGTTTGATCCCCCTCTTCTGAGAATAAACGAGGCGTGAAATGCACTTGGGTATATTACGAGAGATTGTGCTACAGGCTTCTATTAAACAACCAAATACACTAAACTGTAAGATGTCTTTATTCCAGTAAAGAAGATTACAGCTGTGTGCGTGTGCGTGTGGCATATCGTAAACATCGTGGGAAGGCATTTGACGCCGTTCCGGATAACACTGCCGAGTCCTTGCGTGAGCATCCACGATCCTTTTCACACACAACATCCGGAAATTCATTATTGGTGACTGTAGACGGAATGAATTCCTTGATGGATCGTCCTATGTAATTAACGTGTCACACTTAGATCCAGGAATATGGAGCGTAGTATGGTAGAGATCGACATTGTGGGTCTTTAAGAAAGTAAAAATGACAGCGGGGAATACAAGAAGAGGTACCACACATGGGTGGGGGTTCCACCATCAAGATTATGGCAAGACTTTATGGCCAAGTGCGGTGGTACAATTAATTGTTCTCGAACCCTAAAGACTTGTAGTGTGGACGATCACAACAACGAATACCATGCATGTAAACCAACATTAATGTCGCAACTTGGCGTGGTAATGTTTATTTCAAATGAGAATAGGCCGCATCTTGTAAGGGAAAGGGGGCGGGGGCTGAGGATCCACAACTCATGTGGATTTTGTGATCCATAAAGAAGGCTTGTTAGATACAAGCAAGCAATGATGGGAAAACGTAAATAGAGTACCGATGAACCTTTCTAGGTTAGCCACGACGATTATGGATTATGTAGTATTCTGATTCTCGCACATGCAGTGGTCGTCCAAGAATTGGAAGGAATTTCCTTATTCATGGAAGTTCGTGTTCGACTCTCTGAAAAGGATGAGCCAAAGAGAACCAAAATTGCCTCCCATAGGTAAATAAAAGATTTAGAGGTTATAATGACTGACAAATTCAGTAGCATACTTGCTGGTGGAAAGGGTATGTATTCTCACTCGCTTTCATTCCATGAGTGAGGAGCGTTTCCAATGCCATCAAGGAACAGACATGTTTAAACAACATTCATATTTTATGTAGAGAAATGAAGGTATCATCAGGAATAATGAGCCGTTACTGATAGCAATGTAATGGTGAAAAGAAGGAATATGGTAGTAGTGAATGATGCAAGGGGAATGGTAAGTAAAAGAATGGTGGTCTGACCACAAGCATGTACATGCGCATAAATCGACAACCGAAACTGATGATGTTCGGGTATTCGGAACCGAATTCCTTAGTTTGTTAACCACACCCGTTTTCGCGACCCATCTTCTCCTCGCTTTTATTGTCTCCCTCTCCTTTCAATGGACTCCATGGAGAAAGAAAATGACGCATCACAACAGCCCAATACACCTTCAGCCAAAGTAGAGTCTTCTAAACAATCAACAACAACGACAACAACAGCTGCAACAAACACGTTTCCATTACCCGACGACCATGACACCTTCTTGACAGTGGGCGCATTTCCTAGTCAACCATCCGACATTGTATCATGGCTCGACCCTACGCTCTCCAATTTAACAGCTACACTTTCAGAACAGGGTGGAAAGGACAATATCAGCTTGCAGGACATGCTTGAGGAAAAGCTACCCAAGGCACTCTATGGCGAATGGTATCACAATGTTGCTGTTCTCTTTGTCACTGCTCTCGTGGCGTTTCTTTTGGGCAAACTCAAGGTTGAGATGGGTGCTGTTATCGTTGGATGCTTTGTCATTGGTAGGTTGAAAATACTTCAAAACACAAAGGAGGGGGGAGCAGCTAATCATGGGGTCTATCATCAATAGCGGTGTATTATCAGACCAGTATGCAGCAATATCGATACAACAAACGCAATGATTTACAGCGTGTGCTTGCCAAGACACAAAACGAAGCAGATGAGGAACCTGTGGAATGGATGAATGGATTCCTACAAAAGTTCTGGCTCGTCTTTGAACCTGCTCTTTGTATGCTTATTCTCGAGAACCTCGACACTGTCATTGGTGATTACTTGCCCAGCTTTGTCGAATCCGTACGCCTAACAACACTCACATTGGGAACAAAGCCATTTCGAATCGAGAGCGTAAAAACCTATCTCAATCAAGATGCTGATACGGTGGTAAGTGGATACATACATGTGTACCGCGTTGCATGGATTCTAAATGATGTGAAATAGTGTATGGATTGGCGAGTATCCTTTATCCCCAATGATTTGCATGATCTCACGACTATCGAGCGAGAACCTTTGGTGAATCCCAAGATTGTTATCAACATCCATCTCATCAAGGGAATTGTGATTCCTGTGCAATTGGAGGATATCTCTTTTAAGGGCAAGATGCGCGTCAAGATCAGATTCATGAACAAGTTCCCCTACGCCAAAGTATTCGATGCCAGCTTCCTCGACAAGCCTGATTTCGACTACAATTTACGTCCTCTCGGCACAGATTCCCTTGGTTTCGATGTCAATGTGGTACGTCAACGTTACATGTGTATCAGCCCTGTGTGTGTGTGTGTGTAACTAAGAATAATGTCTCTATCATAGATTCCAGGCTTATCAGAATTTGTTCGCGATCAAGCTCATGCCATCTTGGGTCCTATGATGTATGCTCCCAATTCGTTTACATTTGATGTGGAGCAATTCTTTGCAGGGGAGATGGATATATGTGAGTATAGGGTCGTTTGATAGTGATGGATACAGAGTATACTCATGTCGACCTTAATAGCCCAAGCCAATGGTATCCTTGCCGTCAAGATCCAATCCACTTCGAATCTCGACAAGGTTAACGCAAACGGTGGCCCATTTGTCAGCAGACCCAAATCAACATTGAATCCATACATGCGTTTCTTTGTCGACAATACCATGGAGCTAGGTCGTTCGAGTGTTCAAAACAACACCTTCCAGCCGGAATGGAATGAGACGCACTTTTTGTTGCTCAACAATTTAAATGGTCAGCTGTGCTTGGAAATGAACAACAAGGGCGCCAAGGAGAATGGTGATGATGATGAACGTGTTGCAACGGCATACTTTGATTTACGCGAATTGGATGATGAAGATCGAAATGAACAAGAAGGACTGTAAGTAGGCGGGTGCCAATCCTATACAATGAAGATTTAAACTAACTACCATGGCTCCATTGTAGTGATCTCGCATTGTTACACAAAGGCAACATGATCGGTGATATCAAGGTCGATATGCGCTATTTTGCTGTCTCAAAGCCTGTCAAACATGAAGATGGCACTGTGGATCCTGCTCCAGAATCAAGTAGGTGTAACAGGTTTATTATACGTGTACCTTTTTAGCTGACGATGTGCCGGCATAATTTAGATTCTGCAGTTTTACGATTGACCGTACACGAGTGCCAGGGTCTTGTGGGACCACCCAGATTGAGTCCATTTGTGCGTGTGATGGTGAATGGAAAACAAATCCTGAGGACGTCCGTAGCATGGCACAAGACCAACCCACATTATGAATCATCGGGCGAGACTGTTGTTCTTGACAAGAGTGAAGTATTTGTCCGAGTAGAAGTCAAGGATTGGCGTAAGGTGCATGATGATACATTGCTTGGCGTATGGACGGCACCTTTGAGCGAGATTCTCGAGCAACAAGAAATGAACGAGGGTTGGTGGACCATGACCATGGATGATAAGCCCATTGGCAACTTGCGTTTCAGTGCACAGTGGAAACCCGTTATCATGCGAGGCTTGACTCAGGAAAGTGGACACAGCTACGACAGTAAGTAATCATCATTTCGATATTTTATTTGGAGGAGGAAGCTAAAGGTAATGATATTATTCTATAGCCCCTGCCATTGGTGTCATGCGATTTACGTTTTGGCAAGCTCGTGACTTACGCAACGTGGAAAATGTTGGCAAATCGGATCCCTATGTGCGTGTGCTTTCTGGATTTCAAGTGCGAGAGAGGACTTCAGTCATTGACAACAACTTGGATCCGGAATGGGGTGAGACACTCTATGTGCCAGTACATTCTACAAAGGAAGATTTGGTGCTTGAAGTCATGGATTGGAACGCCAAATCACGCGACAAGTCTCTGGGTATGATTGAATTCAGCACCAAGGACATGGTTCAACTTTGTGTGGGCGATCAAAGCGAAAATCCAGATCGATGGTATGAATCCACCGGCAAAAAGATTGATCAGTAAGTCTTGAAAAAGGGATATAGAATGGCATTGATCACGATGTTTATATGAGTATATAGATGGGAGCAATTACGTACAACGGATCGTCGTGGTGGCAAGGGTGAACTTCGATACACAGCTGAATTCCTTCCAACCTTGGCATTGCCTAAGCCTAGGCCCATTTCGCAAACTCCTGAATCGAGCCAAGAACAAAATGATACCCAGACGTCATCCGATGATATCGGCACAAAGCAGCAAGGCGGCGAGGAAGAGTTATCTGTTTTGGATTTACATGGATCACCTATCAAGTATACGCCCGATGGATTGGTTGATATGGCATCCTATTCAAGTGGTGTGCTGCGTGTCAAGATACACGAGGTTGAGCTTCCCCAGAGGAATTATGCCTACTGTCAGCTTGTAGCGGATGCTTTGTTGCCACAATGGAAATCATCCAAGCTCAAGGGCAGAAAGCTCGAATTCAATGAGACAGCCGACGTGTTTATTAAGGAGGCGGATATTTCACGCATTGCTATCGAAGTCAGGCCTGCTATTGCTGATGAAAAAGATGATCGCAAATTCGGTTATTGGGTTGATAATGTCAAGGGTATTGTTCGCCACATCCAAAACAAGCGACGTTCTACTGGAAATGAAGAAACGCTTGATGACGGCAAGTGGTTCAGTCTATATGGAGAAGGCGGTGGTCGTATCAGGCTGGGCTTTGATTATATCCCCATGAGTTCGTTTATCCTTAACCCTGACGAGAGCATTGATAGTAAGTATATACCATCATCATGTAAATCAGCGCATTGCATTGACGACTTCCTCTCTTTAGACCAAGGCAATCTCACTGTGACCTTGATGCGTGCAAAGGATCTCATGGCGGCTGATAAATCAGGTATCATCTTGTAAGGTAAATGGAAGAAATCCAAAGCTCATGATTATTTTTAGGCACAAGTGACCCTTATGTCGTGTTTACAGTAAATGGTGAACGAGTACACAAGAGCTCGGTCGTTAAAAAGACTCTTAACCCTGTGTGGAAGAATGAGCAATTCTCTGTGCCTATTGTAAGTATCCGCATAATGAATGTGATATGACATTGAAGCTAATGCAATATATAGCAATCACGAGTGACAGCTAGTTTCCGCATTGAAGTCTTTGATTGGAACCAGATTCAGGGTGATGAGCCAATTGGTAAGTACCTTTTTTTCTTTATGTAACTTTCATTGTCTTACACCATATGGAAAAAAGGATCTGGTGGAATTACGTTGCGTGGCGACATGGTTGAAAGCTTCATGGCTAAGACCGTGAGTATACCCTTGGATGGCGTTGCAGGTGTTAGCGGTGATGTGATTGTGCGATTTTTATGGCAACCACAACTGCTTGTGAAACGACGAACACAAACATCCGTGCTCGGGACTACCAGAATTGGCACCAATCTCAGCATGTCATCGACATCCAGTGGCGAAATGGGTCCATCAGCATCACGATCCAGGACAAGTCTGTTTAGTGATAGCGGACACAGCCGAGCGGACTCTGATCATGGTTCATTGTCAACAATGAATGACTCCATGGAGCTAAGCGATGCAAGTGGAATGCCCGCCATGATTTCGGTGCAACTTGTTGAGGCGCGAGGATTACGTGCAGTGGATAGAAATGGCACCAGCGATCCCTATGTACGCGTACGAGTAGGCAAGCATATTGTACACAAGTCCAAGACGATTACAAAGACGTTGGCACCCACATGGTACGTAACTCTCAGCCACGCGATCCTTTATTTAAACATGCAGCAGCTAATTTTATTCATCATCATCACCGTCATTCAGGAACGAAACATTCGCCATCAATGTGCCTGCAGAGCCAACAGCAGTATCCTTCAAGCTCAAAGATTACAATCGATTCAGCCGAGCTGTAGATTTAGGCGAGTGCCGATGGAATATTTGGGATCTTGTGTCGCCAGAGCACAGGCGGGCTGATCAATGGTTACCACTGAGCCCAATGGGTAGCGGTGAGCTGCATGTAATTCTTGAACTTTCGCCCCAATGAAAAATGGTTTCCCCCTCCCTCCCCGAGTGTTTTGCTCTAAATAAAGCATAGTTCATCTTCACAAAAGAGAGACCGTTCCCGATCTTTTACTTCCGGATTCCCCATTCTTTCTTTTTACTTTTTTCTTCTTCTTCCCAACTACTACTATTATTACATAGCCTTTTGATCCATCATGATGTTTAGAGGTATGCTTTGTATCTTTTTACCATATACTTTGGTGAGACTTATCATCATCAAAAAAGATGAACGACCGATTAATACGAGTGCCGTAATGCCTGCTGCACCTTTAATACGATGCCCAGCTTGTTACGCCGATGCTGTAATCATCAAACGTGCACATCCATCACGACCACGACGACTGGGTTGGCTCAAGGCCTTGTTTACGTGCTGCTATAGTAGTCGACAACACCATGATGATGAATCAGCCGCTTACAGCAACAAACACCACGATGGCATGCGAACGGGCGAGTGTCAGGCTTGTGAATTTGCTTTTCATTTCCCAGCAACGGGCATGGATGAACGAGTTTCCATGTCATCACTATCACGACGTGGATCTGATATTCTTGAAAGCGATAAACGACAACATGCGATTCATCCTTTACGCCCACCTTCAGCTGCATGGGTCGTACGCACGGGTTGGACACCACAGCCTGACTTTTTGGAGTTGATGCAGCGTGTATGGTGCGGGGAATGTGGCGTGTTTGTTGATAAGAGAGATGCCACGCCTAATGGATGCTGTGGGCAATGCGGATCATCCCTTCGTGCATAATACCAAGGGTGGATTTAATCATTGTGCATTAATAACTTTCATATTCATTATACACTTCTTCTCCTATGTATTATACCCAACAATCGCCATCATTTTGCTCTCTCCCATGGAAACCAAATTAGAATTACATTTATAGACATAGTAACTATGAACAAAGTAAAAAGTCCTTCTTTGATCTTTGTATGATGTATGTATGAAGGATCGTCATTCATTAATGGTCTCTAAAGATGGTAACGGTTTATTGGTGGGTTGCATGAGATACTATACTTATGGGACGAATTCATTGTTATGTGCAACACAGCCAATGTTTACGTGTATGTATGTACCAGGACTAGGAATCCGTTTTAGCGTGATGAGTACAATGAATACGGTTACGTAGAGTATCTTGTACTAGGCAATTAAGAAGCCAAAGGGTCCTCCTGGGGGCATTGTTACAAACGATGGTTCTTTATTGGTGCCTGTAGGGCAATGGAAGAACGTATCCATGACAACATGCGCATTCATTTATCACTTTGGTGCGATCAAGGGCACACACAATGGACCCATTGATACGCAGCATCGGATGAGCCAAGCTCCGTTTGGCAATTTAATTGTGTAGGCGAGGCGCGTTTAAGCAGCGCTGTACTTTTTTCACTTGTCCCCTTTTACGATCTACAAATCACAATGGCAGACGACACTTGTTCATCGATACCCAGCACTCGTGAACCTGAGGTTGAGCTCATGTCCCGATTCCGGTTAAAGTGAGTGAGAACGACGACGATCCAAAAGCAACGGCATGTTTATTCTCTCTCTCTCTACTGAACAGACAACGACGAGTCGACCAAACCGACATTGAAAAGAAGTTGCTACTCTACAGCTATGTCCCCATTGAGAAATTGGCAGAACATGTGGCCCAATGGCGATCCATCTATGTGACCAAGAAGCCGAGCGATCAGTGGGCAACTATTGGCATAGTCGATCGATGTATTACACGCAAGCAGTATATGGTGGTACGATTGACGGATATGCGCGGCATGCATGCACACCTATTTATCACCGGCAAAGCGTTTGATGCGTTATACGACAAGATCAACAAAGCAACAGTACTCGGGATCTTTGAACCCTCCATTGTTTGGTCATCAGAAATGCGTGCGGATGTGGCAATTCAAGCGTCTCAAACAAAGCAGCTGCTGGTCATTGGTACGAGCTACGACCTTGTTCAATGCATACAACATATAAGTCTTGAGAAACAATGCGAGAACATGGTGGATGGGTGCGTATTACTTGATATCCAATGCATTCTAGATAAAGGCTAACATTGATATGATAGCCGATCAGGCAATTATTGTGATCGACATCTCGAACGGCTTTGCAAAAGATCCAAAAACACACGCATGGAGCTGGCATCAGGGTAAGACTTGGATATCTTTGAACAAAGCAAATAGCTAAAGTTGTCAATAGGGATAGTGCATTGGAAATTCGATGGGCTCGGGTATCAAAGACACCACAAGGCGATGTATATGAATCAGCTTCACGAACGCAAAGCAACACCACGGCCAAAAAGAAGGAGTTCACATATACCATCAAAGGGCTGGGATCAATCACGTCAGATGGTGTTCATTTACAAACCAACAAGATCAAATCCAAAGAGGATATGGCAGCAAAGAAAAAGGAGTTAACGTAAGTGCATGTGTGTGATATTACAGAAACCCATAATACACAACTAATTGTAACACAGTGAGTTTCTGCGAGGACGCACGGACCCAGGGGCGGAAATGTTACGATTGGTTAATGGAATACAAGATGATCGGCCCAAATGTAAGTACTCTACTCTGATCCAAAAGGGTGTGTGTGTGGATGTGGATGTCTTCCGTTCATTAATATGTATATGTAGCACCTGCCTTATCCAAGGATGCTATGATGAAGATGGGATTGAGCACGCGACAGGTTTTGACAAAAGAGGAAGCAGCTGCAAAGGTAAACTTGTGTGACATACACGTACACGCACACATGTACATATGCTTTTATTCAACCTTTTACTCACATGGCATCATACGATTATCTGCAGAAACGATCCATCGATGCGCTATTGAAGACTACTGCTAACAAGGAGGAGGATCCCCAAAAGAAGCAACGCTATGTGTACCTCTAGTCAATAAACCAATTTCCGCAAATTCCTGAGCATATAAGACTTGAAAACGCGCGTTCTTGAGGGCGGGGAAAAGGTTGATGCCTTCTCTTTTTCTCATTACTCCTTTCCTATCACCTCCTTCTCCTTCCATTCGTTCTACAGTGTCGTCTTTTCATTGATTCATACGCAGCATAAATGATGGCACATCGTTCGTTCTCAGTACCCCAAGTGATGAATGCGATAGCCGATCACCACCATCACCACCACAACCACCAGGGACCTGTCACTATGGACGCCCCACCCTTGTCGGGATCATTGGCATACGAGATGCAGGCAGCAATTCCCAGATTGGAGAAGATTTTGGCGGACGAATTATCCTCTCAAACACTTCCCCTTTGCATTCAACTATTAAAATCATGGGTAGCAACAGCAGCACCAAACGTTGACAAACACCACCAACATCAGGATCAATTCACTACAGCTGGCCGAAAGCCCATTCGAACCTTGACTCGATCACGCGTATCACGTTGGCTTTTGTCATCACTCTCCAGGAAGAAACCTATTGCACCTGCCAAGGATATTTCCGAATCTCATCATACAGATCACAGCACTCTCACTCTCGATCTTTCAGCCACCACTACTGTTACCAACAGCGATGATCGTTTATCCGATGATAGCAGTGATCGTAGCATAGCAAGCGTGTGTATCCATGGCGACGACGACGACGACGATGATGATAGCTACAACACGTCCAAAATCCTATTTCATCATGACTTTGATAATCAACCTATCAGTTACAGCAGCAGCAAGGCATCCTCCTTGGTATCTACACCCATCTTGAGATCAGCTGGCATGGTCCAAACACCACCCCATCATCCTGCAGCACCACCTACCACTGATCAATATCAATACACATCCATTGCACCATACATCCTTAATGAATCATCCACAACATCAACTCCTATCCTCCGACCCACAGCTCCCTTTCGCTCACGATATTCAACAGCTGCATCAACTTCATCTTCACCAAGTAGCACACAAAATCAGCACATTCAATCCTCATCCACAACAACAACAAAGGGTATCAACCCACAAAACGACCATGATGAAGCGAAAACAACAGCTTTAGCTATGCAATCATCAAGTCGTACAGCATCCACAGCAGCTATAACAGCAGCTGCTGCTGCTGCAGCAGCCACTAAACTTCCGCGAGCCAAGACAACTATATCAGGGTTTCTCAACAAGCTAGGCATGTCAGTCAAAAAAGCTATGGGGAATCGACAACATCGACGAGCACATCCAGCTTCTGCTCTTGACAACAATCATGATTGTTTGGATTCTTTTCCTACACCACACAGCCATTCAAGTGGTGGAAGTACGAATGATAGTGATGAAACGGAAGAAAAAGAGGGGTATTTATTGGACAAGAATCAGCAGCAACAACAACATGATTGGGATAAGGAAGAAATATGGCGTCCTCGTATCGAGTCCAATACGCGTGAACCACTTTCAACCAAAGGCAAAAGTCCACAATTACGTTCATCAGAGACATTTTCTACGTCCTCGGATCATGAATTCAAACGCACCATCCCTCGAAAACCTGTACAGTATGCTGCTGCTGCTGCTGCTGCTACTGCTAAGGCTGTTCCACCCACATTGAAGCATAGCAAGACCGACATGGACATTTTACGAGAACAATCAGTACCCTTCATCAAGATGGGCATGGGACGAGGAGGAGGAGGACTTGGTGAAGAAGAAGAGGAGGATCAAGATGATAGTGTGAGCGTGGAAGCCAAGTTTCCTTCGGGTATTCATGAATTACAACAATGGCATCATCGATTCCATGAACAACAACAACACCCTGATAAGCTAGAAGCCAATCTTCAAAGGTAGGTCAAAAAGGACGTTATCCCCCACACACATCAAGGGCTCATTGTGAGTGTATGTATCAGGGTGACGGCTGCAGTGTACAAGATTATCGAAAACAACCACGCCACTGGATACTTTGAGTATGATGAAAAGGGATTTCGTGGTACACCCCTCGGCCATATGCAAGATCGGCTTTTTTCATCCGAACCTTTGACATCCCCAGAAGATATTTATGACCAAATGGCCTATATTGTTGAATGTGGCCAGGTATGTATTTTGCATCAAGAATGATGAATGGACAAGATACTCATGCTACTCTATTCCTAGTTGACATCAGAGCACGTTATTCTTGCATACGTTTATTTGGAACGCATGGTCGATCGTTCTGATCAAGCACTTTGTGATATTAGTTGGCGGTTTATGTTGTTAGCGGCCATGATTGTAGCTGTCAAGGTTTGGGATGATTGTGCCGTTTACAATAGTGACTTTGTCCAAATCTTCCCTGAACTCAACATTGTCCTTGTGTAAGTACTCTCTCTCTCTTTTTGTTATTCAGCTTCCTCTCAAAAACTCATTTTGATGTTCCTCCCCAGGAACAAGATTGAACGTCATTTCCTCAAAGCCATCAAGTACGAAGTCGGTTGTACACAAGCACGTTTTGTTTCGACTTATTTTGATCTTCGCGATGGATACCATTTATAAAAAAAAGAGAGAGAGATTCTCCACCTTGTATATACCATCATGTGATTGTAGTTGTTTTACTTTCCCTTATACTACAAAGAAAGAATACCATTTCTAAGAAAACCCAAGTTTCCCACGGTGGCTGTCACTGTGCATGAATTTAGTGTTGATCCCGCAGTAAGAATGAACATGGTTTAGCACAAAAGACTTTGTATGTTCATGCACGTAAAACACGTGGATGGTATCCATGAGTACACACAATGTCGGTGTTCTATTTATTAAGGCCACTTTAAGATTTCTGGTATAACTTGTTCGTCCCATCCATGACACAGCTCGTCGCTTTGATCAGTACACAAATTGTCGACCGTATCTCTGGACCATTTGTCTAAGGTGTGCATGGTATTGGTTGCCATGACATTAATGTATGCTGCTACACTGGGATCTTTGAGGAGGGAGCCTGCTCCATATCGTCGGATAGTGCCTCGTACTTTTTCTTTGATGGCTGGTGCAATGTTTTTGAATAGATTTCCGCTGCCGAACAAGGTTTCATCCTTGAGTCGAGCCCGAATGTAATCCACGATGCGGCCCTTGATCTATATAGAACATCAGTATTTTCCTTTCGCTCACTCACTCACCCATTCACTCTCATCATGCATTCGTACCTGATCCAAATGATGACATATCGATGGTGGGTTACCACAAATATAGTCCATCTTTTGACCTATATATAGTAACATTCATTGGCAACGTTGTTCCACGAGTTGAAAGGGCGGGATGGGAGGGGAGGTAAATGCAATGATGGAATGTCGTACACTGTATACTTACATTCTTCCCTTGTCCAAGATTCACCAGCAGGTGGCATTTTACGTGTTAAACGAGGAGGATTATTACAATCACCCTTGAAAGGTTGATCACCAGAAAACATGGCTTGATGAATGCCTTCCTCCAGTGTCAATGCAACGGCCGTGTCATCGTCCTCATTGGCGGGGGGCGTAGACAACTGGGCCATGAAGCCCTCCAAGCCTTCTTCAATGGTCGTTTGGATACCATCCTGTACTTCTTTGGCAGGGATCAAATCGGATAACTGCTCCGGCACAGGTACTGAACCGAGACTCTCGCTCAACATGTCTTGCAGCTCATTCATGGTCGAATCAATGACAGGCATGTAGCGATCCGCAAGAATTTGTGAGATGGCGTGGCGACATTCGGGTTCACAGGCCATAGCTGTCCATGCTGTTGTTAATAAAACGGTAGCTGCACTGAGGAACGTCCACCGAGGCTTTAACATGTTGTGTGCGTATACAAAAGAATGATAAAGGAGGAAAAGAAGTAGCTCCGTTTTTTCCTTTTTGCCCATTTCAATCCTTTTAAGGTACAAAAGAAGCTACTTTCTATTGGTGGAACATGCATGCTCATCATCGGATGAATGAAAAAGGATCATGGTAGTTTACTATGTAGGTATAAATGTTCTATCACTGCTATCTATCTCGTATCCATGTCTACTTGAAGAACTTGTATTCGTCATCCATGATACCCGTAGGCATGGCAACAGCGCCAATAGTGTCGTATCCCTGGTAATTTCACACTTTGCTCAAAGTTGATTTTTCCCCTAAACGGAAGTTCTCGTGTGTGCCACCACCGCCAAATGCCTCGACTCGATAAAGTTGGGTTCTCTAATAGGCCCTTTCCAGGTTGTTGACGACATCATCATCCCATTGATCAACGTAAAAATAAAATCAAGGCTTATTGCTGCTGCTGCTGCTGCTGCTGCTGCTCTTTTTTCCCATCTCCTGATATTCTCGTTTCTTGATGGCGACATGTTGTTCCAGATAGCATTTCATTTCTAGAAGAAGAAAAAAGTAAATATAGGCAGTCCTGTTTTGAGAACATGATTGTACAAATTACCTTCCAAATTCATCTCTGATGTGAGCACCAAGATACCTTTGGCGCGATCAGGTGACAAGGATGCTGCTGCTGTGGCTGGAAGTACGAGCACCGGCAATTGACCCCACCATTTTTCCGGATGTAATTCACCAAGCCATTGAGCTAATCTTGATGCCATGGCCTTTTTATCAACCGAAGGCGCAAACATCAAATGTCGATTGTTGAATACCTCTTGCGTCGTCCAATGCTGCTTGACTACCTTTTGTTGTGGTTGCTGCTGCTGATGTTGTTGATACAAGGCACGTACAAACTGTTCACGTAGACTTTTATACGATGATCGTTGTGTGTTGGATGCTGATGCTGCCATCTCCTTGGATATCATTTGTTGTACAGCTTGATCATCGGATGTTGCTACCTTGATATCAAGTTGCCTGCACAAGTCCAATACAGATGCTGCCGTGTGCCATGCTGATATCGGTCGTGGATCAAATGAGATACTGACTCTGCTCCTTGCTGATGCTGCTGATGCTGCTGCTTTGCTGGCATGCTTTGGATAAAAGGCAACAGGTATGCTGGTGTCGTCATGCCCTGCTTCTTCATTGGCAGGTCTTAACTTGGATCGATTGTCTTGCTTTAGAATAGGGTTCAAGATTGTGTATAGCTGTTGCAATGAGGCCGCATTGTGCTTTGCTTTGATAGGATCGCGTTGAAAAAAGTCGGGATGGGTTTGAAGAACAAGTTTTCTCAAGTAAGGTTTGATGAGTGAAGCGGCACGTGTGGATGATGATGATGATGGATTCATGGTTGTTGAAGTAGAAGATGAAGGTGGCTGACCTGATCTAAACCGAAAGCGGCAAATTCATTGTTAATGCCATGATAAAGGACATGCTTGTATGTGGCCATCATTGGATATGCAACACAAGATTCAATAAAAAGACACCAACACCATCACATTCATCTCATCTCGTACCCATTGATTGATTACATGATCACATTTTGGGGGCTGGGAAAAGGGACAAAGGACCCATGCATTGGGAAAACTGATGGAATATCATGATTGGACGATGGCGTGGGGAGAGTGTAACTGTCAAGCGCGCACTCTCATTATATTCGCCCCATTTCTTTTCTGCACCCAAATCCTCCGCCCATCCTTCTCTTTCTCTCTCTCTTTCTTTCTTTTCACTCGGCCACACACATACACATAAAAGACAACATGGATTATATCGACTTTTCACAACCTACCTTTTATTACGTCCTTGCCAACATCCTCTTCAACCCTTTGTTCTGGAACACGGTTGCTCGTGCAGGTAAACAACAACAAAGGACAACACCACAACCACCACTTGTCGAGCTGACTTTCACGTGAATTTGAATTAGAATATCGATCTCACATCCTCACCAAGTTGGCTGGTGGCAATCGCTATCTAGGATGCTATGTATTGGCTGTCACCATCTTCAGCATTGGTATCATTCGTGACTACTTGTAAGTACGCGACAACGCGCTTCGTGTACGGGAAAGGGGATGATGATGGCCTCATACATCGAATGTATAGGTATACCTGGGCTCTTGACAACCAGCCTACCCATCCTGCTCTCGAATCTCCTTTGATCCAATTGGCTGCTGTTGTCTTGTTCGCTGTGGGTGGTACTCTTGTTCTTACATCCATGTATGCTTTGGGCGTCACTGGCACCTACCTTGGTAAGCATTGATGTGGATAATGGATGAGAAACAAGGCAATTGACACTTTATAGGTGATTACTTTGGTATCTTGATGGATGAGCGTGTTACTGGCTTCCCTTTCAATGTGTGCGAAAACCCCATGTATGTCGGCTCTACCCTTAACTTTTTGGCTACTGCTCTCTGGTAAGTGTTTAAATGGATCATCGAATAGGGATACTGATTATGGGATATCATCATCATAGGCGTGCAAGCCCTGCCGGTATTTTATTGACCTTGATTGTGTACATTGTGTACCAAATCGCCTTGATGTTCGAGGGGTAAGTGCCTAAGGATTACATACGTACCTCAGAGGTCTCATAGTGTGCAACCTATTTTTCTAGTCCTTTCACCACCATGATCTATGAAAACAAGGCCAAGAATGAAAAGAAGGCCCAATAAGCATCTTCTCGTTCACTCCTCCCCCCCCATTGTGTATAAACTTGCTAGAAACATGGATCGGCATAGATGTCGCTTCAGTGCATAATAAACTACTAAAAAGCTTACTTGTATCGTAATTGCGATGAGGAGGACCGAGGAAAGGATCGGAGACGCTGTGTACAAATGTTCAACGTGCATGCATTATGTATATGGCGATGCTGATGCATCAAAGACTCTACATACGTATTCTATCACTGATGAAACGTAAAGCTCCTTCACGTATACGTGGGTATCAGTTTTATTTATATGCGGCGTGTGTGTGTGTGTGTGTGGGCGTGTTGGATGCGTAGAAAGGCAGGAAAAGTGAATTTTGTTGCTTGCAAGGGGATGTATGTATGCGGATAATGAGAATATGGATGCATTAGGATGTTACTGTATAAAAACATATGTACGAACTTTATGATTTCAAGCCTAGGAGACCCAGCTCACGATACGGCTTTTTGGGTGGTGGATAGGGGCCTCGAGCCAACACTCGTAGCATCCGTAATAGTATACGAACAAGGTGCCGGTGACAATTGGTTCTTTTCTTTCTCCTATACCGAGTAGTGGATGATGGCAATGGTAATGATGATGGTGGCGGTATTGATGAAGCTTGCTGTGATCGGAACCAAGAATCATGATTCAAGTAGGAGGATGATGCACCAGGAAAAAGGATTGGTTTCAGCCATGGATGGAACAATACAAGATCCAAAGATGCACGCGTTTGACGAGGAGCAAGCATGCGTCTTAAAAGATCTTTTGCATCTACACTCGTATACATGTATGAGCATGATTCCTCCCCCTCCCCCCCATATTGATACGCTCTCCTATCATCCCTTTCATTACCTTCCGATATCTGATGCGGGATACTAAAATCGCAATGCATCATTTTGCCAAAGAGCTTGCGATGGTTGGGTGCCACAAACGGATACTTGCCGACAAGCATCCGATACAAATGTATCCCCATGATCCAAACATCCGCCAATGGCTCTACGTATAAGCCTGATGCCATTTCTGGTGGGATGTACTGTGGATTGCTACTCTACCCATGATTAGCTTTTCTCGACATTGAGTATTAGACGTATCCACTTACCCTCTAAATCGCCAACATTCCGTCTGTCGATTTTTACGTGTGATGCAAATAACTCGTAAGGTATCGTCGCTGTCAAAAAACAACTCGACATCCCCAAAGTCATCTTCTTTTTCATGCACTGTTGCCGCTTGTATCAAGGAAGCTAGTTTTTGTTTGCAATGAAATTCATCACCTATGAATTGGTCGTCGTATTGGTCGTCAGGTGTTGTGTTTTTGATCCATGCAAGCGGTGATCGATAAACCAAAAGAGATGAAGATGAACCGGATGTACATATTGATAAAGAAGATGCTCGTGGTGATGACATGGGTGATGATGGTATGTTATTAGTGCTTGTACTATTAATGCTGTTATGATGGTATTGATGATGTTGGTTATGCTCGAGAGACTCTTCCTCGGGTATGGTATAGAGCTGGTGGCGTGCTCGATCCACCAAAGTAATGTGCGAGAATTGTGGAAAGAGATCAAACTAACACCAAAAAGATTCAATAAGCATTTTGTTCCTTTTTTTTTTCTCGGAGGAAGCACTAAAACGAGTTTCAAAGTGCATGCACGTGCATGATCAAGTAAGCGTGCACCTAAAACTGGTAGTAGACCCTCCTCCTCCCTCTTACATAGGCTTTTCTTTCCCTTACCTCAAAATCTTCATCCTCTTCTTCATCCTCCGCTTGTACAGGCAATGGAGGAAACACGGGTGACAAATGCCGCCAATTGTCATCCGTGTTGTGTTGTGCCTTTTTTTTATCGCGGCGAAGCGACAACAACGAACGTAAGCGGCACAATATCCTCGGCCCATGGCGTCGCATTCGAAACGCACAAATGGAAAGGGATGATGAAGGAAATAAAAAAGAGAGAGAAAAGGAAACAAAAAGAGAGAGCGAGTTGAAAGAGAAGGGGATGTGAAAGAGGGATTAGAATACGGTTGCCTGAGATCGAAGATTTCTATACAGTCGATATGCATTGCGTGTTCTCGGTCGTTCCTATCGTCGTCTCCATTCGCACATTCACTTACATGAGTATAGGTCTATCACGCATACATGTATCCACACACATTGGTTGCACAAATGAGATCACCATGGCAACAATGACATTTTGCTCCCTTTAGCAATTTACTTACGGATTCAATCCATCATTTTTTTCCACACCCATCACGCGACGATCACTCACATGTCGTTTCCTTGCCAATCAAGCTGCATTTTTTATCGGCAGTGGATGGTGGTGGCAATCCCATCATGACAATGATCGGTGACCCCTGAACCTACCAAGAACGACACAGAAAACTTGGTCCCCTGCAGCTTGAATGGCAGTGGTATAGTGCACTTGACACGCACGTACACGTGTAAATAACCGGGCCATCCTCTTTTTGTTTGCATTCCCCGAGAATAAAAAAGAGAGGTTCGTAATAATGATCAGCAGCAGTAAGCAATTGCCCAATGCACCCATTTCCATCAACAAACAAACAAAACCCAATGTATGAGCTTGATCTACCGTTGTTGTATGTATGTAACCAATTCCTCATCATCATCATCATCACTGGTAGTTTCGACGTCAACCGATGCTCCCGAGATACCTTTGCTCTTGCATAGGAGGTGAGATGTCGTGTGCATGGTACATTCTATGAGCGTGCACTTTTTCTCAAAAGTCTCCCTTTCCCGCCTCTCGTATGTATCATCATCCCGCATTTATATCAGTGGAACACGTACATGCATAAGGATGCCCATAATGCATTATGTACCTCAGTGATGCTAACTATCCTATGTACCATTGTATATAATAATACTTGTACAATGTGCTGCTGCTTGCGCCGTTGTTGTTCATGGGCGGGAGGGCGCCATTACATGTATCCAGCAGCAAGTCATGTGAGCGTATCCAAGGATCACACACCTCCTTTCATCTCAGTGGTGACGGTCTTATTTACTATTGATCCAAGCAAGTTTGCATCACAGCGAGGAATGCTATCATATTAGCATCATGGGGGTTGGCTCTCTTTTTTTTTAAAAAGTCCCTTTTTACTAATTGCTCCTGAAACAAATTGACAGATGCAGGCAACTTTCCCCACTCTCCCCAATGTATGTATGTACACCCAAGTGATATGATGAGCATAAATATGCATGTGTATGTACAAGTTTTTAATCGGTTTCTTCTATCTTTTTCTCCTTTGACTTTTGTAAAGCTGTCCTAGCAGCAAGTTGACTTTGCTGGAATACTCGATGATCCATGGTCATGCGCTCACGTTCAGTCTTGAGTGTTACTAGCAAGATCCTCCTCCGCATCTCCTCATGCTTGACCACATGCACTGCATACGCCAAATAAAAGTGCGCCTTTTTCTCTGCAAGAAAAACCTTGTGCTTGGCACGCTTGTCCTTTTTAGAGTAATACTTGATCCCATCATGCAGCAACCTCTCCACCTCGGCCATGGCGCGTACCGTATACATGGATGAAGATGGCGTCTCCAAGAGCTGAATCACGTCATCAAGAAGCACCACAATCAATTCCTTGTTTGCAGCAGCTCGTTCGGGATCACTCAACCGGTCCATTAAATCCACTAGCACATCTTCCATGCTCGATAATTGTGTCTTTGCAGAAAACAGGATGGATGATTCTTCCAAGCAGGTGATGGTTGATGGCACATCTTCACGCACTTCACCCATAAAATGACGCATCATATAGCAATAACTCATCAAAATGCTGCACAAATGCCATCCAAGATCGGGATGAATTGTCTTGACCATGGATTCAATGTTGGGCAATGGATCTGGTAATTGGGGTATGGTTGTATGGGTAGCATGCTGAACATCGTCATCATCATCATCATCATCATCATCATCATCCAATGCTTGTATCCTTGGTGCAACATCAGGATGACTTGATGAACACCACCACCATGGTTCATATTCGGTCAACAAATCGTTCACATTGTCATGGTTTTGTAATAGCTGTTCGAATGCTGTTCGTTCTTGAGCTGATAAACGCGACCAAATCTCTGCTGGATCAGCTGTTTCGATATCCAATGTTGCAAGTCGTTCAGCCAAATCATCTGCTTGACCATCGTCATCGTCTTCCAATAGCTCATCATTCTCAGCTTCGAAACGTCTCAATAGATCCATCATTTGCCGTTTCTCTTCAGTATCCACGCCTCCTCGCGACTGTATCTCGGCAGTAATACTCTCCTTGTAAAACGACTCGGTGCATTCTGCATGTTGAAGATCCTTGTAACAAGCGAGTGAACAATAGCGAAGGTTGCAACGTGGACAAACGTAATTGGAAAACTGTTTTTGACAGCTGCTCGGAATCAGTCTCATTGGCCCACAATCAAAGTCTTTGCAGGTGCTTACATGTTGCAGAGTACTTGGTTCGTGGACGACGACGATGCGGCTTGGATCGTTTCGGTAGCGTCGTCTGGATCGTTGTCGTTTATAATTCGTAGGCTGGGCATAGTGCAGCAAGTGGAAAGAGGTAGGTGGACGCTGAGGTTGGCTCTCAAATACAATGAACCTGTGCACCTTGAATCACTCCATGACTTTTACACCTATCAAAGCAAGACTATGGACCCTGTCGCAGCACAAGAAACAAAGCCAAGTTCATGATAGATTTTTCATTGTTTACAAGAACCTCGATTCAATCTTTTTTTTAGTCTATCAATTAAGCTTTTTCATTGATTAAAGATCATGGCTTGCCTTACATTTTGGGATATTGCTATCTACCGTGTATTAGCAAGGGACTGTACACTATTGCTGATTGAATTTGCAGCGAAATGCCATCATAGTAGAGATTTACTATCTGTTGCTTACCTTCCATTACAGTGCAGCACCGAAAACGTTGATGCTGGGATTGACGGTCCTTGTACGGAGGCTAACAAGCGGTAGTTGTGCATTAAAGAAAAGCTCGGTATATAGACTTTGAGCAGAACGTGATAATACATGAAGTATTCATGGCCTTAGAAGTTGTCGACAAGACGCCATTTTCGCTGTTATGGCATCTCTCATGAATGCCCCTTGTCATAGAGGCAGTGTTGTTGCCTGCTGGTGATGATGACACACAAATCAAATATGGTATTAGACCAGGTGTTTATTTGTAATGTACGCATAATGAACAAGTATTTGTATGGAATTAAGAATGGCTACCCGTGATTTGGAAATAAGAATGATGGGTTGTTTGTATTATGAGTACTACGTATAATGGTATTATGGGCATCAACTTCATCAGAGTCGCTCACCCACATGTTGCGAAAAGCCAAGGCTTATTATCAAAATGACGACATTTGATGTGAATGATGAATTAGGATGACGGCAATAGGATTAATAATGAAAGCTTCTTTATGGAGCTGTATGGCCGATGGATGATCTCATGACCTTTAATGATATGCCGAGAGTTGGTTACACATGGGATGAGCTGGGTTAAATGTCGGGCCATGATCGAGTCGTGTTTCACGTTTTCTTTTCTACAATTCAATACTACTCTCCCCGCTTTTACTATGCCCAACCGTGTGCCCTCCGAAGGTAGGCTTATTATTATTGTATGGACGAAGGTATCGACAAGGGATAAAGTACTCAATGACATGCGATTGGGTTGTTGGGAATAGAGCTTCCGATCTTGGAGCAGCTTGTCAGCATCAAGAATCGACTCAATGCATTGAAACGCGATCGTTCCAGTTATCTCAAGACGCAAGATATTATTCCATTGAAGGAGGAGACCGAGGAACAGATTGAAAAACTAAGCAGCTTTCGTGGTGGCGACCTTCTTCCCAAAGGCGTCGAGCCAACACGCACCGACCAAGTACTCGATGAAGTGTGCCAGCTATTAAGTTTGTCATTCTTGAGTTTGGGGAAGACGAGAGAAAGTAAGCATGGAATGAGATGGAAGGTTGATGGATATTGTTGCTTACGTGATACACATGATGTATAGCTCCTGCTGTGTATTCGCAAGTGGTCGCCATCAAGGTAAGAATGATCATGCAAGGGATATTAGTGTTATACGGGGTCGGACTCATGTATGGGTATCATCCTTCTTCTATTTTAGCAATGCTTTGATCGTTTAGAGGACTTTGGTATCTATGCAGAGGAATTCCTGGAACCTTACGAGCGCAAGTTGCATGAGATACAAAATATCCTGGAAATTGACAGCCGTGAAAATGTTTTACCGGAGTCGGCTTTGAAAGTTGTCACTGCCCGATTCAACCAATGCAGTAAGTTATTTAGGATACACACACACAACACAACACCATGTCACTTGCTAAACTATTTCAAATCATAGATCGTATTTACCAGAAATTACTTGACACAATCCATGAAGTTTCTCCCGAATTGTAAGTGTATTGAACAACATGGTTGGATGGATTGGGTACTTATTGGGGGGGGGGTATTGTTGTAGGGTGCCCACTCGCAATCAGCTGTTACGTGTACGACGACATTTGGTGACCATTGCATGCCGGCGCAAATTTCACTCGAGCGATATCATGGCTGCTCAACGTGAACTTCATGAGATTGATGATAAGCGAGTCGATGGCAAATTCCTTGACAAGGATGGCAACATCCCTGCTGGCCAAGCTGTCGTTGTTGGTTTACTGGAGCAAATCTACGAGTACGCCCATGATCTTAATGTGGTAACAAGCGCCTCCTTTTCGCCTGCTTTGCAAACGATCCGTGAACGCCTCGTTGAAATCAAGACACAACTTGAACGACTTGAACTCACGCACAAATGGACGCTGCGTCAGACGGACCTGTTCAGCTATCAGCATCAACTCCAAGACATTGTCTCGATGCGGTGCAGTGATGATGATGAGGACGTGAATAAGCGAGGCAAGTTCTTGGATGAAAATGGTGACGCACCCGAAGGTCAAACGGTGCTTTTGTTCCTCTTGCAAAAGTGCTATCGCATGATCCTTATCCTGCTGAGCGAGAGCGTACCAGTATCTGAAGCCTTGACACCTATTTACAATCAATTACAAACCGTCAAGCAATGTCTTTTAGCTGTCAGGAATACTGGAGCACCTTGTTCTCCCGAAGAATTATATCCATATCAAATGAAACTCACCAGCATCGACAACTTGCGCAAAGATGGCAAGTTCCATGATGATGAAGGGAACGTCCCTGAAGGTCAAGCCATGTGTGTATCCACTCTCGAGGAATGTTATGGTTTATTAGAAGAGTTACGACAACGTGAGGACAATAGCGAAGATCAATCATCCTAGAATGCACTACCTATACACTTTCACATTTGCAATCACACACACAACACACACGCACATATATTATATATACTTTTATCCCCCGCATCATTTGAAAATCAATTTCGTGTACATGTTAATAACAATTGATAGTATATCGCTTATGGCTTTACACGTTTTTGGGTATGGTTGTTTATTGTCGTGGTTGCTTAGTCTACTTGTACAGTGGTTTCTAGTCGCTTGGCTGGTCATCCGAATCGCCATCATCATCATGGGCATCGTCGTCTGCAATATCAGAATCGTCCTAAATGATAGTATGCCAAGAACAACAATCAGTATCACCATCGCTACCATTTCCATGGCAACATGGATTCTCCTCCTCCTCCTCCTCCTCTTCCTTACCATTTGGAATGCAGCAGTGCCTTGCTCTAACATTTCCTTCAACTCGGTATTCTTTGGATTCACCAAAAGGATGGGAGTGAGCTTGTTACGATTCTCGATGCTATCATCACCAAAGGAAACATGCATAAGCCGTCATCCCAATTTAAGCATACACACGTGCACTCCTTCATACCTTGGGTCAGCACCTCCCTCCAAAAGAATCTCGACCATAGCAATGGCCATTGGAAGGTCCTCATCTTGGTATTGGACAGCCTTGTGCAACGGTGTGTCGCCTTCAAGTCGGTTCTTGACATTGAGGTCAATGTCATCCAAGTTGACAAGCAGCTCGAGACAGCCAATGGAACCCGCTTTGGCACTGACGAGATACCAGTTATATGATGCGTTTCTTCTCTATTGCACGTCGTGGTGTACTCACGCATAATGAGCGGCTGTGTTACCGGCACCATCCACAAAGTTAGGATCGCAGCTGCCGTCATTTAGGATTTCCTCCAAAGTGTCCTCCTGATCGTTTCTGCAGGTAGCGAGCATCAGCTCATCTTGTCATTGATAGCGTCAATAAAGGAGTTGTTATAGTAAAAAGAGTTTATGTGTATATACTCACTGTTGGTTGCGCCGTCTTGGTTCGTCATAAGGGGAAAAGAGCTTGTTGTAGTAGTCTCCCATGGAATTCTCCACTACTTTATCTCTCAGGCACCGACATTTGATCACCCGCTGCATTAGCCCTTCATAGTAGTGTCTTTGCCTTTCATACCAGATAGAGAATAGGCCTTGTAACATTGCATAATAAAAGAGCGAATGTGAGGTGCCATCCATCCATAAGCAGCCATCTCCTTTACGTTATCGAAAAATGAGTAATAACACGTCTTTTACAAATACACATACATCAAACGACAAGAGAAAGTGTAATAAGAGGAACCATCAAAGCATCTTGAAATGATGAATCAAACGGAGTACCATAAGGTATCCTCGCTACAGTTGCTTTGATCATGTTGCCATGCCAACACCTATTCATCGGGGATTCAAGCGAAGAAATTCCTGAGCGCAAGTGGCAAAAAGATGTTGGTTGGTGATTTCGGAGACCCGCGAGACAAATTGAGATGTGTTGGACAAATGAGCGTGTCGAGAATGCAAAGCTGAATACAGGATGTCTGGTGATGGTTTTAACATCAGATAGGGCCTTCCTTGTTTTCATGATATCTAGAATAGGTAGATGATGATATCCAATAAAGCAGTAATGGAAACCAATTAAACGAGTAGTGATTGCAGATCAATGCTTCTTCAGACCACGTAGAAGAGTGTGTGGGCGTTACCCAAAACACTTGCCCTGAGGGTTTAAATTCTCGGTGAGATACAATGCTGGCCGCCCGTTGTATCAATGAAAAAGCAGTTTATATACCGCCTCCCTTTACTCCAGGGTCACACAATCACCCAACATTCAATTATCGTCTTTTTTTTCTTTTTTTCCTTTTTCTTCCCCTTTCCACTACTACATCCCTATCTTGCTATATGGAAGAGAACGATCCATACCGTGCAGCACGACGAGGTAATGCTCAATGCCATACAATTCCACTCTTTATGATATGTAGCACGTGGGAACATACTAAGCCTTTCTATTTTTTACCCGTTTGCAGATCATAATAACGCATCGCCATGTGGAACACCCAATGAACAAGACGCTGCTCATTCACGATCGGGATCGGATAGTAGTACCAAGAAGTTGACAGCACGGCAAAACTCCTATAACGACGACCCTTATGCTCGTAACGAACGAGCCAGTCGGCCGACCATTCGAGCGAATTCCTATTTGCCGTATTCCAATCATCAACGGGATCCGCTAGCCCCTGTGCCACCCATTTACATTGAAGATAATGCAAGCATTCCCAATGACAGAACCATTTCTTTCCAAGTCGATTCCTTCACATCCAGTTCCGATGATCGTAAACTACCACAAGCTACACACAAACTTGGGGACGCATCATCATTATCAATACCGATGCATTCAAAGAAAAGGCGTCAAGGCCGTTGCTGTAGGCGTTGGCGTTTAATTACATTAATTAGCGTCCTTGCTGCTGCTGTGATTGCCGTAATCTGGTACTTTGTATGGCCACGGGTCCCCATACTTGCATTGGATGGTGCTGAAGATACATCGAATTATAATTCTTGGATTACAGACAACAATGATACCATCATAGCATACAACGCCACCTGGTCGCTCAATATGACTGCCAACAACGATCAAAATTGGATACCCACACGCATTAACAACATGGCTGTCACTGTCATCAACCACAATACGAGTAAAGAAATCGGATCAGGCAACTCGGGATCATTGATCTTGTCACCAAGGGATTCGCAAATAGTCAATGTCCCTTTAAAATTCTTGTATTGGAGTGGTCCCAATGATGCCACATTTGAGGATTTGGCCAATGTATGCTCTGTTGTGAGTAACAATTCGCCCATGAGCCGACTACGAATGCATATCGACCTGATTGTCACCATCCGTATTGCTGGCATCGCGTGGTCATCCACTCAAGTAGTCTCATCACCCGAAGGGTTCTTGTGCCCAACATAGTAGCCAAACAATGGTTCTAGATCATTGTTCTCTATTCTATTTTCTTCCCCTCTGCTCCTTACTCCTCCTCGTTGTAGCATTGTTGTAATTCATGTATCTTTATACACACACACACATCCTCCTCCTCCTCCCATTCTTCTTGTACACTAGTAAACATCTAATAATACGCACATAGCTCTTGATCCGAATTTTTTTTATTTGACGTGATCTGATATAGTTGATGGATGCATAAAGAATGACTCTAATCCACTAGTTTGGAATGGCCTAGTGCGACGTGTGATCCTGTGACTCACATGTCAAGGATCCACCAGCCATGCATTGTCCGTGCGTTCGGGTTGCTCAAGATTATGATCGGAGACAACGGCCATTACTGTTTTTCGATGGAGATTGCCTTTTCCATCAAAGCAAGCGGCTGTTTCATATATTCCAGGCTAGTTCACGCCGCTCTTTTTTCCTTTATTCACTTGTCATGGTCAATCCAATCTCGATTCATGTGCTAGAAGACGCTATTGTATTGCAAGGAAATCAACAAGAGTCGGCCGGCAAATTGCTTCAAGGCAAGCTCATTCTCGATCTCAAAGAGCCGATCAAGGTGCGATCTGTCAACTTGAGATTCTATGGCAAGATGAAAGTGTCATGGCGAGAAGGTAAGTTTTCTTCCACTACTACTCTTTGTAAACGTGGTGGTTGCTAATCATGATACTAGGGGTTGGGCATGGTCAAGATTTTCATCAACAAGAGCGTACCATCATGTCACATAAATGGCAGTTTGTTCCTCAAGAAGACGAGGCATCCTCATCATCATCATCAACGACCCATCATCAGAATCATCATACCGGCACGACGGTGGGGGTGCGAAGACCCAATTACACTCTACGTGCTGGGCGGCATGAGTGGACATTTGCATTACCGTTGCCAGGTGATTTGCCTCAATCAGTGGAAGCTACGAATGGAAGGGTGATTTATCAACTCAAGGCCATGATCGAACGTCCATTCTATCTTCAAAACTTTTCGCTCAAACGACCCATTACGATTGTAAGAACGATGCAGCTGGATGATTTTCCTGCAGTGGATACTTGGGAAGTGCATCATACGTGGGAGGATAAGATCGAATACGACATCAACATGCCAACACGGATTTATTCATTGGGAGAGCACATTCCCATCTCCTTTGATATCAAGCCATTGGATCATAATTTGCGAGTACGGCGCTTGGTGGTTACATTGAAAGAGTATCGTGCCTATCGAGCCAAGGAGCATTCGACGCGACATACGTGGGAATGTACATCGAACGTTGTTGTCAATCCAAACCCTTTGGAGAGGTGGAATCACGTGTTGGATTTGAATATACCCAATGAACCCCCGCATGTGCATTGCGATTCAGACAATGATATGATGAAGATCCAGCACAGAATCAAATTCAGTATCTATCTCCAAAATGCCGATGGTCAGAAATCAGAAGTGCGTTGTGCAGCTGTTATCATGATTGTTCCCTCTTTGGTCCAACAAGCAGCACACAATACCTTACCACCATACCAACCTACAACATCATCCTCATTGTATCGCACAGCTTCCAATGCTGTTAGTATTCGAGGTGCTACATCACGTACTACAGTCGCTTCTTCCTCCTCCTCCTCTGGTGATCAACAACAAGAGCCTCTAGCAAGATCCTATGGTTCATCGGCGGGTATTTGGTGGCATGGCATGGATCTTTCTCGTGTTCCTTCTTATAATACGGCTGCTCAACAAGAACCCGCTTCCCTTTCATCCTCATTGCCTCCATATGAAACGATCATTCCTCCTCGATAGTTAGATTACGTAGACTACTACTACTCTTTATTTACAACCTATAATGAACTACACATCTAATACATGTATTTATATCCCATCTGCTACATTGCTGACAAACACCGGTAGAACAATTTGAGCGGGTGTGGGGAAGTGGACCTTATTATTAAGCGCTAATCTACCGTGTGATCCCGTTTGATCTATCATCACTTTGTTCTCTTCTTCCTTGTCATGCCTCGCCTCCTCCCTGACGCCACACATTACATCCCCGTTCACCCTGCTACAGAAGGTTGGGATAGCCAACGACTGGTTGTAGAGCGCCATTACTTTCCAGCACCTGAGAAATGCGATCGCAACATTGCACTGCTATGGTCCCATTCCAATGGCTTCAACAAGGAATCGTTGCACCCTCTCATGCGCCACTTTATTGAATACATAAGACAACACCGTCCTCAATACAATAGCACCAACTTTACATTTGTTGTTTGGGAAGCTCGTAACCATGGTGACTCGGCACGCTTGAATCAAGGCACTTTCCGTGACACATGTGAGCAGCACACACACACCATCCTTGCCTTGATGAATTACTGAATGATGGATACGAATAGATGTATGGTTCGACAATGTCATGGATACAAAGCAAGTGATCGATGTGATGGAACTCAAGAAGGATCATGACAAGTTATTCGGTGTTGGCCATAGCTTTGGTGCTACATCCATGTATGTAAAAGAGTGTTGACAACAACAACATCAGTGCCACGTTGCTCATGCATGATTTAGGTTGCTATGTGAATTCTTTTACCCAAAGACGTTTGATGGATTGTGCTTGATCGAACCTGTCATTGGCGACAATATCGATGATGTCGTTGTACGAGAACAATACCCAACCATGGCATCAGCTAAACGTCGAGATACCTGGGATAGCTTGTAAGTAGGGTTGCGGATTATCGTGATCACTCAGGGCAATATCGAGATAATGACACTCCTTCCTTATTAGTGAGGATGCATTGAAGCTGATGCAGCAACGGCGTTTTTGGAACCGTTTCGATCCTGAAGTGCTAGATCTTTATGTCGTAAGTCATGACTTTGCCCTTTTTGGTGCCCTATGTATGTATGTCTAATCATCTATTCATAGCGTTACGGCATGTACAAGAGGGAGGATGGAAAAGTAACGTTGAAATGTCCCAAGGAACAAGAAACAGTAAGTATTTTAAGAGTGGTGTAAGGGGTGCATCGTATCTTACATGTTTATAGCACAATTTCCGCATGCAAACGTATGCCCGAACAACTGGATTCCGGTCTTTACCCACCTTGAAGATTCCTACTGATTTCATCTATGCCAAAGAATCCGTTTTGTAAGTATACCTCATTTACAGCATGGATAACCTACTCACGTAACCATCACCACCACCACCACCAGCTTGTTGCCAGGACACGAAGGTGACATTACTTCCAAGACCAAATACGCAAAGGTCACCTGGGCTGAAGGAACACACATGGCACCCAACGAGCGACCCAAGGAGTTTGGTAAGTGGTGTATCATAGAAAGAGCATCTTTCATGGTTTATCTAATCATACATGTTATTAGCTCCAATCATCACAGCAGCGTTTGATCGTGCCATGGCTGAAGCAATTCCTTCTTCTAGACTATAGATAGATTATACACTTTTGATATCAATTATTGGAATACATGTATAATAGTTCACTACCAACATCTACGATGCTTTATTGTGCACAACTTTATTCAATGGTTTCTATGACAACGACATGTCCCCGAAATAGCTGAGTGATGCAGCAACAACGACCTGGAGACTTGATTTGCCGCCGACGCTGCGAAATTTTACTCCTCCACTCTTTACTCTTTACTGATCGATCCCACATGAGACAACTCAAGCATCACGAACAAAAGCTTCTAAAGAAGGTCGACTTTTTGCAATGGAAGAAGGAAGACAACATTCGAGAGATCAAGATTATCCGACGATACAACTTGCAACAGCGAGAAGACTACCACAAGTGAGTCGTCACTCATTGAACCCCCCACGATCCACTGTTTTTGCTTACCTTTGGGTTGATTGATAGATACAATCGACTTGCAGGTAGCATCAAGCAACTTGCCAATCGTATTTCGCTTTTGGACTCTCGCGATCCTTTCCGTGCCAAGCAAGAAAAGGCACTTCTCGACAAACTTTATGCTATGGGCATCATCACATCTACCAGCAAATTCAGCGACTGCAACAAGGTCACCGTATCAGCATTCTGTCGAAGGCGGTTACCGATTGTCATGTGTCGACTCAAAATGGCAGAGACGGTCAAGGAAGCTACCACCTTCATTGAACAAGGCCATGTGCGTGTCGGCCCTACTACCATCAATGATCCTGCATACCTCGTTACTCGTACTATGGAAGACTTTGTCACTTGGGTGGATACTTCCAAGATCAAGCGCAAGATTATGAAGTACAATGACAAGGTAATATACACAATGAAGATGGGTGGTTTGGGAAAAAAAGAGACAACTAACATGAGCCCATCTAGTTGGACGACTTTGATCTTTTGTAGATAACTTTTTTCTTCTTTTTTCATGCATACAATAATACAACAACATCATCCTCTATATTGATTCCATATATGTCGAGAAAAGTTCATCATTATCCTTGATCTTTCTTGTGGATACCAATGCGACGACTCGAGTATTTTGTGTCAATGGATCGTGCCCGCTCCAGTAAATATTGGGTATATATTGTCGCAATTCTATGGGGAAACTTGGTGGAAGATCGACTTCATGGTATTGGACTGGAAAAAGTGTGTGTGAGAGAGATGAGCATAAGGATAAGAGTCTTTTGGGGGCTGTGTGATTACCATTGGGAAGGTGATGTTTGCTACCATTGTTCACAATTTGCCCAATAGCTAGTGGATTGCTAACAAAAAGAGAATTAGGTAGGCTCAAGGATAGATATCAATCATTCATGGTCGCACATACTTGAGCTCATTGTCTTCCATCCATGTAGCATCGCTGGTTTGAATAGCTCCTGGCCAATTTTCTTTGTGATACAATGATCTGTAAACCGATCCTGATAAGCCTGAAATGTCGGTAGATTAGACATGGAAGTGAAGGAGATAATCATCATCACGCCACTGGACCCGTTACCTGTCTTTTTGCCATCAACGAAAATACCATCAAAGCATTTGAGAATATAACTATTGGCAATGCTGACAAACAAAAGAGGCTCAAAAGGTTGATACACTGTGCCTGGATATAGACACACCACTTGCCCTGCATCACATTGCCCTCGAAGAAAGACACCTTGCCCTAACCCGATGATGATGATTCTCCTATTTTAGTGTCCTTGCTTTCTCTCTCTCTCTCCTATAGAGTATCCCCCACACACCCTTCTCTTCTTGTTGTACCTGCTCCTGCGATAGTTGAAGCACGTGTATGAACCGAAAACCCAAGCTTTTTTTCCAACGTCTCGTTAGGATGGCATGGCGATGAGTGAATGGTCGTCAAGAGTCGTGTGATTTGGTTGACACTATCGACTGGATTGGGTAAAGGAACAGGTGGTGTTGTTTTTGGAGGTGAACGAATGGTCTTTGCCAGTAATTTAAATGACTGTAAAGGATATCTAAGGCGTTGTCATTTTTTGGGCTATCTCGATAGTATAGTGCATCATGTTGCGTACAGTCGATAAAGGAAGTTTTTGAGTTTGGAGGACATGCGTGCGTGTAAGTGCAACGAGAAACCCCACACAAAAAAAGTCATCAAATATCACGCACACGATCGTGTGCCACCTTGTCCACGCACACACTTTGTACCCAGAGAGAGAGAAAAAACTTTTTCGTTAGGTTTCCCTTTGGCTAGTCTCAAACCTTAAACAGCCCTAATGTAATTAAACACAAATGTGGGTTCTAGAAGAACAAGTTGTAAAGTTGCCATGGCTGCTGTCAGAGTTAAAAGGATGTGTATCCATGATACGTGTGGAATGTATTTGTGTATGTGTGTGTTGCCAAGTAATAGCAGCATGCACGGATAATAGCCGACGGGGTTTCATGCGAGAGGGGAAGGGAGGAGGAGAACTTTGTATGTTTAGCCATCAGCTGCCCTCTTGTGTGCGTGTGTGTGTGTGTGTGTGTGTACGTGTACATGCGTCTGTTGTCGGCTTCTCTTTTTCCAGCCCAGTGACTCATGGTGCCATTTGACCCTGCAGCTCCGGCTGACTTTTGATGAAACACAACCTGTGTGTTGCTAACAACACACCCTTCTCGTTTATCATACCCATGCCACTTTTTCACTTTCCATCTAATGGTTTTGTGCGAGACAAAAGCAACTACTCTGTGCAACTGTTATTATCGACAAGAGAAAAAAAGAAAAAAAAACATCAAGTCAATGGATGGGGAACCTCCTTGTTTCAATATGCAGCAAGACGTGAATGCGTGTGTATGTGTGTGCGTATGTGTGTGTCTCTTTCTTTTTCAAAAATGTCAGCAGCAACAAACCTCCCTTCTCTCTTACTCACTCACTCTCACCCACGACTCGCTTACACCTGCATGCATTCAATCAACCATGAATCGTAGCATTTTGCTTCGTTCAGTTTTTCCCTAACCGCTGCATCTTTCTCCTTTCTTGCATTCCCACGCAATACGCTTTTACAAATGTTGTGTTGTTGTTGTTGATGGATGGTGGTCATGTTGGTGATGGCTGTATCAAGCAAGGCTTTGTGCATCGTATTCAGAATGCTCTACCATACTAGGCAACGCAAGAAGATATCTATTTGTGGTAAAGAGAGCGACTTGTGTAACCAAACGAGCAGCAGGCAATCATCCTCACAGTCACCGTTGCTCGGGCGCTCCTGGTTACCAAAGAGAAACAGAGCCAATTTTCATCCTTTTTCTCTCTTTCTCTTTTTCTTTGAGCTCTCTCTCCTGTCTCACTTGTTTCTTTCCTTTTCTCCCTTTTTCTCGACACATGTACGAGTTCCAACGTCCTGCCAACTTTCCCGCCATCCGATATACCATCGTCCGTCGAATTAATGAACAAAGGAAAAAGCAAAAGGACACTGAACGCTACCTCTCCTCTACCACATCTTGCCCTACCAACGGCCTTCCATCACCTCCAGTAGACCACGACGACATGTTCAAGCAAGAAGATACTACCACCACTACCACTACCACTCCTACTACTACTACTACTACTACTCTTGCAACCTCGACTCTTGTTGAACTATCAGGCACTCCCTCATCCGGTAATAGCTGTGCAAGCTCACCGCGAGAATCCCACCATGTCATGGATGAGAAAGCGATCCGAGACAAGATTCAGGAGCTACAAAACGAAAAACATGAGCTCTTTCAACTCATGAAGAACCTGCTATCAAAGCAACAACAACAGCAGCAACAACAAGAGATCCAACAACAACAACAACAGCAAATCAAGATGGTGGAAGATCACCCACCTCCTCCACCTCCACCAACATCATCATCATCACATTCATCATCATCATTATCCATATCATCATCAAGAGTAGCACCACCACCACCTGTTGTGAGCACAAGTAGTACTAGCAGCAGCAGAAGCTCAAGTTCTGAAAGGTCACCATCACCACAGACACCACCAGTTCAAGAGCAATCATCACAGCGGATGCCTCCTTTAACATCCTTGTCATCATCATCATCATCTTCTTCTTCTCAGCATATGCGTTCATCATCTTTGGACCATCATCGATCTTTTCCACCTCATCCACACCCACCACCAAGATACATGCCTTATCATCGAAGAGCTCCCCCGTTGGCACCTCCTCGCTATTACAGCAGTAGATATGGTGGTACCAGTGGTGGTGGTGGTGGTAGACCCATGAATGGTTTTTCATCGCCTTCTTATCCTGTAAGTCGACGTTGTGACATTTAAAAAGTTTGAATTTTATCACTGACATGCTATCTATCTTAGCCTCGACGCGGTCCAATGCCGTATAATCCTTCAAGGGCACCTTCTCCAGCCCTGAGAGCAACATCCTATCGTCCTTCAAGGTCGCTTTCCGACAGACATATTCCAAGATATTGAACTGCTTAAAAGGTTTCATTGTATACAGTGTTCTTTTCTTTTTAACCCCTCTCTTTCTTCCACGCCCTCTATTTATCTATTGATACTATCATGTATCCTTCTACCACCTTCTCATCCATCCTCGTTTCCCTTCGTCCCTCTCACTCTCTCCCCTCCTCTTTCTTAGGTTGCACCAAAAAGCAAAGGTGTGACAATGTACAAATGTAATCATACTTTATCTTGTTCTTTTGCGACCCTAGTTTGTTGTTCCTTTTCTTGTGTGAAAAAAGACCCCCGTTTTTGTATATACCACCACCATTTTGTTGTTGTGGATAGACGACATCCCATCGCTTTCCATATAAAAAAGCCACGTACACACACACGCATCATATGACAACAGCATGCTGATCACTGTAGTGGGAGAACCAGTGTATAGTAGCCTGCTGCTTTATTGCCTTTTGTGATACATGGCTTCAACTACTACTATTGTTGTTGCTGCTGTTGGTAATGGGTTGTCATTTTAGCGTTGCCCCAAAAGATGTGACAAGTCAATGGGTATAGCTAGAGAGTAGTAGTAGTAGAATCCCTATGAGTACATCATCACTATTATCATCATCATCGCTAACAACTTACAGCATCCTGTTTCTGCACCTGTGGGATAACGCCGTAACCGCTTCTCAAAGGGTGGTGGGGGTGGAAACTCCTTTTGTGAATGAAACGTCCATTTGCCTGCTTCCGTTTGTGGTGGTTCTGGAATGTCGACATCAAGCGAATGAAACGATGGCTGAACAGGGATCGTCGACAAGCGTAAATGAGGCGATTGCATTTGTGTCTATGAGTTATGGAAAGAAATAAAACCAAAAGGGAGCCAAGTTTCCTTGGATACGCTATTACCCAAACAACTCAGCTTCGCATGAAATGTATTCCCGATCTCATAACCGAGGCCATGTTGACCATAATAAACTAGCTGCTAGCTGATGATTATGCCGGATGAACATTTCACATGTATGGATTTCGTCTTGGTGTTGAACGATTATGGGGCTCAAGTAACGATCACCCTACTACCTTTGAAAATGATCCTTGTTTGACACAATTAACGTTTATTTGGTTCCCAGGAAAGAATCTATCTAAATGCATTTCTCTACGAGCTCCTTCTTCTTGGAAATGTTGTCAGGATCAAACGACTATTGACATCCTTTGAATTATCGTAAGCGTCTAGATTTCCCAAAGTTTCATCGTGCTCTTTCAATCCAATGGGTGAGTGAAACAAAGCCGTATTGCTATCATTCATATAAAGGGCATTGGTGACAAGTAGTCTTTGATTGTGTGACATTATTCATAGGTAACCATGTCATCTCCTAAATCCGACAAGCCCTTCCAAGATACTGGTATCATTCAACTTGATGGTGGTGGGTTGGGGGTTGGATTGTTGTTCCAAATCATACGCCTCGACACAACGGGACCAACCATGTGATGATCCTTCTCTTTGTTCAACACATCATCATTGATAAACCTATCCCATTCACAACAACAACAAAAAGGTGTCGCTGATGTTAGCGAGAGAGACACAAACGACAGCATCTGCACAACATAGCATCCGCTTTCAACGACCGCCCTCACCCTTCTTTTTCCTTTTGCAACACAACTCAACATGGATAATGTGCTCACCTGGGACGAGAACAAAGTGAGCAAATGGCTTGCATCGATTGGCTACTCTGCATACGAAAAGCAGTTCAAAGGTGTGTGTGTGTTTCTATACATGCTTACTTTGGTTTCGTTGTTTGCTCATTGACTTGCTCTCCAGAACACGGCATTACTGGCGATGTGCTTGTCAATCTCGACCATGAAACGCTCAAAGATCTTTCTATGCATTCGGTTGGCCAACGTATGGAGATCCTCAAGCACATATATACCCTGAAAGCCCTTTGGCGTATACCTTTGAACGAGTGGGATTATGTTCCTCCAAGTATGTATATATAACCTATCTCTGTTGGTAGATTTATAGATATTGACTCCATCCTTTTGCATAGCTGTTCTTTATGAAAACGTGAGAAGATGATCATGATAGCGCGTTACAACATGTTTTCTAATACGATGGTATCAGGATTGGCTTGGACAGAATGGAATGGCTGATTATCGCAAAATCGAAGCTGCATTTCATGAGCGAGGTATGCTGCTGGTTGACAAACAAGGAGAAAGAGGATCTTAACACGTGCATTGATCTAGATGGCCATATGAGACAACTTACAGAAGAACTTCACCGTGTCAGTAACGAGATGATGCGATTGAGAGAGGAGATGGGTCAGCATTGGAAGCTTCCCAAGGATAAAAAGGTAAAGGAAAATGGGTAATGAGCAAGGGGACCATACATGGATCATACTAACAACAACAGCCTTTACCTGTCTTTGAAATCGAAAAGTCGCCATCCACGACATCCGCACCTAAAGCAGTCGCCCACTTTATGCAAAAGTCTGGCCAGCTCTTAACACCACCTTCATTATCTTCCAATCATGGTGGCGCCAATGGTGATTACTTTAGCAATTCATCTTTCACCTCGCTTGACAAGTCCGTTAGTGACGAAGTAAGTGGTTCGATTATTTTTCTTCAAAGTGTGGTGGACTGACTTTTTATCTCTTTCTCCTCAGATCAAGCCCGCTGGTCCTAATGTCATGGTGAATGATGGTGGAGCAATCAAAGTGTATGGAGACAAGATATCCAACAACTCCAAGGTGGAATTGGAATCATCAAAGAATGTGCGACTTTTATTGGATGATACGTGCTCCAAGGTCATTACATCTGCGCTCAAGAAGTACAATGTCGTCGCTGATTGGCAACAATATTCGCTTTGGATTCAATATGGTCCCTATGATAACCCACAAGGTAAATCACACACACACACACATTGACGTTGCCTAGGTAATGTGCTAATTCGGGATATATAGAACGTCAATTGGGATATGATGAGAAGCCGCTAAAGATTTCACAAAAGCTCAAGGAAGCCAAACAGAATCCAGTATTTGTGCTCAAGCATGTCAAAGATAACAAAGTATTCAACCCTGCACAGCATGCATCGAATAGCTCTGACAACAAAATGGAAGGGTCTTCGAGTCGATCGAATCACTTGTTGAATGCATTTACATCACCACGCCCTGCACCTAAACCTACGCCGCCAATCACCTATGACGATGATCATCATAGTGGAAGATCCACACCACAGAATGGAAATGGATGGAAGAATAGCTCAGCTGATAAGCGAACATTGGAGCATCCCAAAACAGCAATTACATCAGGGCGAGTTGGATATGAAGTCGTTGTACCCGTCATGTCATCCTCTATATCGACACCGACTCCATCAACATCCTCCGTGGGGGGAGCCAATGGAAATGACACGCCACCTTCTTCTTCTACTACAACTACTACACTTACGCCATCCTCAGCAAAACGCGCTGGCACTATTAACAGAAAGCCGTCTGAGAACTTGTTGAGCGAGCTTGGATTAGAAAGCGGGATGGCCAATGTGATATACACGATCATGATGGATCAAAATCAGAATGGGAACTGAAGCCAAGTTTTCATGATGTTGTGAATATACCAGTTTTTTCTCTCTATTTTCCAAGTTACGTTTTCTATTTCATGGGTTGGTGGTTATCGGCGATCGATGTTTCACAAACTGAAACTTGTGGCATAAGTCATTGGGGGCCCTTCATCAACAACCAATCCCTCCCCCTTGTCTTTTCTTGTTTCTTTCTTTCTCTCTCTCTCTCTGTATCTATTTTCTACCTATTCAATCATGTCGTTAATGCCTGGTACGAGCACAGCTAGTGGAGCTGCTCATGCTGCTGATGATGCCAAGCGACGATCGATTATCAATCTTATGAAGACCAAGCGTGTGCGTATCGGGGATAAAGAGGCAAAGGAGGCAAAGGATCTTCTCGGAAAATTGTACGCCACCCAAGATGATGAGGAACGACGTGAGCTTGCCAAGGAAGCTGCAGCCTATGCCAATGCGTATGGGGTACGATCTCTCAAGGCATGTCATTTGTACAGTGCCATTTCGCATGAGTTGTTTGCCAAAAAGATCAAGCAGCCTGAAGTGCTTGCCTCGATGGAATTGACATTGTACTTGTGCGATGTCAATGAAACGTTACACGGTGTGATGGATCCTCATTTGGCTAGTCTATTGCCTCCATTGTTGGATTTGCAAGGTGATAAGCAAGCCAAGGTCAAGGAAATGGCCGCCATGACAGCCAAGCGCTTAACATCTGCAGTGAATCCATCGGCGACTCGAATGATGTTGCATGTTTTATTGACTGGATTGGAGAATTCTCGAAAGTGGCCCACCAAGATGTTGTCTCTTTCATTGATTGAAGAATTGGCTCGCAAGAATCCAATGCAGCTCTTGCCATGTATTCCAGACTTGATTCCAGTGGTATCGGATTGCATGTGGGATACCAAGGCCGAAGTCAAACGTGCATCGACCCAATGCATGAAGACCGTGACCGAATTGCTTGACAATAAGGACATTGAACGCTTCATCCCCGCTGTCATTGAATGCATCAATCATCCCGACAAAGTACCCGAAACCATTCATCAATTGGGTGCTACGACCTTTGTGCAAGAAGTTGATGCTGGTACTTTGTCTCTCATGGTGCCCTTGTTGGCTCGTGGTCTACGTGAACGTCAAACACCCATCAAGCGCAAGGCTGCTGTGATTATCGACAACATGTGTAAGCTCGTGGATGATCCTGAAGTGGCTGCTCCTTTCCTTCCTGTATTGTTGCCAGAGCTTGATCACGTGCATGACATCGTGGCTGATCCCGAGTGCCGTGGTGTTGTCAACAAGGCCCTTGCTACTCTTAAGCGCATTGGTGCCACCGAGGAAGGTGTTCAAGTCCTCACTGATACTGAAAAGCGAGACAAGGTGACCAAGACTTTGGATCATTTGATGCCTACAAAGTTGGAAGGTTTCTGGAGCCCTGTACGCAAGTTCATGATTGAAGTGGCAGTGGCCCTATCTTTGGCACGCGATTTCACCAAGGCATCATGGGTCAGTGCAATCGGTCCACATGCAGGCACGTGGCTTTTGGTCACAGGTCGTGAGCATGGTGATTGGGGTGAAGAACAAGAACACGAGGCTGAAAAACTTGCTACGGCTGCATTGGCTCACTGTGAGGAAGCGGTTGCTTTCCATGCTCCTGAGGAAGAAGATGATGATGAAGGTGAAGAGCTTTGCAACTGTGAATTCTCTCTTGCTTATGGTGCCAAGATTTTGCTCAACCGTACCACACTCAAGCTCAAGCGTGGTCGTCGTTATGGTCTATGTGGTGCCAATGGCTGTGGCAAATCCACTCTCATGCGTGCTATTGCCAACGAGCAAGTGGAAGGCTTCCCTCCAAAATCAGTCCTCAAGACGGTCTATGTGGAACATGACATTGATGGATCTCAAGCTGATACGGGTTTGGTCGATTTTATTGCTGAATCCAAAGGTGTGGAGCAATCTGACAAGGGAGAGATTGCACGTATTCTTCTCGATTATGGCTTCAGCGAAGATATGGTCAAGTTCCAAAACATCGGTTCCCTTTCAGGTGGTTGGAAGATGAAGTTGGCTCTTGCACGTGCCATGTTGATGAATGCCGATATTTTGCTTTTGGACGAACCAACCAATCACTTGGATGTGGTCAATGTGGCATGGCTTGAGAATTACTTGCTGGGCTTGAAGACTGTCACTTCCATCATTGTGTCCCACGATTCGGGCTTTTTGGATCACGTGTGCTCTGACATTATTCACTATGAAGGCAATTACAAGCTCAAGCGATACAAGGGCAATCTTTCCGAATTTGTCAAAAAGGTGCCCCGTGCTGCTGCTTATTATTCATTGGATGCAGCTCAATTGACATTCAAGTTCCCAGAGCCAGGTTATCTTGAAGGCGTCAAGACCAAGGAGCGTGCCATTCTCAAGATGAAGGATGTGGACTTTCAGTATCCTGGTACTTCAAGAAAGCAGCTCAAGGGTATTACCATGCAATGTTCATTAGCAAGTCGTGTGGCTGTTATTGGTCCCAATGGTGCTGGCAAGTCTACTTTGATCAAGCTGTTGACGGGTGAGATGGAGCCTACTTCGGGTACTGTTTGGAAGCATCCCAACTTGCGTATTGCCTATGTCGCACAGCATGCTTTCCATCACATTGAGAAGCACTTGGATTCTACACCCAATGAATACATCCAATGGCGATATGCAACAGGTGAAGATCGTGAAGAGCTCGATAAGGTGGATCGTCAAGTGACTGAGGAAGAAGAAAAGCAAATGAATCAAGCCTTTGTTATCGATGGCGAGAAGCGTATTGTCGAGGAGATCGTGGGTCGTCGCAAGCTCAAGCAATCTTATGAATACGAAGTCTCATGGGTTGGCAAGTCTTCGGTGGAGAATACCTGGATCTCTCGTCAACGTCTTGAACAAATGGGTTTCGGTAAAAAGATTGCCGAGTGTGATGCTCAAGAAGCTGCAAAGTCGGGTCTTACTCGTCCACTCACTGCCAAGGAAATCGAAAAGCATCTATCTGAAGTGGGTCTTGAGCCTGAGTTTGCCACTCATTCTCGTATCCGTGGTCTTTCGGGTGGTCAAAAGGTCAAGTTGGTTATTGGTGCTGCCATGTGGAATCGTCCTCATATGTTGGTCCTTGACGAACCTACCAATTATCTCGATCGTGAGTCGCTTGGTGCTCTTGCAAGTGCTATTCGCGAGTATGGTGGTGGTGTCGTTATTGTCACTCACAATCGAGAATTCTCGGAAGCCCTTTGCCAAGAAGTTTGGAAGGTCGACAATGGTGAGCTTGTTGCTTCAGGTCACAATTGGGTCACAGGTCAAGGTACAACAGTGATCAAGGAGGAAGAACAGGAGGATATGGTGGATGCTCAAGGTAACACCGTCAAGGCTGTCAAGAAGAAGGAGAAGCTTAGCTCTCGTGAATTGCGTAAAAAGAAGAAGGAACGCATGGAACGTCGAAAGCGTGGTGAAGAGGTGTTCTCCGATGAAGACGAGTGGTAGATTATTTATCGTTGTACTTGCTTTTTCTTTCTTTCTTTCTTTCAATGAATAATATACAATTGTTCAGTATACATAATACGCTTGTTGGTAATAAGCTTAGACTTGTGTTGTATATGCTTGACATCTTTATTACGTTTCCATGGCTTTCCAAAGAAAGCAAATTAAGAAATACACATATATTTGCTTACAATCTAGGAGCTTATACAGATCCTTGCATGTATTTTATTATGTATAACACCACACGTCTGCTGCATTGTTCTGCATATATGCAAGCAATAGCATCAGTGGTATTGAGTCTAGCCTCTTGGTCGCTCATCATAGTGCTACTACAATAAGAAGATGGGTACATAAAACAAGATCGCATTGGGGATGATGATGATGATGATGATAGTGATGAAGGGATACAAAATATACGTTGTACCCTGAACAGGGGAGACCAGGTACGATGATGGATGTTCATTGTTTGGGTGATGACAGCTCCCATGACGATCCCATTTATTTATCAAACACCCAAAGATGTAACCTTTTTGGTCAAAAGTCATTGTCTTTTTGTCGTTACTCCCTTTTTGTGTGCAGGGTCCATTAACCATATGTAATCAATCGTGATGGTCATGGGGCCACTATACCGGCGGCAACTTGACTTGTATGGGAGGAGGTGGTGGTGGAAAGCAAGAAGCAGGGTGATGGTCCAGAAAACATGGAAACAGCACTTGACACATAATAGATCCTCTTTCCCTCTCTCACTCCCCCATAGACCATCTTGATCCTCATCGCCCTCTCCCCCCTTTACCTCTTACTCGCAGCTCGTGTACCCCTGAAAACGTTAACTGATGTGCCTTATCTAGGTCCATCCTTATTCTTCACCACCACCACGAGAGTGCCTCATGAACATATGTACACGTACTATACTTTATATTTTAAACTTGCTGCATAAAAAAGATGGAGTCGCTTTGAAGGAAAATCGCCCTTATATAAAACCCACACACCTATTCCTTGGCATCTTGCCTAGACTCTCTCCTTGTTGTTGTAACGCTTGTACATTAACAATCACTACCACTGCCACTACTACTCTGAGTGCCATCAGCAAATGGAACCAAAGACATCATCAGCAGTCTATATCAGACCTTTGAATCTGGAAGGTGGTCAATGGTAAATGTCAAATACTGGATTGATGGCATTATTATTATTATAAGAAACTCACGCATGATGTGACATAGTGCCTGGTGCGGCAAGTATGGTCATCAACGTCTCGCTTGTCCACTTCTCAAGTAAACATCCACACGATCACATTTCTATTAACACCTCCATTCGTTTTAAACACTACACTACCACCACCTATGATGATGATGGCGATGAATCACTCTTCTTCTCCTATACTACTACCCTACTACCACGTACCCATTGCCCTGCACCTTCCTTTTTTACATTTTAGTATTGTTTATGTTGTCGTTCATGATATTCACTGCTCTTCCACTCTAATACGTTCTGATTTCATGTTCATTTTTGCGCAGTAAAGTTGATACTTTGGGTTTTATGCTAATGAATCAGAGGGAAAAAGTGTCATGTGCATCCATTGGCCGCACGCCACGATGTGTGTCCCGCGGTCCTCGAATCTTGTCGCGACTTGTACAAAGCCGACAGGCTGGCACGCAACTCTTGTCTCTTCTCATCTAACCTCTGGGGATCACTCTCTTTTGAACAGCTCGAGTCTAACTACGGGTACGTGTCTTCATTTCCATAACGGCATCATCTGTATCGCATTGGGTTCAAAAACAGCTCATGTGGTTTATTCTCTTTGCTTGTTTTCTCTACTACTTCTTCTAGAGGTTTACATGTCCTTGCACCATGCAGATGCTTACAAAGGTAAACGAAAAACAACTACAACGACGTGACTAGAGCATCCGGCTAACGTGCTTCTGTACATAGTTTGAATCAAAAAGCAACCGCGTCAAAGGAATTGCGTTCCATCCGAAACGACCATGGATTCTTGCATCGCTGCACAATGGGTCAATTCAGCTTTGGGACTATCGTATGGGTACTCTTTTAGAACGTTTTGACGAGCATGATGGTAAGCGACTTTATATCAAAAGAGATGCGTGGGATATTCATCAAAGGGGGTATAACAATAATAGGACCTGTTCGAGGTATCGCGTTCCATCCTACGCAACCACTGTTTGTCTCGGGTGGTGACGATTACAAGATCAAAGTGTGGAATCACAAGACACGCCGTTGTTTATTCACATTGAGTGGCCATTTGGATTACGTTCGCACTGTTTATTTCCATCATGAGTATCCTTGGATTATTTCAGCATCTGACGACCAAACGATTCGCATTTGGAACTGGCAATCCAGAAGTTGTATCGCCATTCTTACTGGCCACAATCATTATGTCATGTCCGCCCAATTTCATCCAAAGAATGATCTCGTTGTATCGGCTTCTATGGATCAAACCGTTCGTGTTTGGGATATCTCAGGTACCAATTTCCTTTATACAAACATGGATCTTTATATACTCAATATCGGTCTTTAGGTCTTCGCAAAAAGAACCAAGCACCTACAGCAATGACATTTGAAGATCCATTCGCACGTCAAAATCCTCAAAGCGATCTCTTTGGATCAACTGATGTTATGGTCAAATACGTATTGGAGGGCCATGATCATGGTGTCAACTGGGCATCTTTCCATCCCAATCTACCTTTGATTGTATCTGCTGGTGATGATCGCCAAGTCAAACTCTGGAGAATGAATGGTAAATATACATACTTGATGCATGCATCTATACGTAATATTGACACATGTATGTGATAGAAACCAAGGCATGGGAAGTTGATAGCTGCCGTGGTCATTTCAACAATGTTTCGAGTGCCATTTTCCATCCACGCCAAGAACTTATTCTTTCTGCTGGTGAAGACAAGACCCTTCGTGTGTGGGATATGACCAAGCGTACTGCCATTGCTACCTTCCGCCGAGATCATGATCGTTTCTGGGCATTGACTTGTCATCCAGAATTGAACCTGTTTGCTGCAGGTAAAGCAAGAGGGAAAATGAGGATATGAAATGGTTGCTTATATGAGCTTTTATGTACAGGCCATGACAATGGTTTGATTGTATTCAAGCTTGAACGTGAACGACCAGCCCATCATGTACACCAAAACCAATTGTATTATATCAAGGACAAGATTCTTCATATCCATGATTTTGCCAGCACCGCCGATCAAGAAGTTTTGAGCGTTCGCAAACTTGGATCGCAATACGTTACTCCTCGTACGCTTTCATACAACCCTGCAGAACGTGCTGTTTTGGTGACATCGGTAAGATGATAAGGAGAAAAAGGCAATGAATGAATGATGATGTCTTACTTTATGATTTGGTAGCCACACGAGGGCGGCATGTATGAACTTTATCCATTGCCCAAGAATTTCTCTAGCGGTCTCAAAGAACCTGCTGATGATTCCAGACGCGGAGCTGGTCACTGTGCACTCTTTATTGCTCGTAATCGATTCGCTGTTCTCGACAAGATCAATCAACAAATCCAAATCCGCGACTTGTCCAACACTGTCACCAAATCCTTCAAGGCACCTGGTCATGTCAACGAGATCTTTTATGCTGGCACCGGCAGTTTATTGATGGCTACAGCTACTTCCGTTATCTTGTTTGATATTCAACAACGTCGTGTTACTGCCGAGTTAGCTGTTGGCAACGTCAAGTATGTTGTTTGGTCATCTGATATGTCCACTGTGGCCTTGTTGAGCAAGCATAGTAAGTGTGAAGATGGGAATTGATATATAAGGGATGCTTATCATCTTTTAATTAGGTATCACTATTGCCGACAAGAACTTGCAACAATTGGCACAAGTGCATGAGACCATTCGTATCAAGAGCGGTACTTGGGATGATTCCGGTGTCTTCATTTACTGCACCTTGAACCACATCAAATATGCCTTGACCCAGGGGTAAATGTCACCTTTCACAATGCAAGTAATACATGATCACGTGTCTAATACGGTTTTGCCTTTTTACTAGTGACACCGGCATTATCCGTACGCTCGATCAGCCCGTCTACTTGACCCGTGTCAAGGGTAGAACTTTATATGCTTTGGATCGTGATGCTAAGGTTCAGCAAATCACCATTGACCCCACCGAATACCGCTTCAAGCTTGCTCTCATCAAGAAACAATACGAAGAAGTCTTGCATATTATTCGCAACTCGAACTTGGTTGGTCAAGCTATCATTGCTTATCTTCAAAAGAAGGGTTATCCCGAGGTATGCATCCTAAAGAGTGGATATCACGCGCGTACATGTATTTACATGGATTTTTTTATAGATTGCATTGCACTTTGTACGTGATCCTCAGACACGTTTCGAGTTGGCATTAGAGTGTGGTAATTTGGATGTTGCCTTGGAGACTGCCAAGACCATGGACAAGCCTGAGAGTTGGAGCAAATTGGGTGCCGAAGCCCTTAGACAGGGTAACTACAAGGTAATTATATATACTACAACCCATGAGACAAAATATTGACTCTTGTATTGTATTAGATTGTTGAGATGGCTTATCAACGAACCAAGAGCTATGATGCCTTGTCATTCTTATACCTCTCCACTGGCGATGACAACAGCTTGCGACAAATGCTCAAGATTGCAGAGCTTCGTGGTGATTTCAGCTCACGTTTCCAAAACACATTGTATCTTGGTGATGCTGAGGAACGCGTTCGTGTCCTTAAGGATGTTGATCAACGTAAGTTATCTTTATTGATTTGCTTTGTAATGTGATGTACTAAACCATCGACTAGTTCCTCTTGCTTATATGACTGCCAAGGCACATGGACTTACAGAGCAAGCTGAAGCTATTCTCGCAGCTGCTGGAAAGACTGAAGAAGATATTCAAGCACCCTCTGCTCCTGAGAGACCTCTTGCACCACCCAAGCCTGCTGTGAAATTGGAAGAACCCAACTGGCCTCAAGTAGCAGTATCCAAGAGCTTCTTTGAAGGTGCCTTTGCCAATGAGCGTGCTGGTGGTATTTCTTCAGCACCCGATTTCTCGTACGATGATCAATTTGATGTGGATGCAAACGAAGGTGATTGGGGAGCTGACGATGACGAGTTACCTGGTATCGGTACCAAGCGTGCTACCAACGTGGATGAAGATCTTGTCGATGTGAATGGATTCGAAGGCGAAGAAGAGGAAGCTGGCGGATGGGGAGATGATGATGATGATTTCAAGGCCAATTTGGATGCTACCATCAGCCATGTTGCAGCTGAAGAAACAGCCGAATTCGTTGCACCCACCGCTGGCACCAATGAAACAGCCGTCTGGTCACAAAACTCGCCACTTGCAGCTGACCACATTGCCGCTGGTGCATTTGAGAGTGCTATGCAAGCTCTTAATCGTCAAGTGGGCATTGTCAACTTTGAGCCACTCAAGCCCCACTTTTTGTCCATTTATCAAGCATCTCGTATCACAATGTCACCCATGGCATCCAACCCTTCTTTGACATTCTATTTGCGTCGTAACCCTGAAGAATCCAACACACGTGCTAGCTTGCCTGTCGTTGTGCACAACTTCCAAAACATCATCGATACTACATTGCAAGCTGGCTACAAGGCGTTCACATCAGGTCGTTTGGCAGTGGCTGCTACTGAATTCAAATCTACATTGCAATCGCTTTTGTTCACTGTGGTCAACAGCCAAGAGGAAGTGGATCAAGTGGCAGAGCTTGTGGGTATATGCCGTGAATACATTATTGGTCTTGCATTGGAACAAAAGCGACGTGCTGTGGTGAACGAGGATCCCAAATTGGCATTGGAGTTGGCTGCTTACTTTACCCACTGTGAATTGATCAGCAAGCATCGTGTGTTCCCCTTGCGTCAAGCTGCCAAGCAAGCCTTCAAGCTAAAGAACTTCATTACAGCATCCCAATTCACACAACGACTACTTGAATTGCCACCACCTAGGCAAGTGGCTGATGAAGCACGTCAAATCCAATCCGTTTGTGAGCGTACTATGCGTGATGAAATCGATTTGGCCTATGATCAGTATAATCCATTTGTGGTGTGCAATATCACCTTTGAGCCTATTTACAAGGGATCCCCCAAGTCAGATTGTCCATTCTGTCACGCTTCTTACAAGCCTGAATTCCAAGGCAAGCTGTGTACTGTGTGTGAAGTGGCCCAGATTGGTGCTAATGCTACCGGTCTTCGAGTGACGATATAATGAATGCTCTTTTTTTTGTTTTCCTCAAATCCTTTAAACACACACACACACACCAACCACTTTACACCACCATCTCTCTCTCTCTCTCATCTGCGCATATTATATATCTCTCTCACTCTCACTCACACACTCCTCTTTTCTTTGTCCCATCGATTTATTGTACTAGACAATCGAAAGTAAAACACCTCCAAAAGCCAAATAATCATTTGTGTTCTATATTCTATTATTACATGGTTCTTTATACAAATGGTCTTGATCCATAAGGACATACACTATCCATGTGAGGGTCAAAGAAACGAGGGTATCCAGGCATTTCGGCATCTCGATGTAGTCCAATATGCAAGAAAGGTTCAATAAAGAGGGGAGCAGTATATAAAATGTATAGATACGTAAGGGTTCGTGCAAGCCATATGGGCAATCCAATGGATGATCTTCTTGAAATGAGCGTAGCCATGCCTTGTAATAAGAAAAAGAGTGTCTGGAAACCAGCAATGCCGGGTTGATTCATGTATTCTTGGTAACCAAACATGGCCATGAGGAGATAGTCGTGCAGGAATCCCGAGATAGCAAATACAGCCATGGTGCCCAGGATACGTCCAAGATCAGGGTATTGTGGAAATGCTTGACAAATCGGTGTATATACAATATCTTCAAATGCCCATCGTAGAATTTGATGCCATCGTCTAAAGAAAAGAAAAGATCAGGCATTGGCAATACTATGTTCTTGTTACTGTACCTTGACCAAAGTTCATGGATTGATGTGGAGAGCCAAGGTCGATCAAACAGGGGCGGGCTATGCACATAGGCGTGTACCACGTCATATCGCTTCCTTAACGTCTCTTGAGAACCCATCACTGATCTGATAAGCAATTCAATGCTGTAACCAAGTTGAATAAAAGAGGGGACGAATACGACATGCATAAGAAAAGCTGTGCCGGCAATGGTGTAGTAAATGAGCGTCTTTGGCGGGATTTGATGGGGTGCCGTTAAAAGTAATGTCATGTAAGGAACATCCAATGGCTCGATACACATGCGCAAAAATCCATCCAAAAAAGCCATTATGGGCACTGATACAATGACGATCAATAATGCATGGCTCAACCATCCTATTGCATCCTTCCGTATCGCTGGGATCTCCTTGTTGTGGCGTACTTGTGATTGTTCTCCTTCCTTTTTTCTATCGTTCCATCGTCCAAGCACCTTGTAAAATGGCTCCACACGTTGTTCATCATCTGCCATATAGCGGACCATGCCAAAGCTCGCATAGCATGAAAAGAAAGCAACCACAGCCATATCCAGCATCTCGCCACCGCCATTGAAAGCAAGGGGAATCAAGAGTTGAAGGACCACAATCGCTGATAGAATGACATTACTCGGGTTGGCGTCGGGTCGTCGCGTGAGGATATAGAATAGCAAGGAGGGAATCGCACAGCTGATGAAGACGCCAAGTCGATCCAACATTGGTTTCTTTTCTGGAGGAGACGGTTGGTCTGTTCGTACAAATAGCGTTTTGCGGGATGGCAAATAAGGGTGGTTGTGTGTGCACAAGCAAATGGCAGATCTCTCTTATCAACCTCCTTTTAAGGTGGCCACGTTCTCCTTTATCATACTTTCATTGTTTGCTGTCGACGATCCCATATCATATCATGTATTGCCATAGCAGAGATGATCATTGGAAGGCATCCACAATACCATCACAATCATCCATCCTTTATGATTATCACACATACACACACACGATACTATTGTATGGATAGCAATGCACATACGTAGCTTTGGATTCAACCGGTTTTATGCAATCGCTCCCCAATTTTCCCTTTAAACCTCCTTCAAAGAATACACTCTATCATCCATCCATGCATCATGCATATGTCCCTTTGCCATTGCTTTGTGTTGAGAATTGAGAATACCAAAGTAGTAACGACATCTCTCCTTTTATCCAGGAGGAATAGCAGTAAGAGTATACTCAGTATCATGGATACAGGTTTCCATGCAACTCCTTTTGCGAGTGCAAAGGTTTCATGTTTGATGAGATGCGTATATAAATGCCATCGACCAGGCTGAAAAGATTCTCGTACGTCTTATAACAACAACAACAATGCGTTTCTCACTTTCTCTCTCCATTGCCATCCTTGCTGTCTTTGCTAGCGTCCAAGCTACGAAATCTGAAGGTATGGTATACAATATAGAGCAATCATCTAGTATTGCGTAAATATTCACATACATGTGTATGTATCATAGGTGGTGAGAAGGACGTCCAAGAAGGCTCTGCCGAGGTTCAAGGCAAAGGCGGCCCTCAATCCCGTCTCAGGATCCCACCAGAATGTCTCGGTCAACACGAGGAAGTCCTTCAAGAGTGTCTTGATGGCGCGGAACTTGGCAGCGCTGATCCCGAAGACTTGGATGTTGGCGAGGATTAAATTTGTCCATTACTTGTCCTCATATAATAACCCTTCTTCATGTTCATGATATTTTGCCAGGAATAATACATCAAAGTGTAAGAGGATAAGAGCTTTTTCCAATGTGTTGTGTGTGTGTGCATATGTAATGGCTGGCATTTGTATTATGCAGCTCTGTTTTGCCCTGGGATGACATGACATGTTCGCACATGGTAGTTTTGGTTTGTTGACGTTGATTGTTTGTGTATATTTGTTTTACCTGCTGCCATGGCAACACCGATTACGCATGAAAAAGAAAAATGCCGAGAATCTTTGGGGGATCCAAAAAGCCTGTCATCTTCTTCTCCCTCTCCCCCCATATGCGCAACCCAGCACAACCAACTTTTTGTCCGACAGCCGAAAACAAAGCCATGACACACGCACACGCACGCACACAAAACCGTGACACTCATTTGTGCCCATTCTTTTCCTTTTTTTCCTTGCAACACTAATATCACACCCCGCCTCGCTTTGATCATGCGTTCAAATCTTCTGGCTTTGTTATGTATGGCCTTGGCAATGATGGCCCATGGACTCCCTACACCTGGTGATGACAACAAAGAAGCTGTAGAGGACTCGAAACAACACGTTGCTGTTCCTCATGTGAGAATCGGTAAAGTATCATAAAGTTAAAGAGAAAAGTGGCAGCAACATGAATGCTAAGACAATGAACCCAATAGGCACAGTCGGCATTCGTCGTCCAGGCGAGGAAGGAGGAACCCAACAATTTCAACTTGCCGAGTAAATGGATTGCTCAAGATGATGAAAGAATGCGATATGGCCATTTGTGTGTATATATTCCAACATTGCCAATTTAATTAATGAACCGTATCGTCGTCTTGCCAATTTGTGATAGCCATTTGTGTGCAAATAAATGGTCCCTTTGTATTATTCCTTAGTTGATAATGTCGCTTTGAATACTTGTGGTGGCAAGCGTTACATAGTCCGCTTTATATACACAAGCAAAAAGAACTGGCATTGGTGGTTTCTCCTATTGCATTGGTTACTTGCTTGCAGCGTAAGACCAGAAATTGCGCATCACTCTTTTCTTTCAACAGCCTATGTAATCCCATTCTCGAGCCCCTTATACTCTCGAAAAAGGAGTGCATGCGACATACACATGAGAACGAGAGAAAGGGGGAGTTTACAAGTAGGGATATCATAAACAAAGGGAAAAGCAAAACACTAGGTTGCTCTACCAGAGTCCGACTTTGATTATTAGGAAGGAGGATAAGCATGTGTGTGCGTATGTGTGTGTGTGCCCTGTGTTGTTGTTGTTGCAAGAGAGCGGATTTCATATTCGACATGTCCATAAACGTCAACATCATGGGCTCTAGTAGCGCGATACACATCAGCTGACAATCACTAGCAATCACTCGCACGACCATGCTCTACATTTTCATGTCTCTATGCAAACTACAAGGATGATTTTGAAAAAGGCAGTATGCACATCCTCTGCTTTATACAACTCGTTTACTGCTTTTACTGCGTTGATGTTAACGAACGTCAATAACAACAACATCCATAAATAGCTGGGCGCGGTATGAAGATCATTTATATTCTCCTCCCTCCCTACACTCTACAAGTATAATACAATGGCACATCATCATCCGCACGTACAAATAAAATAACAAGACATGCAATTATTGCTAAGGAGAATCGATGCTCATTGTCTTTTCCATACTCCTTGTTGCTCGAAAGAAAAAGGGGAAGAATAAAATATGGCACATGCTTGTCATTGATATCAAAGGTAGAAATAGACCCAACTTGTTTCACCACTCTTTTACTTTTCTTTTCACTTGTATCATCCATCAAACCCCATTACTCTCGTTATCATCTAATTTACGATAGACTATCTATCACGTTAGCCCCCATACCAATCCTTTATACACATCCATACACACACGTACGCAACGTTTTATTTCCATTATGCGACATTTTCTATCACTCTCCATGGTAGCAGCCATTGGGCTGATTTCTATTACTCGGGGTTTGCCGTTGAACGATCCAGCCCACGATGACCCACAACAATCCTCTTCACCTTTGAATATCGCAAACATTGATCTCCACCGCACAGTGTTTGGTGATAATGGTAGTGGACAACTACCGATGCAAGCTAGTACACCTGATTCTGATGCTGCCGCGCAGCATGCGGTACTCGCTGCAGTTGACTTAAATGGTGATGAAGATGAGACTACTACTTCTATTAAGCACCATCACCATGATGACGACGACGATGATGAAGACGACGACGATGAAAACGACGACGATGACGATGATGATGATGACGACGACGATGATGATGATGACGACGACGATGATGATGACGATGATGACGATGACGATGACGATGATGAAGATGTCAACATTGTCCATCATCGCGTATCCCATCATGGCCCATTACCTATCCTTCGATTGAAAAAACGTGGTGGTGACAAGTCCCCTGAGTTGCCTCCAGGCCAGCCAACAGAATTACCATCACAAGAAGCAATTGACGCTCTCGAAGAAGAAATTCAAGCTGCATTGGGACATCCATCATCTGGCAAGAGCAAAGATAAATCGTCATCTTCTGATAAGCATCATGGATCAAAAAAGAAACATGACGACAAGCCCAAGGACCATAAGAGCAAGGATGATCACAAAGATAAGAAGGAGGATCACAAGGATAAGAGCGAGCACAAGAAAGGCAGTGACAAGAAGAAGCACAAATCACATCATGAGGATAAAAAGAAGCATCACAGCAAGGAAAAGAAGCCTCATGGACACAAGAACAAGAAGCCCAAGGTCAAGTCGGCTGTTGCTTTACCTGCTGCTGCAGCTGCTGGTGCCGGTGCTGCTGAAGCTGCTCATCACATTGCCAAGCATGAAGATGATCCATCATCATCATCATTGAGCGATGAGATTGCGTCTGCTGAAAAGGAAGCCGATGATGCTGTGGAAGAAGCTAAGAAGAAAGATGACGGCAAGGATGTACACGAAGAGCACACTACTCAAAACGGCCCACTCTCACTTGGTGATGATACATCTATCGGCGTTGATGATGATACCCTTGCACCCGTGAACAACCTCTTAGCTGACAAGAATGGTGACAGCCTTGTTGCACCTGTGAACGAGCTCTTATCTGATGAAAATGGCAATCAAAACCTTGCTGCACCTGTCAACGATCTTTTATCTGACAAGGATGATGACAGCCTTGTTGCACCTGGGAACCATTACTTATCCGGCCAAAGCAAGGAGGAAGAGCTTACTGTAACAACGGATGATGATCCTGTATCCGATGTATCCGATGAGCAAAGTGATCCTGTTGCCTCACCACCTGTTCAGCAATTCAAGTCCAAGCATCACAAGCAAGAGGATGATGAAGATGGTGACGACGATGACAATGACGGTGATGACGATGGTGATCAGCATGGCGATGAAGAAGATGATGATGACGATGAGGACGACGACGATGATGAAGATGAAGAAGACGAAGAGGAGGAAGACGAAGAGGAGGAAGATGAAGAGGAAGACGAAGATGAGGATGAGGATGATGATGATGACGACGACGACGACGATGATGATGATGACGATGAAGATGATGAAGATGACGAAGATGAGGAGAAGCCTAAACATACCAAGCATCATCACAAGAAGCCTGCACATAAGGAGCCTGAGCACAAGGAACCTGAGCCTAAGCCTGAGCCCAAGCCTGAACCTAAGCCTGAACCCAAGCCTGAACCGGAACCTACACATCAAGATGCACCATCACCTCCTCCACCTCAAGAAGAACCTCCTAAACAAGAAGAACCTGAACAACCTCCACAAGAAGAGCCTCAACAGGATGATACCCAAGATCAAAATGGCAGCATCTTTGATGTTCCCAACAATTGGATCTAATATGCTTCACCAGTATTAATGCAACAATAAATCTTTGGTTTCCTTTTTTGTCGAATTAAGTAATTGTATTGTGTAAAGTGAGATAGGACAGCTTGCCATTTGATTGTGTTTTGAAATTCGCCACGATAATGTGTAATGCAATTGTATAGCGACCTTCGTTGCTCGCTATGCTCGTAAGCTTTTGATTTCTCGTTGAATGGCTTGGCACCACCAATGTTGATCTTGCAATCAACTTACACGTTTAAGCAATCTCGTAGTATTCATCTTTACAAGAATCCAAACCCTTTGGCTTTATCCATATTTACAATAAGAGACTACTTCTGTAATGAGTTGCCATGAGATAGTGTTCATGGCAACGAACATACATCATCATATCATTTCTTGGGCCTCCCATCCGTTTACCGGCGGACGCTCCCATTTCAAATCCTCACAGTGAAGCAAGAGATTTTATTTGAACAGAGGTGATCAGCATGTCCAAGAGCACCTTGTGTGAAAGTTTGAGGTTCGAGAGGGGCAATCTCAATATCAAGGATTGATGTACAGTGTTCATGCATTTATACAAGAGGTGTCCGACCCATTTAATTTCCAGTTCTTTCCACTCTCGGTTTCTTCCCTCTTCCTCCCATTCTCAACTGTTGGTCCATTCAAGTATACAACTACCACCTGCGAACGATTGTCCTGCTTCAACTCATCATGTCCATCCTACAACTGTCGCGATCCGATTGTCTTTGACTGATTGGCAAGCCCATGGCCTGTGCACGGCCTTCTTGTCACCCTTCTTCAACACGCGAGTCTCTTGACACAACACACGCTCTTGCACATTTCTCTACCACAACCAATCGTAACAGCAGCTGCCATTAGTGAGGTCTTTACTCCATTGTCTCAAACAGCATTCACTCCTTGTCATTCTACTACAACACACGCTCTCTTGCACACGCCTCTGCCACAACAAACGTAGCAGCAGCAGCTATCATGAAGGTCTTTATTTCATTGTCTCGAACAGCGTTCTTTGCATGCAGCACTGCCTTGCAGTCTTTTTGGACATTAACAGCAGAGAGCCATTGTATAGAAGTCGCGTTATTTACCTACGGCAACTTGCTTTGTTACATACGGATACCAATGGATGATCCATATCAGCTACCAAGTACACCGCAACACAAGCAATTCTTCGTCTGGCTGAGCAGTGATGGAAACTGACCATAAAAGAGAGAGATCAACAGATGGATGGAGAAGGAAGCGTGCAGCGATTTCATGGCTCTTTTCAACCAACGTATTGGATTTTCAATGGCTATTAATGGAGGTATGCAATCAAGTGGAATGATGGTGAATCATGGAATGTTGCTTTGGTTACTTGACACGTCGTCGGCAGGAAGGATGGATCCTATCACGTGGATACGACTGGGGAAGATGATGGATTGGATGGAATTGACAAAAGGCTTTTATCTTTGTCGAATGGTGTCTCACAGCCATGGATGGATCATATTGGAGTATTCGATTCAATGCATGCAGCAGCTATTTTGCAATCATGGATGAAGGATGCTTCTGACGGCAGCAACCAAGAATGCAATGACACAATTATCCCTGTTGCCTCTATGTGATTCACCCGTATCCAGATTTACTTGATAGACACCCAACTACTATATACTATTCTTCAACTTTGTGATTGAATGAAATTTGGATTGAACATACTATTTGGGGTACCATGTTATCAGCTCGTATGGGCAAGATGTGGATCACTTGGTTGGTTTCTGGTTTGAAAGAGGGAATAAAAATAGAAGGTTGGAAAGCGAGGTTGGACCATTTACATCATCGTATCGCGATGCTTTTGTTCTTTTGCCACAACATTTCATGACTACACTAAAGCTTTCTAGTTCACATGCTGATAGTAAACACTAATGCTTGATTGCAAAGATAACTAATTGAGTGTGTTGATGCCCAACATTTGCTTGTTACAGGGCATGGTGATCATTGTGAGCTGAATGCATTATATCCAAGAAAGAATGAGCTGTTATACAATATGCCACAAGGACATGAACAAGCCATGCTTATCTATGGCGGCTTTTATCTAACGCTACCCCATGCATCCTTATATAAGAGCGAATCGTTCTATACGAGCTACCATAGGTGGACCTTATTATAGGAAGGCAGGGGAAGGATCAATTGTTGCAAGGGGATCTTGCACTGCAGTGATGCTCAACGTGTACACTAACTAAGCAACACACACAACGAACGCCGTATACAATGTACATGGGGATAAGATGCACAAGGGAGACTCTCCCGTAACGTAAAGAATAGAAAACGCGGACGTAAAACTGTCCTTCATTCAATACCAATAGGGTAAAAAGCGCGTTGACAATACCGTGTCCATCCGTACCCCAAGGTATGAAATCGGGATGAGAGCCTGTTGTTTATTCATCGTACTTCACTGGTTTATAAGCTGCATGCATCTCTAAGCTTACAATCGCATGACCGTGTGGGAGCACATAACCGTCTCAGCTACATCACAACACAATCATGCATTTCTCCGCCAATAGAATTGGACCCTTCGAGACTGACTCGGTTACACAAACACGTCCCTGCGCATCTATGGCTCTAGCATGAGTGAGGGCGATAGACAATGAACAAAGACCTCTTTTCATATAGCATCACGCTTACAGCATATGTAAAACATAAAGGTGCCTGTATCTCTAAACTTTACAATCAAACGTGGGGTCTTTAATAGAACAGAGTTGCTCGCCGGGGTCAAAGCGGCCTTGTGTCAAAGTATGAAGTTCATCGTGGCCATTCCCAGATTCGCCCAATGTCGCCACCAGCCAAAAATATTTTTTCGCCGTCGTCGAAAAATTTTCAAGAGGTCGATCCACTTTGGCTGGTGGCGGCATTGCGAAATCTGGGATTGGCCACGATGAACGTGAAACTTTCACACAAGGTGCTGTTGGCCAAGCCGAGCCCGTTGCTCCAATAAAAACCCCACATTTGATTGTAAAGTTTGGAGATACAGGCACCTTTATGTTTGTAAGCGTGATGCTATATGAGAAGTGGTCTTTGTTTAATGTAAAGTAGCTAGACCCTGACAGAGCAAAAGATGCAGAGGGTCGTGTTGTGTAACACAGCTACGTTTGCATGAATGAAAGGGTCAATGTATAATTACTTTATGGATCATTTAGGAACAGGCATGTGTTGCTAGCTAACGGCCACCTTTATCCAATCATCATTGTTGCGAGATCCACTGCATGGGAACGATGCCCCTGCTCTAGACATTCATTTCCATGATTAAAGTAGGTTGATCCGAGCTGATTTGACTGAGCTGCGGTCAAAGAGAGATTACATCACTCTGGACATAAAGCACGCTCGATGTAGCTCAACCGATGTAATCTTGTGTGAGCGTAACTCAACCAAATCAGCTCGGATCAACCTACTTTAATCATGGAAATGAATGTCTGGAGCAGGAGAATCGTCCACCTACAATAGAATGCACAAAAGTTAGGAATGCACAAAAGTGGCTATTAGCTGCCAATGTATGACATAAAAGTGAGGGTTGCGTACCTTTCATGCACTGTCCCTGAAGTCCTGACTTTCTAGCTGAGTTACACAAAGAGGACCCTCTGCATCTTTTGCTCTGCCAGGGTCCAGCTAATTGACAATGAACAAAGACCACTTCTCATATAGCATCACGCTTACAAACATAAAGGTGCCTGTATCTCCGAACTTTACAATGAAACGTGGGGTCTTTGATAGAACAATGTACTCGGCTTGGCCAACTGCACCTTGGGTGCAAGTTTCACGATCAAGCTTGCCAATCCCAGATTTCGCAATGTCTCTACCAGCCAAACTGGATCTGGGGGTCGACCTCTTCGACAACGACGACCAAAAAATATTTTTTGGGCTGTTTGCGACATTGAACGCGAAACTTTCACACAAGGTGCTGTTGGCCAAGCCGAGCACATTGCTCTAATAAAAACCCCACGTTTGATTGTAAAGTTTGGAGATACAGGCACCTTTATGTTTGTAAGCGTGATGCTATATGAGAAGTGGTCTTTGTTCATTGTCAATTAGCTGGACCCTGGCAGAGCAAAAGATGCAGAGGGATCTCTTTGTGTAACTCAGCTACTTTGTGTTGACGATCTTTATTGACTGCCTTTTGCTCGCAATCTGCATACAAGCCAGCGTTCATAATCAGTACAAGAAAACACAAAGACAAAAGGGGATGTAACGTGCAAAGGGAAACAAGCGTACCAAGGTAGTAGCAAAAAGCAAAGACTTCAAGGTGTGAAACCTTATAGATAGCAGCGACAGGAAACAATAAATGGATACTACATTATACAAAGATGATTGCTTAGCTACACCATCAGAGAGATAACGACAAACGACATGCGTACGTGCAAAGAGTAGATATACGATAGAAACTTGAGGCCAATCCTAGGCCAGCGACAATGATACAAAATTGGGAAAAGAGGATTCCTCTTGTTTATTGTTTGAACTGCTTTGCTATTTATATGGATTTGGGGTTGCTAGGATCACAATGTACAGGCATTAGTGCCATGCAGGCAATGTCTGCTGCTTTACCACATTTGCATGATTGGAATGGTCAATGTATGATCCTTTATGCATTATCATGTATTGCCAGCTAACAGCCACTTCCTCTCAATCCCAACTTTTGTTCATTGTGTTACAGTGGAATGATGCTCCTGCACCAGCCGAGCATTTCCATGATTCAAGTGTCTTGATCCAAGTTGATTTGACTGAGCTACGCCAAAACAGCAAACGTGAAAATAAATGAAAGACAGACCCTGCGAATGTCTCCGCCTTTCAAACTTTGGGTAGCTCCCATTCCAAATTTTCAAATGAAGCGTGATGTATTTATTATAAAAATGTTGATCAGCATGCTCGAGAGCACCCTTCTGGCCAATTTTCAAGTTGGAGGTGGGCAACTTCGGGGCGGTAGGCCGTCCGCTCTTTTGTTCCCATCATCCACCATTTGGGGCGCCCCGTATTTTAAATCTTCACAATGAAGTCTGCAAATTCAAAATGAATGAGGTTGATCAACATGTTCCAACGAACCTCCTGACAAAGTTTCAAGTCCGAAATGGGGAATCCCAAGGTAATGTATATTGTTTCGATAAATCATGAATCTGGGGCTGACCTGCATTTCCGACTTACATAGTAAACCCCACATTGTACCCTCCCATTCCAATTTTTCAAATGTACATGATGTCTTTTTTAAAACCATGTGGATCAGCATGTCCAAGAGCACCTTGTGTGAAAGTTTCATGTTCGAGAGGGGCAATCTCATAATCAAGGATTGATGTACAATGTGCATGCATTCATACAAGAGGTGTCCTACAGCTCAGCCTACTTTAATTTCCACCTCTTCCACTCCCTCTTCCTCCCATTCTCAACGGTTGGTCCATTCAAGTAACAACTACCACCATGCGAACGATTGTCCTGCTTCATTCCACCATGTCAATCCTACAACGCTCTTGATCCCATTGTCTTTGACTGAATGGCAAGTCCATGGCGTGTGCACCCCACTACAACACACTCCTTCTTGAAAGTGCATTGTCTTGCACGTTCCTCTGCCACAACCAATCGTAACAGCAGCTGCCATTAGCAAGGTCTTCACACCATTGTCTCAAACAGCGTTCACAACCTTGTCATTCGACTACAACACACGTTCTCTTGCTCACTTTTGCCACGACCAAACGTAACAACAGTCGCTTGGCAAGGTCTTCATTCCATTGTCTCGAATAGCGTTCTTTGCTTGCAGCATCCTGCCTTGGAACCTTTTTTTACGTGAATAGCAGATAGCCATTGTATAGAAGCAGCTTTATTTACGTGCAGCAACTTGCTTCAATACAGACGACTTGTTATGGATATGGATATGGATATGGATATGGATATTGCTTTGGTACATGGGATGGAAAGATATGGGTATATACAACGCGTGGAGAAAGAACCTTATTGTCATGAGGATTGTGGACTTGACGTTGATGCTATTCCTGAACAATTGGTGCATCCAATCATCCTACTTTACAAGCTATTGCATGGCAGCTCCTATCATCATCCTTTTTATGACTACCATCATGATCCAACTGCATACTTTGACATGCGTTGCATACATTCGCCATCATGCATCAAGTGCTGCCGCGCATCCATCCATTCACCTTCGCGCAATGTACACCCACCAAAGGATAGCAACTTTCCAAATTGATTTACCTTCCCCTTTGGAGCATTTCGTTGTACCTCTCAATCTATCTCTTGTAAATGATATTGGATTAAAGGATTCTTTAATTGATATTACATTACATTGGGCAGTCATTTTCAAACTTTTATAGTGTAAGGGACCTTCTTTTCTCTTGAATTGGGCTCCATCATGTGTGGGTACTTGATCCATTGCGTTATAGAAAGCTTTATGCAGGATTGTCCAATTTTAGATGCTGAGATAAAGAAAGAGAGGAAGAAGATAAAGAGTCTGATTGATTCATTGTGCCTTGAACAAAGGCTGCATTCAACAAGATAGCTCACCTCTCTTTTTCTTTGCGATTAAAACGTGGTTGTTGATAGCCGGCAAGAGTTTGGAGAACCCAACCTTGTGACACGATGCAGCTCAGCGTCGCCCAGCGCATACATCTCATTGTATGCAGCCATTGCCTTCCTTCAAGGTTATCACCATAGCAACCTACTTGCTATGTCTGAATCTGTTATCCTCCAATTCTTCCCCCCAGCATGTAGCACACGCTATCATCCATTATCATGGCGATGCCCATGTTCAATCGATTGTGGCACACAATGGTGCCTATAGCCTTGTTGGACGTCTGATGACATGATAACAATAAAACGATATCGGCACATCTCCTTGTATGCCCGAATTGTTGTTGATCCGATAACCTGGATATAGTTTGTAGCGGGCCATTTACATACTGATTCCCGCTTCATGGATCCATATGAGGAATCCAAACAAATCAACCAGCCAATTCAATGAGATCGGAAACCGCTATTCTACTACGTCCGTGGACGCGGCATTCTCACACACTACCAAGCTTACCTGACTTTGATCTCATATGCGGTCTTAAAATGATCCCACGGTAGCCACGTATGTGTACCACTTTCACACACTGGAATAATCCGGCGTGCCAATTGGAACCCTTTTTTCTGGTAGTGGGGCCAATTGGAATCCATCCATGCTTGACGTCCCTAAGTAACACATCCACGGATCATATCGCCAACCGCCGTGATCCGCCTACAAAATGGAATACAAGGATGTTTATTCAAAAGCGTTCTGATGTCACTAATGCTCTCGGTGACTCCTTATGGATATTCACTTTTCGCAATGATAGTGGATGGGATCCTTTCCGTAAACTTGAATAACGGAAGGCGTTGTCCAATCAACGTTAAGATTATCATAAACCCACGGTCCCATGATATGAAAGCCATCCCCAAATGCTAATCTCGTGAAGAGTTCGGGTACGCTTTTGAAGATAGCAAGAGCAATTGTTGGATCAATAACCATTATCATCGTTGACTTTTATAAGGGACCGTCATCAGCGTGAGCCATCAGGCACCAGCCAAACATTCCTTGTGGTGGTGTGAACACCGATCATTTTCAGCGTAATATCCGGGAAGCTATACACCAAATCGGGAAATCGCCGTTGCATCGATGTGCACAAGCACGGATGAGATTTCCTGTCACACTTTCTCATCTTTGCAAGATGCAGTAATGGCACAAAGGACCATGTGGCCAATCCCGCCCTTTCTACAAAGAAGACAACATTACCGTGTTCCTGCATAAAATGCTCCTATCATTGTCTTTTGTTATCAAAGAACAAGGAATACACCTTTAGTATCATACTCTCTTATCGTTACCAGCGTTATCTTGTGAGCACCAATAAGATGATGTCATGATAAAGGCTGCAATGTGCGTTTTGGCTGAGGCAAGATTAAGAATAATGAATAAGGTTGACCTGTTGTAACACTGTGGAGATAACAGATAAGGTCAAACGCATTAACAAAATTTATTACCTTTCCTGGCACTGCTCTTGTCCAATGCCGTGATTCTGGTTCATGCCATCTATATTCTTGAGACGATACTAAGCTACCTATTACATGATGCAAGTCATCTCAAAATTAACCAACATTGAACATGTGGCACTGAACACATACATGGATCGAGTTATGAGACGTTGACTAGAAGAAAGGGGCTACGTAGGTTATGATGGAAGACTTGTTGGCGAGAACAAAAACTAGAATTTCTGATTCGTACAAAACGAATGACCCAAAAGCGTGGTTTTTCTCATATTACACAATGTCATTGTGCGTGTGTGCATATCATTTATCTCGAAAATGACAGGCTGGGAGTTTCCCATGATGGTAAATAGTGGGGCAGGGGCTGTGGTGCACGAGAGAAAAAGTCATCCATCAAACCCATATAAATACGCGAATCTCGATACGGCACTAAAAGCACACACCCATTTCTTGTTGGATCACAACACCACAATGACTGAAACCTCCATACAAGAAAAGAAGCAAGGCGTTGAGATTGACCAGGTGTCAATGTCCAATCGCGGAGATATCAGCGTCGATTGTTCATCCATGGAACAAGGCAAAACGGTCAAAGAGCGTATCCCAGTCATATCACCAGAAGAAAAAAAACTTGTCAAAAAGATCAATATCGCGTTTGTACCGCTCGTTTGTGCCATTCTCTTTGTACAGGTATGTTTTTGTTTGGCAGTATTGATTGTAACGTACATGCGGTTAATATTACCTGGATCAGTTTGTAGATAAGACGACCCTCTCCTACGCTGCCATCTACGGCATTTACGAAGACACGGGCATCTCACAAACCCAATTCTCTTGGCTCGGATCTTTATTCTATCTTGGTTATTTGGCCGTTCAGGTACAAGGAATACATCACGTAAACAACATTACATTGTGATCTCATACATCTCTATTGCTGGTATATGTAGGTTCCCAATCAATACCTTATGCAGCGTTTACCGATATCCAAATATCTCGGATCGATTCTTGTCATCTGGGGCGTGTGCTTGTTATGTATGGCATTCACCCACAGGTTTTCCGACCTTGGTGCTTTACGCTTCTTGCTTGGTTTTTGGGAAGGCACCACGTATGCATGGTGAGTTGCTAATCTTGATATGCTTCCTCAATGGCTTATACCTTTTTCTTCTTTTGCAGCATTTTCCTTTTGATTAGTACCTTGTATCGCCGAAGAGAGCAGGTCACTTGGTTCGGTACCATGTTTATTTGCAATGCTACAAGCATTGCTCTTGGAGCCATCATCTCGTAAGTGGGTCACGAGGTTGCTTTAATGGCTCTTTTTCTCATACAGCCATGTGATAGTTATGGTATTGGATATATGGATGGCCTTGCAGGAATGAAACCTTGGAAATGGTAAGCGTGAAAATCACACCACTATCATCGCTTATACTAATCCAATCCAACTACAGGTGCATGATCATTTGGGGTGCCATCACCATCATTCTAGGTGTCACCTTCTTCCTCTTTCTTCCCGATACACCCACCTCTCGATGGTTCCGAATCAAACCAGAAGAAGAAATCATCATTGAAGAACGCAGCAAGGATAATGCCGTTGTCCGAAACAAGGCTGTCAAGATGTCGCACATCAAAGAAGCTCTCACGGAACCACGTTTCTATTGCTACTTTTTCATGTCGTTGTTGATCAACTTGCAAAACGGCGCCATCACCCTTTTCAACTCACAAATCACCGTATCCATGGGTTTTGATGTAAGACTTATGACCATGACAACGTCATCTTTTCTCTATACTAACGTTTACTCTTGCTTAATAGCGATTAACCAGCGTGCTGTTAAACATCCCTAATGGTGCCACGGTCATTATTTGTCTTGGCATATGCATGTTTTTGAGTAAGCGTCTCGACGAAGTCAATTACATTGGCACCTTGGCGGGATTAATCACCATGGTCGGTGTCATCTTGCTTGTGAGTCTCCCTCTTGGACCAGCACAGCTTATTGGATTATACCTTTGTGGTGCCACAAGTCCACCCTATGTGATGCTGCAAACAAGCATTTCGTCAAATGTGAGCGGGTATACAAAGAAGATCTTTTATACAGCAGCAAACATTGTCGGCTACAGTATTGGAAACTTTGCAGGATCGCTGATCATGGTGGAAAAGTATGCACCACGTTATGTCCCATCCATGATCGTATACGCTATCTCCGATCTCTTGGTGGCGCTATTGTTTGTGTACCTTCGCATTAGTTTTGCTCGCGAAAACAAACGACGACAAGCATTGAAAGATGAAGGCAAAATCCCTGCACCTCCTCCAAATCGTGAAGAGCTGGACTTGACCGATAAGGAAGATCTCAATTTTGTATACCGACCTTAATAGTACTATAGTACCACCACCTCCTCCTGTATTATATACGAAGTATTACCCCCAACTATTATGCAGCATTGCAAGTACATAAAAGTAACCCGCTATCAACAAACAATGGATGTGACAGGAACAACCTAAAAAACGATTGGGCACGTGAGCAGCATCAGGGGGTGGCCACTGCTGCATAATGAATGACCTGCCACCCCCCTTTTCTTTTTGCACTTTGATTGTTGTATCGATTCTTTCACTTTTCAGTATCATAGCCTCTGTATTGCATCACAACGTATACATAGTACGCATGATGCATTGCCATACAACGAATGATATCGACAATGACACCATCACCAAAAATATTTTATGCTGTGGCAAACAACAATTACAGGGCGATGACTCTCATTATCTCAAACGTACGGCTTCTTGTTGTGTTACCCAATCTACCAAGTCGAAGGAAGAAAAGAAGCTTGTCAAAAAGATCAATTGGACTTTGATGCCATTTATTTGCCTTCTCGTTGCTTTACAAGTAAGTCAGCGATCCATGCTCCTCTAAGGTACTGATTTGGGGAAATAGTTTTTTGATAAAACAATCCTTTCGTTTACTGCTGTTCTCGGGATTTATGAGGACACTGGTATCACGCATGATCAATTCGGCTGGCTGGGTGCTGTTTTTTATGGCGGCTTTCTCTTAACACAGGTAACCAACCATGATAGATAAGTGAATGTGCTCATAAGAATGATCCAGCTAACCTATCTAGCACATCCCTGTCATTTAGTTTTCCAATCAATACATGTTACAGCGACTGCCCATCTCAAAATACGTTGGCATGGTGTGCGTTGTCTGGGGCATTACTCTTGGTTGCCATGCAGTTGCCAGGAATTTTGTTCAGCTTGCAGTGCTGCGTTGTTTACTTGGATTTTGGGAAGGCGTAACGTATCCTGCAGTAAGCAAATAGGGGATTGCATGCATTCATTACCAGAACAAGTAATATACGACGTCTACAGGTATTCCTCCTAATTAGCACGCATTACAGAAGAGCAGAGCAGACCGCTTGGTTTGGTATCGTCGTCATGGTGAATGCTATGTCGAGCTTCTTTGGTAGTCTAATCATGTTTGGCATTGGTCAATTGGATGGCTGGTATGGGATGCGAGCATGGAAGTGGTATGCATAATATGACTGCTTGTATCCGAAAAGAGTAAGGCAAAGCTTAACATTATTATGTATACCCATTAGGGCTATGATTTTTTGGGGTTGCATCACAGCTGTTTTCGGGATCTTGCTCTTTTTCTTCCTCGCTGATCAACCCAAATCACGGTGGTTCAGGTTGACGTCTGAGCAAGAAAAGATTGTGGATGAAAGAGTACTCGACAACGCCGTCATTCGCAATACGAAGGTGAAAAGTGATCAAATTATCGAGGCACTTAAAGAGCCACGTCTTTATGCTTGCTTCTTTATCTCGCTGTTGCAGAATTTACAAAATGGTGCACTCCAAACATTTCAATCTCAAATCATCCACAGCATGGGATTCTCGGTAAGCAAAACAATAGGCAACATACATGATTGATCATCCAACGTTACTAATTTTGCTTGTGTTGTGGCTATTAGCGCTTGATAACGGTGATCATGAGCATTCCAATCGCTATATCAGTTGTCGTAGTCATGATCATCGTTATACTTCTTAGCCGGTGGTTGAACGATATTTGCTATGTGGCTGCTGCAAGCCATGCCTCGCTAGCACTACTCGGTATCGTGCTTTTGATGGTGCTACCCATTGGCCCGGTACAGCTATTGGGCTTGATTCTTGCTTCATTGTCTGGGACATCATTTTCGTTTAATCAAACTTTCATTTCCTCAAATGTTGCCGGCTACGCAAAGAAGATTTTCTACACGGGCATTTCCATGGTTGCCTATTGTGCAGGAAACTTCACTGGCCCATTGTTAATGCTTGGAAAAGACGCCCCAAGGTATGTTACGGCAACGATTACCTATGCAATGGCCGATGTTGCAGTGGTACTTTTATTTGTGTATCTTCGTATCACCTCGAGCCGAGAGAAAAAACGACGGCAAGATCTAAAGGACAAGGGCCTGATACCACCCCCACCCCCCAATCGAGATGAGTTGGACTTGACCGATAAGGAAGATCTCAACTTTGTATACCGACCATAATCGATTATCATGTATAGCAACATCCATAACAAAATAAGCATGCCATCATATTATTACAAATTCCCAAACACCCACTATTACAAACATGCATACATATAGCATTGACGATTAAAGCCTTTATAGTCGATAAATGAAGTTCTTATCTTCCTTGTCAGTCAAATCAAGTTCCAAATCGGTTTCTTCCCCACTCTTATTGGCGAGTCGTTGTCGATTAACACGAGCGCCCTGCACCCGTATACCAATGTAGCATAGGAATGCGATGACAAAGCCACCGAGGAATCCACCTAAATAGCTATCTTTAGCCAAGGCATTCGATGCGTGAACGTGCTACTTTGTACTCACCAATGCCTCCAAGGTAACGTGGTGCGGTGTTCTCTGCCATCATCAAAGGCCCAATAAGGTTTCCAAGGGTATCTGATATAGCTATTATTAAGACCTTGTTATCCAAAAAGACATGCCAACACTTACATGCAATCATGACGCTGCTATTGTAAAAGATCTTCTTTGTGAGCCCTTTGACATTGTTGCCGATCAGCGTTAACATCAAAGCGTAAGAGCCAGTGCCTGCCCAGCTGAGATAGTATCCCAAGAGCTTAATTTCACCATCTGGGATAGCAAGTAGGATAACCAAGCCAATAATGCCAACCGTCATCATGGCCATTGCGCTGTATATCATTTGCTTGGAGACACGAGCAAGTAAAACGGCCACAACAACACCAAGTGCAGATGCCATACCACTTGGAATTTGAAGCAAGAGCGAAGTTTGTGGCTAAACGAGGGTTTTGTGTAAGTTGTGATGGTGGTGGTGGCGTCAATAGTTTTATAACCTACATCGAAACCGAGACCAAGGACAAAGGTTGTGCTGAAAACGAGCATACCACCGTTTTGAAGATTGATACAAAAACTTCCAAGAACAATGAGCCAGTAGCGCAATTCTTTGAGAGACTCCTTGATTTGATAATATTTGATGACGCGATGTCTTACAACGGCATTGTCTTGTTTACGATCTTCAATAACTTGTTTCTCTTGTTCTGTAGGTCGAAGTAATGGATGATCAGGTCGATCGGCGAGGAAAAAGAAACAAACCAAGCCAACAAGGATTGTCAAAGAACCATAGATAAAGCTTCCCCTACAATCATGCGTCAATGACACCTCGTCTTTTTAACGACAACAACGTTGTTGTGTAACTCACCAACGCCAATTGGTAATGCCCCGTGCGTTATTCATATATGAAAATCCATAGGCTGTGGAGGCACCAAAAGCTGCACCGACACCATTGCTGAGCGTGACAAAGCCGAAAACAAGGGTTTGTTCGGATCGACGATAGAGAGTAGCTGTGATCAAATAAAGCGTTGGCATAGCAGCTGCTTCAAACAGCCCAAGCAAGAATCGGCAAGCAGCCATTTGCGAGAAGGTGTTTGCCAAGCCTGATAATAACATGACCTACACACAGTCCTTGAATGAGATTTCTTCCCTTTTCATTGTAGTAACGCATATACAACTTACAATGCCCCAAACAATAAGGAGAGCTGACATGTACTTTGCATGTGGGACATGTTGTAAGATAAATTGGTTGGGTATCTGTATGAGTGACGACAATGCATAAGCATTTTGGTGATGATCCAAGTGTTACACGAGCTTTTGACTAGCCTGAAAAACGAAAAAGCCAGCATAGAATACTGCTCCGAGGACACTAAATTCTGTACCAGTCAATCCCAAGTCCTCGTTTAACCCAAGCACGGGACCAACACTCAAGGCAGCTTTGTCGCAAAACTAAATGTGGAACATGTAAGGATAAATTTCCTATAAACTTTCACCTTACAAATACAAAGACGCACCTGTACAAAGATGATGGCCATCATGAGAGGAAGTACTGTGATATTAAGCTTTCGTAGATAGGCTAGTTCCTCTGGCGATTTTATGACCTTGCCAGGTTGCTGCTTTTCCTGGTCACCGCTACTACTGAGAGAATGTGGCTCTTGGCTTGCATCTTCGGCGTAGACTACATGCTTTTCTTCGGAGTCGTTTTTGTGTTGTGGTGTTGCCATGCCAGCTGTTGTTGTATTGTTGTTGCCACAATCGTCAAAGGGAAAAGCTGTTCAAATCTTGAGTATATTAAATCTCTTATAAAGGGATGTGTTGGACGTGAACGTATATAGGATGCTTGTTTCCTTTTCCATCTGTGAGTAAATGCATCCGGGGCTATGGGAATTCGTGGAAAAGAGAAACACGCTGATACCCAACCACAAGGATCTCACGTCGTATACTCTTGGACTTGAACGAGGGTTGCATGTTACACGTTCAGGTTCGCATAAGCGACAGTGGGAATGCTGCTTGCGTGAGATGATATAAAGCGTGTCAATCTACAATTATTATGATCAATGTGGGAAAAGTCTACATGCTACTTTTTTACTTTCTACATGCATGTGGCGCTATCTAGCTTGCTGTAATTGGTACGACTACCCCGCCATAGAATGCTCTGAAGTGACAATTCCTCCCACCACCCAAGCCATCACACAAGCGATCGACTGACACTTTTACGAGATTGATTTCAGGAATACCCACACAACACAGATTTATTGTTCTTGTACTAGTCTACATCTGGTATACTTGAAACTTGCATCACTTTAAACGCACGTCATTTGCATTTTCGTGTCACCTTTATTACATTTTTGTGGATTGGGATGTCGGCGAAACGTAATGCAAAGGGTCTATACAGTGCCAAGAAACGAGCTTGAATGTTTACCTTCAAAAGACATCATCCCAAAGCTCACGAAGCTTTCGTTCCTTGTTGAACCGGTCTTCCACAGCATCACATACAGCTATTGGATGTGGAAATTTCACGTGGATTAGCAAGTTCCCGCAATTCTCTCTTTCCCTCACCATATCCCAATTTGATTCGTTCACGTTGATCACACACACACACTCCCATCAACCTACCATCTCCATACTGCTCCCTGAGATTGACATCAGCTGGCAATTTCTCGTGTGCCTTGACTTCCTCCCTGGTCATGCACACCGTGTTGTAATAAGATAAGGGTTGACTTGCTATCCACCGAGTCAAGGCCAATCGATCATTAGGTCCAGAGATGATGCTTTTGCCGTGCCACATTTCTTCAAAGATATAACCCACATCGTGAGGATCCAAAGGACAAGTCCTAAAACAAAGGCATGTTAGCATAAAACTACATGATGTTTCATCCCCATCAATAATAACCTGCTCTTGTGTTTTTTGCTTTCGCGTGAAAGAAGATCACGATGCATACGGATATATAAACCATCTCTGAGCTTGATTGCAAGAGGATCAAAGTTGGGATAATCAGTCAACTTGAGAATGACATAGGATGCGATGGTCATGCCAAAGATGCTTGGTAAAGTGCCCAATACAGGGAGAATCCGTGATCGAAATTCAGGTAATGCTGCATAATCATCGGCCTCTTCAACACGATCCTCCTCTATAGCCATCCTCATGGTTACCTTCATTGTCGCTGATTCATTGTTCCTTGCTTACCCAAAGGCAGTAATTTGACATGGTGGGGCTTCTCGGTAGAGTACAATACAGGGACACCTTTCTCGATACCCATCTTCTTGAGCTTCCTTCGTACACTCCTTGCCAATGGATCCTCTAGATATATAAACATCAGCTATATGCATTCATCTTTTTGTTCCTTGCACTTGCCTAGTGTTTCACTGATATCAGCGACTTGTATCCGTGATGGATCGGCTTTGGCACCAGCACCCATGGAGCTTAGGAGTGTAATGTTGCGATCGTAGCAGTACTTGATCAAATCCAGTTTGGTGTCAATGTTGTCAATGGCATCCACAACGTAGTCAGGTGATCCTAATGCCAATGTCAGATGTCGTTGTCAATAGAAGCATGTGTGGAGGGAAGATCATGTAGTACCAGATAAAAGAGCATCAGCAGTCTCGGCGTTGAAAAGATCAATGCAACTCTCGACATTGACAAATGGGGCAATGCGTTTGAAATGTTTCTTGATAGCCGTTACTTTGGGTGTTCCAACATCTTCCAACACAGCCACAGCATGTCGATTCAAGCTGCTCAAGGTCACCTGATCGAAATCAATGATACGGATACGTCCCACGCCTGCACGCAATAGCATGAGTGCTGCCCATGAGCCGACACCACCAGCACCAACAATGATAACAAAAGAATTACGCAGCTTATCCATGCGTTCTTGACCGAGAAAAGCCGTTGTTTCATGAAGCTGTTCTTGTATTTGTTTCTCGGTGAGTGTCAATGTTGCTGGGATACTCGCATGGAGCGATGAACGACGACGACTGGGACCATGTAGTACTGAATGCGATTGGAGATGGCGTCGCGTGGCTTGGTATGATAGAATACCAGTTGCTGTAAGAGCCGAAGCTGCAACGGCTGTCAAGGTAAGTTTGGTCGCCTTGTCGTGCTTCTCAATGAACCGTGATAGTGAATCGCCAAGTCGATCGGTCAATGTTGACATGACGGCGGGTGGGGGGGGGGGTGAAAGAAAAGAGGTGGCCGTGGCTATGTTCGGAATCTGATAGTGATGATCCCCACCCACTCACTTGATAATAGAATTCATCCCTGGGGTATCCTTGTTGACAACATTTGTATCATGGAATCCAATCGTTTATTAGTATGATGCATATGTGTAAATAAATGTCATGTTGTTGATGGATAACTTGTCTGTGTGTGTGTGTATGCTATTCATGGACGCTACATACGTTGCTGTGGTAGCGGGGCCCAATCAGTCTTCAAAGAGTGGTCGTGGTTGAATTTGATTTCCCTCTCTCGGAACCGACAGCCCCTCTTTCTCCACGACAATGAGCTACGCCAAACGAGACGAAGACAGCGGTAAATGTCAACCCTTTTCAACGAGAGAGTGTGATTGAGAAACAACATTGTGGGATCTACTGCCATCATCAACAACGTTGCGACGAAAAAGCGAGCATGCATTGGCTTGATGGGGGCCTCGTTTTTGCTTTCTTGGGCATTGTAACGCGTTCGCTGATGAGCAAGATGAAAGGGGGTGGACCACAGGGATATACTATTCACGAGAAAAGACAAGGTCACTGACGATGTTGTCGAATATAGTGAACCGATTTGGTATACTTTATCATATCGACAAGACGGCTGTCCTGCAAGAAGCACGCGTGTTCAACGATACACCCATCAACCCAAGAAAATGCCGTGTGTTGCTCACCAAAATCATCTACTTGTTGTACTTGGGAGAACCATTCAACACCAAAGAGGCCACGGATCTCTTTTTCAACGTGATTAAACTCTTTCAATCCAAGGATGTAAGTTCAAAAGAGGCAGAAGGGAAGGTTGACAAGAGAGGGACGGATACGCTAATGTATGTATATATATATAGACCTCGCTTCGACAAATGATGTATCTCGTCATCAAAGAACTCTCGGGCGTTGCAGAGGATGTCATTATGGTCACGCAATCTCTCATCAAGGATATTCAATCCAAGCAAGAAACTATATACCGTGCAAATGCCATTCGTGCATTGTGTCTTATCACTGATGTAAGTAAAAAAAAGAGGGAACAAAGTGAATGGAGATGATGTTGATAAATGTGATTTTTATTTGTAGCCATCCATGATTCAAGGCATTGAACGTATTCTCAAGGCATCTATTGTTGACAAGAATCCATCCGTGTCATCCGCTGCACTTGTATCCTCCTATCACCTTTTCAATGTGGCCAAGGATATTGTACGTCGTTGGTCAAATGAGGTGCAAGAGGCTGCCAATCCAAAGTCGTCCGGTTCTGGATTTTCCTCAGCTGCCAGCTACATGTCCAGCTTTGGTGGTAACGCTGCCAGTCAATCACAAGTGGTCATTTCCACCAGCAACTGTACACAATATCATGCCTTGGGTCTCTTGTATTTGATTCGTGAACGCGATCGTATGGCGGTGGCCAAGCTTGTTCAAACATTTGCAGGCTCACGTGGTGGAGGAATGTTTGGTGGTGGTGGCGGTGGAAGCCCTCTCAAGAACCCAGCTGCTGTATGTCTCTTGATTCGTTATGCATGCAAAGTGATGGAAGATGATCCAAGGCAAGTAGTAACCAAGATACAATAACGTACATCTCTAACTCGCTTATAGTGCCACACAACGTATCTATGAATTGTTGGAAGGATTCTTGCGACATAAGAGTGATATGGTCAACCTCGAAGCTGCACGTGCTATTTGCGCCATGCCTGATGCATCTTCCAAGGAACTTTATCCTGCCATTTCAGGTATAAACGAGGGTCACCGTAGCATGATGATGATGATATCTAAATGATTTATGATGTAGTTCTTCAACTCTTCCTTTCATCACCCAAGCCAACTTTGCGATTTGCAGCCATTCGCATCTTGAGCAACCTTGCCATGACCAAACCAGCTGCTGTCTCACCATGCAATCTCGATATGGAAAATCTTATCACCGATCAGAACCGCAGCATTGCCACATTTGCCATTACGACTCTCCTCAAGACCGGCAACGAAGCCTCTGTGGATCGCTTGATGAAGCAAATCAGTGGATTTATGAGTGAGATCTCGGATGAATTCAAGGTCATTGTTGTCGATGCTATCCGCTCCTTGTGCCTCAAGTTCCCTACCAAGCAAGCTGTCATGTTGACTTTCCTCAGCAGTGTTTTGCGTGATGAAGGTGGTTACGACTTTAAAAAGACTGTGGTCGAAGCTATCTTTGATATGGTCAAATACATCTCTGATAGCAAGGATGCAGGTAAGATCATGGCATTTGGGAAAAGGGGTGGAATGGAACGGAGTATCTCATATGCTCTTTTTTTATAGCTCTCTCGCATCTCTGTGAGTTTATCGAAGATTGTGAATTTACCAAGCTTTCCGTACGCGTTTTGCATGTGCTCGGTGTTGAAGGTCCCAAGACGGCTACGCCTACAAAGTACATTCGTTACATTTACAACCGAGTCATTTTGGAAAACTCCATTGTTCGTGCCGCTGCTGTCAACGCTCTTAGCAAATTTGGTACCAATGTGGACGACGAGTCTGTCAAGCAAAGCATCCGTGTTCTTTTGACTAGGTAAGTTTACAAAGTGAGGCAATAGTAGTAGGTGATATTGATCCCTTTCATTGAATGTATAGATGCTTGGATGATACCGATGATGAAGTGCGTGACCGTGCTGCTATGGCACTTGCTCTTTTAGAAAATGCGGGATTGGCCAAGGAGTATCTCAAGGATGGTAATGGGAGACATCTATAAGATGATACATGCAGATCTCGGGATTAATTCCTTGCTCATGCTTTATTTTTCATTAGACGCCACATTTGCCCTCCCAACCTTGGAACGTCAGCTTGCTGAATATGTGAACAACCCATTGAACAACGATCAGCCTTTCGATTTGACATCCGTGCCAGTTATTAGTAAAGCCCAAGAGGAAGAAGAGCAGCGCCGTAAGTAGCAGTCTATTTTTAAGGATGAAAACGAGCTAACGCGGGATGTGCACATGTTTAGGTATCCGTACACAAGATGCTTCTCCTATTCCCATGGTTAAGACGCCATCCACAAACATGCCTGGTACTCCCGGTACCCCTACAATCCCTGCTGCAGCTGCAGCTGCTGCTTCTCCTGTATCGGCTCTCGATCAGCAAGCTGTTTATGCAGAACAACTCGCAGCCATTTCCGAATTTGCTTCGTTCGGTACTCTCTTCAAGAGCTCTACTAAGCCTGTCGAATTGACCGAGAGCGAGACTGAATACGTGGTTCATTGCGTCAAACACACCTTTGCCAAACACCTCGTGTTCCAATTCAATTGCACCAACACGCTCAACGATCAACTATTGGAAAATGTGTACATGATTATGCAACCTGATATGGATGATTGTGGATTGATCAAGGTGGCTGATCTTCCTGCTGAAAAGCTTGAATACAACATTCCCGGCACGATCTATGTTGCATTTGAACGTGAAGATGAGGGAGACTTCCCAGCAGGTAAAAAGAAAAGAGTGAATCCCATCCATTGTATTGGTATGGTATACTTATAGATGATTGTTTTATAGTTAACTTTACAAACACATTGAAGTTCGAGGTCAAGGATTGCGACCCTACCACCGGTGAAGCTGATCCTGAAGGATACGACGATGAATATCAGGTCGAGGATGTTGAAGTTATGACGAGCGATTATATTCGACCTACCTACATTTCCAATTTTACCGAGGAATGGGAACCACTGGCTGAAAGCGAGGCATTAGACACATTTGCATTGGACAAAGACCGAGCACCAAGCCTAAAGGGTAAGTCAAAGATGGATGATGTGTGTATGTATGCCATTAGATTAAATGTATCTTTTTTTTCTCTTTGCATAGTTGCTTGTGCATCCATCATTGATTTGCTCGGTATGCAAGCACTTGAAGATAGTGCATTGCCCAAGAGTGCCAGTGTCCATACTCTATTGCTTTCTGGTACGTTCTTAGGTGGTATCAAGGTGCTTGCACGATGCAGAATGACATTTAGCAATGCGACTGGTGTTGCCTTTGAGCTGGCTGTGCGAAGTCAAGATCCCAATGTGGCGCAGATTGTGCTTTCTGCTATTGCTTAGAATGCTGCTCTTTTGTATTGATACACACATTTTTTCCCACATCGATTAAAAAACACAACCACTCTCCCAACACAACACACATATTCATTGTCTTCCTCTCCCCCTCTTTTCCTCTTTTTCTCTCACACTCACACTTTTTTTCTTTCTCTCACTTTATAATATCACATCTATAAAGCAAATCACAACAACAGATATACATACATATGGTTTATGGAAATGTTGGGGATCACGACGACGACGACGACGCAATTCATCCCTTTGTTCCCCCTTCCTCTTCGCCCAACCCTGCACCCCACATAGAACCAAACCCCCTAGATTATGGTTGAGGCGCGTTTCTTTGCTCACACTCACTCACTCATCAGTTGTTTGCACATGTCAATAATGCATACGTACATACGGTCTTTTTTTTTCTTTTTCCTTGAAAAGTGATAACTCCGTGAGCGTGGTGATTCTGGAACCAACATAACTAGAGTCCATTATGTATATCGGCATCACCCCTTTTTACACAACTTGGAATTGTATATATAAACACACAGCACATTGCATTCAAACTTTTCCTTGTCTTTTTTTTTGTTTCATACTTTCTCTCTTTGTTCTTATCATCATCATGCTGCTGGCCAGTCCTTCTACTTTTGCCACTGAAATCTATCCTCATACATCACCATTGTTCTCTGATCAATCTTCATGGGATTCCAACAACAATGATACACTAGCATGTCTGCTACTTTCATCCAACGATCAAGATGATTTATTGAGAGTTATCCGTGCCATGCCCATGGTACACCAACACCATTCTTCTTCTTTTGAACGGCAAGCCAAATCTCAAGATGCTTCCATACATGCCTTAACACGGCCACCCCATATGCTTAGACGATCCTCGTCATCTTCCATCACTTTGATGTCCACTATCCAAGAAGAGGAAGAATAAAACAAATGCAAACAAATATGTATGTATAGGCGTGCAGTGGAATGTATTTAGGGAGAGAGTATATGTGTGTGTGAATTACTACACTTTGCCAGTGATAAAAGGGTGAGCAAGGGCTTCTTTGGGTGTCATGCGGCGTTCAGGGCTTAAGGTCAAGCACTTGTCTAAAAAGTCAATGAATGCTAATAACAAGCGTCCTTCATCTTCGGTAACACCACCGGAAGAAGCAGCCATGATCCGATTCTTGATGTCGCGTACTGGTTTCACAATGGTCATCTTTTTGATAAATTCCTAAAGATGCGTGTGAGTGTGTGTAAAGCACATCGTGTGGCGAAAAGCTTGCATACCTTGTTTGATAACCGGTCGATTTCCACCGAAATGAAACTGTTGTCTTCATCAAAATGTTGTTGTGAAAATTGACCTTTGCGGATCATACGATTTGGAAACTTGCCCATCACTTCCATGATATGCTTGAGCATTTGATTGTTGCTTCTTCCAGGGAACAGGATCTTGCCAGTAAATAGCTCGTAGAGTGTACATGCTGCGGACCAAACATCAATTGCATAATCATACGGCAATCCCATGACTTTTTGCATAACAATGAAAAAAATGGAGTTAGTTACCTTGTGCTACCCACAATCCCACTCTCTCTCCCTTAAAGACTTACTGATCTCAGGGGCTCGATAGAAACGTGACACGAGGTAAGGAGTGATCTCATTGTCGCTCGCATCAGAAGCTGATCCTAGATCACACAATTTGAGAATGTTCTTGGATTCAGAAACGAGTACATTGTCAGGCTTGATATCCGCATGTAAAATATTGCATCGTTTCAAAAGAGATAAGCTCAAGAACAATTGTTGTGCGTATACCCTAACCGCTTTGATGCTGAGACCCACATCTTTGCCATACTTTTTCAACACGTCCCGTAGGTTCATGCTAAAAGAAAAAGAAAAGTCATAAGCACGTCGCACATTCACACAACTCCATCACACTTACCTTAAACTCTCAAAGACGAGACAAAGGTGATTGCGATACTCAAAGTGTCGTAAAAGACGAATGCAATGCTTTTTGTTGTCAGGATCCGCTTCCATCAACTTTTTCAAAAAGCCAAGTTCCTTCATACCAGCTTTGTACCTATAGGAAAAATGGATTAAACACTGATCTTGACCATGAATGATGCCTGCTTACATTGTCTCATTGTTACGGATGATCTTGATGGCCACTTCCTCATTCGTTTGCATATCTCTAGCTTTCACGACAGCACTGAACACGCCCCGACCCAAATTTGCCAATGTCTGATACCGATTATCCAATTGCTCGCCAATACGCACATCTATGAAAAAGAAAAAGAAAAAAAGAGGTTAACAACGAATCAAGGGAGCATCTTCTCTTCAAATCACTACTACTTACTGTAATATCCTTCCGAATCATCCCAATTATCCAAGAGACTAGGGTTGTGGTTCATGGATGGAATAGCGGTGTTGACAACCAAGGCATTCTCAGCAATCTCAGCCTGTGCAAAGATATCAAGATCCTCTGCAAACATGTCGATCTCCTTTGGCTTTTGGGGTTGTTGCTGTTGCTCTTCCTGAGGAGGCACTTGTTCAAGCTTTTCCTTGTAATCGGTGGCTGCCATGTCGTTTTGGCTTGTCACACCATCAGTAACAGACTCTTGGTGATCCTTTTTCTTGAGAAGATCAGTGTCCTGTCGATGCGACCGTAAGCGATCATCGTCTGCAATGCGATCTTGTGATGGATCATAGTCTGCTGCAGACACAGCATTGGGTGAGTCACTGCTTTGTGCATTGTTCCCATCTCCTTTTCCAATATCCAGGTTCATCATTGACCCATCATCTTTCTTCTTTTCGCCAGCAGCTTCGGCAGCCAATCCTACCGTTATTTGATCATTCTTTCCTGTTGTTCCAGCAGCTGTGTCAACTATATACATAAAAGAAATGAATATAAACGACATTTTCTCATCCATACATGGATACCACAACATACCATTGGTGGTTGTATCAGGCTTCTTGGCAGTATTTGCCTTGTGTTTCTCGAGAATCATTTGTCGTCTCCTACGTCGCTCTTCGATAAGGCGTTGTTCTTCCAATTCCTTTTCATGCTCATCCTTGATTTCAAACTCGACATCTTCTTCCATCTCAGGTTGTTCCTCTTTCTTAGCCGCTGTTGTTGTTGATGTTGATGTTGTTGATGGGTATGCTGCGGTCTCTTGAGGCTTCTCTTGCCTAATCAAATACTTCGTTAGTCAACTTGACCATCACCATAAGCATAAATCAAATAAATACCTTGGCTCTGGTACTTCCATGCGTGCCATCTTGGAAGGTGGTCTATCCACACTATGCTCGCGATCATTGTAATCGGGTCGCTGTCGACGTCGAGATGAGCTACGTCGTCGAGAAGTCGAACGATAATCATAATCCCTTCTTGAAGAATGATAATCATCACGATGGCGAGAGCGTCTATCGCGTGAAGAAGAGGAGTGTCGATGATAAGGAGAACCATCGCGATAGCTTTGACGAGAACTTTCATAAGGCGACATGCTTCGTCTTTGAGATCTTGATCGAGAACGTTCAGGTGATCGTCGATGATGACGATGATGGTGGTGGTGGTGGTATCTAGAACGATCTTCTCGACTAGGTGATCGGGCATCGTATCTGCTTCTGCTGGTGCTGCGTTTTGCTGCAAGGCGTTCGTATTCCTCAAATGGATCATCATCTCCTCGCCTTTTTGCTGCTCTTGGCGGCGATGGTGGAGTTCTGCTACGCTTACGGGATACAGGGGATCGACTCGTATCCTTGTCCCCATCTTGAAAGAATAGTTAAAAAGAAAATCGTCTCCATGGAAATCAAAAGAAAGAAAATGAAAACCTACCTGTTGCTGATTTTGAGCCATTATCAGTGGCATGCTTGCCGTTCAAAGAGCCGGATGTAGCAACTTGCATAGGCGATTGCACTTGCTTGACAGGCATAACAGGCTCGTCGTTGATCTCGCCTTCTTCCACATCAGAAGTATGGTTACTATGATCGAGAGACATTCGTAAAGACAATTGGTGAGAACGCTTTTTGATGAGCGAGATGTTGTATCTGAAGGTACGGTGTAAGAGGTATTGTCTTTCAGAGGTGTAATCTGTATCGTAATGGGATCGATGCAATATGTCTTGACGACGACGACGACGACAAAATAGAGAGAGAGAGAAAGAATAACGCAGCACCGTATCATCCCTGCCAAGCGGGGATCTATAATGACCGTTGTCATCCAGCAGCAGCACTCTGCCAAATTCACTTGAATTGCCGATGTTAGGCATTCCCCCATACCAACTTACAACATGGCATACAATATAGGTGTTCATGCGAATCATATATCCAAATCCCTCTAATTCACCCTTTCAGATCATAGCAATGCACCATCCACTCTCACAAAGTTATAACCTTTAGGTACAGGGGCATACATAGCATCTCTTATCCTGATCATCATCCACATCAACCCATCCACTCTCTCATACCATCATTTCATAAAGCAGAACAAAATGTATTATTCACATTGCGATTGGGAATTTTATCTTTGAAACATGAATACACAACAATAAAGATCTTCACTTTAGCGTCTTCTTCTCTTGCGACGTGAGGTGCTATCATCGCTGCTGTAGCTACTTGCGGAATCGCTCTCCGAATCACTAATGCTGCGACCACGTCTTCTTCCTCTTCGATCATAACTTGGGCTTCTTCTTCTGCTACTACGGCGTCTTGGACTGTATGAACGGCGGCGACGACTACGGCTGCGGCTACGACTGGAAACACTATCACTTTCCGATCCACTGCTGCTGCTGCCGCTACCACTGCTGCTACTACCGGTGCTGCTATCGGATTCGCTACCACTATCGCTATCACTGCTGCTGCCACTGCTGCTGCTATCACTGCTACTATCCGATTCACTTGATGATCCACGACTCTTACGCATGATTTGTTGAGGTGCAGTTCGAAGCCATTCACGTAAATCTTCTGTCAAAGCACCAAGACCGATACTTGTCCAATAGTTGATGGCAAAACGGGTGTTTTTGGGATTGTCTTTGGGAAACATGCCTTGATAATATTCGAGCATATAAGGATCCTCCATACGTTCCTTTAGCTTTTTCAATCCAAGGAATTCGCTGATTTCTTGAAAGAGAATCTTGATGAAAATACGTGATGCAGAGGTTGTCTCGTCTTCTGTAAGTCGAATCACTGAAAAACAAGTCCATGCCAACGAGTCTGTGTAGAATAAATGTCCAAATAACTTGGCAATGTTGCGAAGTCGATTTGTCTCATAACGATGGATCGTCTCGTATACTTCATTGAAAGCGACAGTAAAGTTTTCACCCCATATCCTGTTGATCTTGCAGAATCGCTCAGCCATCAAACCATAAAACTTGAGAAAAGTGCGTTCTTGAGAGCAACATTCGATGATCATGTTACAGAGCTCAATCTAATCAAAGAAATTGGTTGATTAGTATATGAAAAGTCCAATTGCTTCTATATATAGAGCCTACCTCTTGTCCTTCGGGGATATCAAGTTTCATGAGCTTGTGACAACATTCTTCAAAGTCAAGACTGGACATCACCGTCAAGTAGATCTTGCGACGTAATTCAATCGTATCCGCATTGGTCTTGTCTTGAATCTCCATCTTTTGCTCCTCTTCATCCTCCTCGCTCTCATCGTCGCTTTCAGAACCGCTCTCATCTGTGCCTGATTCATCTTCGGATCCTTCACCCAAGATCTCTGCCTTAAGTTCAGCGTATCGTTTCTCGTTCTCCTCATAATCGGGGTCGTATTTGAAAATATTGAGCCGTTCCTCGACATCCAAATCCTCGTCGTCAAGGCCAACGTAATGTGTGATTTGATCATCTTCCTCGACAAGATCAAGATCTTGAACAACAGGCTGATTATCCTTAAACTTGTCTTTGCGTACTTGGAAAAGGACTTCGATCATGTACTGTGTGCGCTTATCGATCTTTCCTTCGTGTAGAATGGTGCGGAAACTCTCAAAGATGGCGTTGTTGGGCTTTGGAGAAACGTTGGCCAAGTGAGCACCCACTTCACGCATGAAGCCGACAGCAATTTCCACTGAATCATCTGTAGGTTGTTGTAACAATAAAGCCAAGATTTGCAATGGTAGAATCTCGTGGACAACCAATTGATTGGCAAGATGGGCAATAAAGGTACACACAGAGAGGCAAACGGTCTAACATCCTTCCTTTAGTCATCTATGTACGTATATGCAATCCCAAATCCAAAAAGCTTACCTTATCATTACGTCGATAAGCACGTCTGAATTGAGTGACAAGGCGAGCTAATAGCAACGCGCCCACATCTGGTATCTTGGTATTCACAACCGCAGCGACAGCAGCGTAGACGGGTGTAAAACGCAAACTGGCACTTTGTGCTCGCATCAGACTACGACAAAACAAGCCTCGTCCTCGCACCAAATTCTCGCCAAACAACTCGGGGACAATCATCTTGATATTAGAAGTGTTGATCTTGTTGATCAAGCCGTTGATGGACTTTTTCAAAGCTTCCCAGGTGATGCGTTGATATGCCTCGCCGGATTTGTCGGTAATCTGTTGCTGCATTTGTCGCAAGCGATGAGGTGGAATGTAGGCACCGCCTGCCCGTGTCAATGCGGCTGCACCCACAGCTCCTCGAGTATCGACAACCACTTGATTGCTGGCCATTCGTGGAAACGCACGTAAAGAAAGTGATAGGAAAGGCAAGAGAATCAGCTAGTCGGAGGTTGACTTTTGAAGGTCTTACCAATTGGGCCCGTCGTGACTCTTAATGCGTGGTAGATTAAGCTCCCTCCTCGTCCTCCTCATCCTCTTTTGTCATTTTTACACACACACACACCTCTTCTTCACACAACGCGCCTATGGAATCACAAAGCTACTCTCAAAGGGACTCAAGCAGGATACCTATCGACTCATCAGACACTCAATCGCAAGGCGATGCAAAGGTACATTGGGACATTGCAGTACCTGAACGAGTGGACTCACGATAAAAGGATATAGTCACTTCTATCACAAAAGACAGGATTGAGTCAAGGACGTGCCTCTTCTACCAATGATCCACTCTCACCTGCCAAAGTAATGCGTCAACTGGGAGCATGTATGTGTCGTTTTCATGCAACAGATCAACCAAGTTATGATCCTAACGACGACATTTTTGTAGTCGAGATGGATACAGCATCACAAGCATCATCCATTGTACAATCACAATCTCAAAAACGCTTTTCACGTATTGGTTCACGATATCAAGAAGACTTTTTGACCCGTCGATCAAAGATGGATCCAAGTGCGAGGCTTGAAGAGTTTCGACAACGATACCAATTCTCTCGACCGATGGCAAATCGTGCGCCCATAACTACAACAACGACAACGACAACGACGAATCCTCCTCCTGATTTCTCATTTCGTCATCGACGCGACTGGAGACATAATGACTTGGAGGATTTTGATGACCTCTTGACGATCAAATCATACAGCACCGATACCAACTTTAGTGCATTCAACAGAGTCACTCAAAGCAGTCTACAACCCCAACCATCACAGCAACCACAGCAGCAGAAGCAACAACAACGACAACGACAACAGCCACCAGCTATTCGTGCTGACGATGATGAAGATGAAGATATGGATGACTTTGAGTACAGAGCTCCAGCACCTCTAGGAAGCGGTTTTAGTGTGCTTGATGACGACGAAGATGATGATAATGGACCACCACACTCATGGTATCCTCCCGCTACAGCGTTATACCAACAATCCTCCCTCAAACGACGACGATTATCCCATTCAAACGCTGAAGCCGACATTGTTGATGATATTGGAATCCAAAAGAATGATACAATGATACCACCACCCGATGTAACACAGCAAGAAAGACACCATTTGAGTCAACAATCAAAGGAGGAATTGCAACATGAAAGAATACCAACACAAAGAACACGTTTCATTACAAGCCAAAGATCACAAACGCATGATGCTGAGATACCCAATCCACGAGAACAACAGCCAGCGGATCCATCGAATGACTTGGTCGAGAATTGGTTACAAAGCACCGATATCGTTGAAAAGGACAAAGCCATCACTTCATCTTTACAGGAGCAACAACAGCAATCAACACAACAAAAGATCATCAACGACAAAGACAAAGTTAGCATTTCACAACAATCATCACAACCACGAGATATCAAGGGGAAGGGCAAAGCTGATATTTCACAGCAATCATCACAACCATTAGATATCAAGGGGAAGGACAAAGCTGATATTTCACACCAACAACAATCAACACAACCACCAGCATCCTCACAACGAGAAAAGGAACCCACACCTATCCCTAATATGGATTTCGAGATTGACTTTGATGATATGGACTTTGGCGGTGATGATTATCAACAACCACCATCACCCTCGCCACAACCACAACTACAACCACCACAACCCTCAAGTGATGTTGATCATGGAGAACATGTTGCTTCAAGTAGCCGAGATAATGTACTCAGTGAAGATAATGCAAGCATACCAGAACAAAGGCGCCTGTAAGTACAATCAAATGTGACAGAAAGGATGGATCAATGGCTCACTGTATTGGATAAAGGGATCCTAAAGCGTTGATACAAGTACATTCAGAAGGACGTTTTGGCAATCAAATATTAGCTGCGGCGGATGAAGCGATGCCTGGGTAAGCGCGTCTTTGTGGATGCATAGCAAATGATCCTAAACTTGTTTCCATAGAGAGCCAACCGGTCTACGTAGGCTTACACAGTTACGGCAGCTTGGCAAAATCATGTTTAGAAAGGCGGCTATTCGTATGAGCAAAGAAACGGAAGAGCGGTTGGGTGTCATGTAAGTTAACCATCACTTCGTCTACAGCGTCCCTCCCTCATTAAACAAGATGTGCATAGATCCGATGCATTTTACAAGCAAGCTACCGATGACTTGGCCACGTATGCCAAACATGCTAAAAGAAACACGATCAAAAAGGAGGACGCGATCATGTTGCTTCGTCGGTAAGTGAATGTGTGTGTGAATCAATCATGCAGGAACACGTTGACGAACCCAAGCGGATCATAGGCAAGAGCGGTTAACGGATGACACCCCAATTGAGGAATTGGCACACAAGTACCTTCCTAGAGAATTGTGGGACGAGTTTTGTGTGTCTGCACTTGCATACAACGAGCTTTATCCAAAGGAAAAGAGGCATCTTTAGAAGACATGTACATATCGTTTTGCATATATTAGAGTGTAAGAGCTTCTTTTTAAAAACAGCAATTATACATATAAAGGGCGGCGCAATAGACGCTCAAGTACAAAGTCATATATATAAATAGCATAGAGTGATGCATCATTCATTCTACCAATGCATTCTGTGGAAAGTTCTATAAAAAGCTTGACGGATGGAGCTAGTAGCATGTTTCCGGGGTTTGTTACTTGGCGTGACAATACGTCGAAAGGAGGATCGCATCTTGGTAGTTTGCTTGTACCAAGCATCATCATCTTCATGCTGCTGCTGATTCTCTTCACCGAGAAAGAATTCCATGGTAAGGTAGGATTCGTTCCACCACTTGTGTTCGTCATGATGATTCGATTCGTATTTTAACGTTGGGTGGATAGTACTAGAAGTCACCGGATAGTAGGAGGACATAGGTCACTATGTATGTAAAGGTTGAGGAAAAGAGGAGAGCAATGAAAAGAAAAAGAAATGAGGATGAAGGGAACGTAAATAAAGGGTTGTTCATCATCCAAGTTGGATGCATGTCAACAACGACACATCAATGTATAATGTTTCCCGGGCTTGGCACACACACACACACACACACACCAAAAGACCATGAGATGATTCTTGCATGCATTGCGAACCTTTTTGCGGCTGTTCCCCAAAAAGATACATGCACGCACGTTATACAGCATCAGCAGCAGCACAATGAATATTCCTGATCCATCAGCACTTTCATCACCCCCCGCCCCTTAGCAACGCACGACATCACCTGAGACCTACATGTTGTCTCCACTTCTTTGTCAAGAGCTCATATCAAGGGATACGTAAGGGATGGTGCACTCCTTTCATCTATTCCTGCTGCTGCTGCTGCTGCCGGTACACTTGTATCTCACATTTAATCTAGACCCATCTTTATATTGTTTCAGGTCCAATTTTTCTTGATTCTTTATTCTTACATGGGCTCTTTGTTTGAACAGTAAGGAGGGGTGGTAGTGGAGGAGGCAAATTAATGTACACGTTAAAAAGGTATATTATGGGTTGTTGTTGTCGGAGGAAATGTTGCAATAATAGAGTAGTATCATCGACGCACCAATGCTTCGTGTGCTTCAGCAAGTTGTGTCTCCAGCTCATGTACGCGTTTCTCATACTTGTCTTGTTTTCGTTTGGCCGCGTCACGTTCACTCTCCAATACTGCAAGCTTGAGCTGCAGTTGTTCATTCAATGTTTGTAACTCTTTTACTCGTCGTTCTAATCCTTCCATCTTTTGTACTTTACGTAACCGTGACCGACGTGCTGCATCCGTGTTACGTTGTCGTTTAAGAGCGATCTCATCTTTAGAATCAAGGCTGCTGGTGGATGATGAAGATCGTTTGTTACGCATACAAGAGGTGGTTGTTTTGGTATTGTCGGTGATTGAGGATGAGGTAGTAGTAGTAGCTGCAGAAAGAGCTTGCATAGATGATGGTTGTTGGAGTGCTGTCAATGTAGCAAATGCTTTGAATATAGCTGTGAGTGGCATAGGCACATTGTTGTTATTTGATGTTGAATGATGGATCTCCTCGGGTTCGGCCTTTACAACGATGTTGCTGCTGTCACTTTTTGACGTGTCTTGTTCTGATGGCTGTAAAAGACCTGATGCTACGAGTTCGGTTTCGAGCCATTCATCCAACTTGTTTGGATCAAGACGTGTATTCTTTTGAGATCTTGTTTCTTTTTTGATTGATGGTGCAGCCATGATGCTATGTATGTATGTGAATAATAGTGAAGAAAGGAACGAAAAAGAGAAGAAAAGAAAATGACGAAACACTTTAGGTTACTCAGATATGGTGATAACGGGAAGTTGATAAGGCACATGGATAATCTCCGCATCAATCTCTCTTTTATGTATGTACATGGGGTCTAATTGTTCCCTACTGGTAACCATTCTACGTATGCTGTGAGGATATTATACAATCGTTCAATCACTCTAGCTCGACTATTATCAGCAAGTAACTCCTTTGGTGGTCGATCAGCAAGGTAATTGTTGTCTGTAATCAAGAGGTCTGTCGAGAGTCCAATGTTGCACCCGAGTCCATCATCCCAAAATTGCCTTTTTTGTTTGGTCAAATAGTTGGATGTTTCCACCAGCAGTGAAAGTACTTTGCATAGACCATCGTGCCTAAAGAATATCCCGATCATGTTGATAAAAGGATCTCTCTCTCTCATATCACAATACACTTACTGCACATCCTGACAATCATTTCCATCGGGTATAGAGGATACAAGTCGTAAAAGATCCATCGTCACAATGAGACAGGGTGGTTGGTTGTCATGCTCACGTTGTATCCAGGATAATAAATCTGATCCGCCGCCACTACCGTTGCCAGACAAATGTAACGCACAGAGCACAGCCTTCAATTGTGGAGTATTCTCAACGGTGCTTGATCCATCATCGCCCATCATAAATCAGCAACAACAACAAACAAACGCTGGTGGAAGTAAAGAAGAAGAAGAAGAAGAATAGCTCACCAAATGCGAATACCTTCCAACCACCTCCTATCTTCCCAACGCGATCCATCAGCCTTCATATCTTGACTCATAGCTTGCAATGCTTGCTCCAATGCTGCTTTGTTCTTGGTGAAAATCAGTGCCCATGGTCGCAATGGGAACGTTGCTTCAGGACCCAATAGCTCTTCCACTGCTTGGTTGCATTGTAGTCGTTTTTGTTGTAGCTGCAATATACAGAATTCCAAAATGGTTCTTTGAACATTGGTGTGAGTGTGTGTGAGTGTGTCAATGTCAAGATCGGGAAAGAACGGGGGGACACATACTTTGCATTCTGCGTGTCATTGCTTCCCAGGCGTAAAAAGTAGCGGGCTTGCATATGATGAAAGATAAAGAATAGTAGCACAGAGTGTTATCTCCTCAAGAGCACCTCCTTTTCCGGGCAAAATAGGCGAGAGCGCGTGATTTTCCGTCGTCATACGTTTGCCACAAGTAGACAATGCATGACGATGTTCTTGGTATATGCATTTATTGTGACACACAGGTGCCCTTACTCGGGAGTATATGGGTGTGCATGTTGTAGGTGAATAGTGGTGGTAGTGTGACATGGGGTGGTGGTGATGATGATGATGATGGATGGTAGATTATATGCAGAAAACGATTATACTGATCGCACTTGATCATCGTATTCTCCGGAGAAAAGCATGATTGGTCCGAATAGGATTGTATACACACTTTGCTCATTGCCCCGTTCCTCGGAAGAGTCTTACCAGGTGAGACAAGACTCACTAGTATTTAGAGGGAGAGCGAGCGAGCTGCTGATAAGATAACAAATTCCTATCCCGGTGACACACTTGGCATTATCCCCCACATCACCCCGAGCATATGATTTTTAGACCCTTGGTATAATGTCATTGCCCATCGTCGGGAGATCTTGATGATGATGATGTTGATGATGATGAACCAAGATGAAAGATAAAGATAACAAAGTTTTTTATCGCCTTATCTTGCATCTGCAAGCCAATACCATACCACCACCCCCCTCTTTTATCGCATTGCTCCAATGGATGGATGAGCCAATAACGCTATAGTATCAATACCTTATCAGCAAGTGCGTTACTTTTACCCAAAGGGTAATGATCAAAAAAAGCAGGGAGCCTTAACGGGTGAGTCCGGCGGGATACGCTGATCACTAAAAGGGATGTGATCGATAGGCTGAGATACTTACCATTATCAATGGTGTGGATGGCAGCTTCTCCAAACAAATATAAATCCCTTATCTCCTTCAAGCCTTTCTTTTTTTCTTTCATATCACACATACCTCTTTTTCCATATCACACATACACACATAGCATCATGTCCGTGACTTCTAATGCCAAACTTCTTGACAAGTACATGTCTTTGGATCAGCGTAATGCTGTCCAAGTCGAGTATGTGTGGATTGATGGCTTCAACAACTTGAGATGCAAGACCAAGACCGTCTACAAGGTGCCTCAATCAGCCGCTGATTTATCGGAATGGAATTATGATGGCTCTTCCACTGGTCAAGCTGAAGGACATGATTCGGATGTGTTGATCCAACCTGTTGCTCTCTTTGCTGATCCTTTCCGTGGCGGCAACAACAAGATTGTTCTTTGTGAAACTTTCAATCCTGGTATGTATTCATGATAACAATGCCATGAACCCCTTCATTAACTCATTCACTCTTTATTTCAGATGGCACTCCTCACAAGACCAACTATCGCAATGCTTGCAAAAAGATCATGGATGCTCATGCTGATGCCCATCCTTGGTTCGGCCTTGAACAAGAATACATGTTCTTTGACCCTGAAACCGAGAAGCCTTATGGCTGGCCTAAGCATGGTTACCCTGAACCACAGGTAAGGCAATAGCAACAAGGGTATCTTATGGAATGGATGATTGACTTTTGTTATAGGGTAAATACTATTGCGGTGTTGGTGCTGGCAAGATCTTTGGCCGTGATATTGTTGAAGCTCATTACCGTGCATGCTTGTATGCTGGTATCAAGATCTCTGGTGTCAATGCTGAAGTTGCACCTGGTCAATTTGAGTTCCAAGTGGGTCCTTGTGAAGGCATTGAAGGTGGTGATCATTTGTGGATGGCTCGTTATCTCTTGGAAAGAGTTGCCGAAGACTTTGGTATTGCCGTCTCTATTCATCCCAAGCCTGTTGCTGGTGATTGGAATGGTGCTGGTTGCCACACCAACTTCTCGACCAAGGAGATGCGTGAAGAAGGTGGTATCAAGGCCATTGAGAAGGCTATTGCCAACATGGCCAAGCGTCACCTTGAACACATTGCCGTTTATGGCGAAGACAATGATCAGCGTTTGACGGGCCGTCATGAAACAGGCCATATCGGTACTTTCAACTATGGTGTTGCCAATCGTGGTGCCTCCATTCGTATTCCCCGTCACGTTGGCAAGGAAGGCAAGGGATACCTTGAAGACCGCCGCCCAGCTTCCAACATTGATCCTTACCGTGTCACTGGCATCATTGTTGAATCCACTTTCCTTCCTGAAAACTAAACATTTATATTTACTACAGTCATTCATCCACCCATTTATACACGCGGCCCCTCCCTTTCACATATCTATTTATCCGACAACCCATATATTGTACATAGCTTTACCGCATAAAGAGCCATACATTTGATTTTGCTTTTCACGTGCTGCTTATTTTTGGAACGTTGTATGATATTCTCGACTCATAGGTAAACAACGTAAATGATGTGCTTTTATGTTTGTGCATGTGTGTGTAGAGGCTAAACCTATCAGTGACTATGGAAACAGCTTGGCACGGAATACGTATGGCTGTGTTGTGGCTGCTGTGTATGTTTAGTGGGGATCGAAGGGTAACAAAGCCCTTTGTGTCACTTTAATTGCGCACTATAACTTATAGTCCTGCATGATGCTTTTGCAGTAGCTCCCCTTTTTCCTTTCTTTCCCCTTTTCAACTACAACAACAACAACAACAACCATGCTGCGGCGGTTTTCTCGTCTCCTTTTGGGTGTCTTTTCTTTGATCATTTTGTGTGTGCTATCGGTAGCTCTACTTCAAAATCGCTCTTCACTCTATAATCTGCAACATGCAACAACGTCCACCAACGATGTAGATCCCGATACGTCACAGCCGAACCAACAAACACCGTCATCTGAGCAATTTTTATCCTATCGTCGGATTGGGTGAGTACGAACATGATGAAAAAGGGAAACGATGACTAACTTTGTATATGATAGTGGTGATTTCTTTCAGCAGTGGGATGCATTGCGTGCGGGTGCACGACTTGCATACGAATCTAATCGTACTTTGTTGGCACCACCCCTGCACCTAAGCATGGAAAATGATCCCGAATCACAGCAATGGATCCAAATCCCATGGTCAATGATATACAATGTACAACCCATCAAAGACAAATATGGTATCCGGATTATAGATGAGCATGACGACAACAACGATGAATCGATACCACCGCCACCACCAGCACAGCTGGTTCAAATGCAAAGCACGTCACCAGAAACATGGTCGAACCGCCTAAGTCAATGGTTGTTTCGGACACAACAACAAGCGTCGTCATCCTCCAATCACCATGACAACGACGATGATGATGATGAGGATACCACAACCACCAATGGATTACCTCCTTTACAAGTACCCCATCTGCAAGATTTTGTGGCGTTGAAAAATATGCCGCATGCGCGTTTTGGCCAAGGCATGTCCTATCTTGTATACAGGCGAGAGTTCTTATCGGAAGCACAAAGGCGACTAGATCATGCGCTGCATAGCGATTTGTTGCTGCGACCTGATGGTTTGCAACCTATTACGCTGGCAGCGAATCAAATTATACATACACTTGGGGGCTCTCGTCATTATGATGGACTTAATATCCGCTTTGCCGAATACAACAATGTCACCATGAATGACAATGACGACGACGAAGACGATGAAGAAGAAGGAGAAGGAGAGGATTTAAAACTCTTGGAAACCAACAATGAGACATCTTTGGATGATGATGTGATCCTCGAATTATTGAGTGGGTTACCAATCAACCTTGCTGTATCAGCTGCATTGCCTGTACAAGCATCCACACGTTTGGCCACTGTGATGAACCAAGCTACTCCACCTTCCAAGGAAGCACTCTTGAGCGCTTGTATCGATTACAGACGCAATACGGATAATCGTTTCCCAGTCTTTTACCTTGTCACCGACATCGATCCTGTCGATCAACCAGACATGTTTTTGCCTTTTTATCGCTTATTCCCATGCACCTTCACAAAGCACGATCTCAGGCATCATTTGAGCGTGGACATTCCATCCTTGATCAACCCATACATTTCGGCTCGTGGTGATGCAACAACCAAGGACGACATCCTAGCATTACTACAACCCATTGTTGATATCATCGTGGCTGGTAGAGGTAATTCTTTGTGTGATGGCTTTTTTGAAAAAGGATAAAATTGGCTGATTAACGGCTGTTTACCTACATGCATTAACAGGATACTCATATTTGGAGCTGCCACCTTCTGGGAAATCAAACATTGTTGGCTTACTCCAGAAGATTCGTTATCAGAAATGATTGCTGCATCATCACATTGCCATGTAAAATAAAAGCACCACCACCCATCGTACATATTGATTCCCAAAACATTCATTATGATCCATGACAATGACCCTTTCCTAAAGTAGGCAGCTGCCCATTTCCTTTGACACGCACATTTATTGACAGCTTTTGTGTGACAAAGCTCTTTTATTTTCTTCCCTCTTCTTTTACCGTAAAATCGAAGCTGTTGATGATTTCATATAGCTGAAAAGAGGACATTCTACGCATGCACAATGAGACGTCATTGCCGATCCATACCTGTTTTGCAGCACTACAAAATGTTCCAGATCAATAGATACAGGCTTCATGCATGGTCGGAAAATGTTGGCTGAGATCGAAGGAAAGGGAGCCTAAGCATGATGAGGGGGTGGAGAGAGACATGGTACTACCATGCACCTTTTATCTTGCATCCTCACGAATATTGATTACATGCCCAATTACTAATAGACATGATAAGGCACAGTAGTAGTTGCTTGCTTAGCATGAAAATCATCGGCGTGATGATGATGGCAAATGGGAAATGGGAGTTGTGGCGCTGTTGCTAGGCGGCAACACGACGCTGTCCCATCTTTCGCCTCTTGTTGTTGTTGTCCCATAGCAACAAAAGCGACGAGCAATGACGATGGTCACATTCATTAAATAGATCCATCATGCCATATCCATTCTATTCCATTTGGATAAATGACGATTGGAAGAGGATGTAGTTGGTCCAGAAGAGAGAGAGTTTGTTATTGATAATACTGCTTACGCCTTTTTAGGAGAAAAGCGTCTGCCCATATATGGGAGGTCGCGCAAAAACAAAGAGCAACGTAGCACTTTTTGACGCAAATGTAACCCTCACATGTCTGCTGTATGTGATTGGAATATTGCCATCCGCCCTTTGCACGTTTTTTCTGTTGTTCTCTATCTCCTGGTAGGTACATAGTGTGTGTGTGTGCTTTCGCGCCGGAGCAAAATGATCTTTTTTGTGTATCATCCCTGGCCTCCCTCTTTCATCAATATTACATACGTCCCCTCCTCCTTATTACTGGCATCAGTGGTTTCTATTGATAGGAGTTGCGTAATAAATGTGTATGAGAGTAGCTTTTTATATTGGATTGGATCCTTCTTTCTTCATCAACGAGAGAAAGATAGGCCGTTTCTCTCCTTCTTGTATGCTCAGTCCAAGCGAAAATATATTCCATGTTGATCATAATCGTATTGACCGGATCCATTCACCAATCATGTGGGCTTTTCACATTGCTGCTTTTGTGTTGTGGTTGAAAAACGCCATTCATCATGCCTGATGCTGCTGCGGCTGGCTCTTCTACTACTGTAAAACGATGATTAAGCTTTAAAGCGTAACTTTTTAAGAGGGCGAGTGGGTTTGGGGGGCGGATAAAGAAGCGGAAGAGTGTATCCGCGTGTGCGTCAATGATCGTGCCGCATGTGTACTACACCACAGTTGCCATGACCACTGTGCAACCCGAATCATTAAACACCAATGTATGTGTGTGCACAGCACGGACACGTATTTTTAGACATTGTTCAACATTGGCCATTGATGTGTGTGTCAAGTGATGATGTTGTTGTGAATCCTCGGCTTGGCTCTCCATTGTCATTCATCATGATGCTTTTTTGATGGATGTAAAGAAAAAATAACAAACCATGAATAGGCTTTTTGTTTGTTGGCAAAAGAAGGTGGCGTGTGTATACAAGCGATACCGTTGGTTGGTATTGCAAAAAAAAGTGATCAGCTCTTTTGATGTTCTCTCTCCTCCTTCACCCCAGCCCACTATTATGATGATGGTTCATGTTCATATATACATGACGACGTGTTGGTCTCTCTCTCTCTCCTCCCCCCTTTTGGTTTCTCGTCTGGTCTACCCCTTGCATATTTAGCCTCCCCTCTTTCTTTCTCTATTTCCAATTCTCGTTTTCACTCTCTTTTTTCTTTCACGTCTCATTTTCACTCATTTGTGCTTTACCTCCTTCAATCATTTTCTTTTCTTTTTTCTTTCACTCACTTTTGTTGTAATACCATCATCTTTCCCTCCCTCTTGACATATCCATCATACGCATTATTGACACACACACATGCCAGAATCAACCATCGGAAACGACGACTTTACAACTATTCCACCGACAGAGCAGCAGCAGCAGCATCAGAATGATGATGATCCTTGTAAGAAGTTGGCAGAGCAACAACCACCCCAACCAACGAGAAGAATGAGACGACCCAGAGGAATGTCACAATCATTGCACTCGTACATTGATCATAATCGACCCTCGATTCTGCGGGCAGAGACAACGGATGATAATTTATTTGATCGCCTTCAGGAACAAAATGCACGTCTTCCTCCTCAGGTACCAAATTGGGATTCAACGCCGTGATGATGTGTGGTGCATGCGCGCGCGCCTCTTTTTGTGATCACTCACGTCCATTTATGTGTTGCAGGAATCGACCACGTTTATCCTTGCCCAAATCGAGCGTCAAAACAACTTGCTTGAAAAAGATCCAAAGGCACTCAGTTTGCAATCTAACCATTTGGTGGGCGATGAGACAACTGTACAGCAATTGGTCACCGACAATGTCAATGCAAAGCAGCAGCAGCAGCAGCAGCAGCCATCAACCACACCACCAATGACACCTACACGTTGCCGTGTATCAGGAGAAGATGATATCGACTGGGACTTTTGGGAAGCTGTGATCCAAGACTTTGATCGAGTCGCCATAAGGATGCCCCACTTGTTATCTGTCAAACTACGAGGAGGCGTTCCTACTCCATTACGAGGATTGATATGGCAAGCCATGTGCAAGTCTGGTTCATTACACTTGGAAACGGTTTATGGTCAGCTATGCAACGAGCAATCACCTTATGAGCGTGTCATCCAACGTGATCTGACACGGACATTTCCATGCATTGACATGTTCAAGCAAGAAGGTGGAGAAGGTCAACTTGCCATGCGTCGCATTCTAGAAGCCTATAGCCTTTATGATCCGGATGTGGGTTATTGCCAAGGTCTTGCCTTTGTCGTCGGCCCATTGCTCATGCATGTACGTGACCTACATCACATGATTTTGTGAAACATTCACTAATACTTGTATATCGTAGATGCCCGAAGTTCAAGCTTTTTGTGTGTTTGTACGCCTCATGGAAACGTATGAAATGCGCCCCATGTTTACACACAAGATGGAAGGCTTGCAGTTGCGATTATATCAGTTCTCATGCTTGCTCAAGGAACATTTACCCGATTTGGCTGCCCACATGGAAGCGCATGGTGTGCATGCTGCCATGTACGCATCCCAATGGTTCCTCACCTTATTTGCCTATGGATTCCCATTGCCATTGGTGGAACGTATCTACGACATTGTGTTTGCTGAAGGTGCTGCTGAGACGATCATGCGTGTCGCCATTGCTATGCTACGACGTGCTGAACCACGTATCCTTCAGGAGACAGAATTTGAAGACTTGCTCGATCATGTTACATCTCATCGATTATGCGACTCGTATGACAATCATGCCGATGTTATTGAAGATGCCACTGCTTTATCAAGTACCATCACACGCGAAAAGATGGATGAGCTTGCTGAGCAATACCAACTCAATGGCGTGGATGATGACAACAATGTAGTGCTTCCACAATCATCATCAGGCACCAACAATGGCAACAATAGTCGATTCAGCTTCTTTTGGAGACGTAGCAAAAAGTCATCGGTTGTAAACAAGAAACAAGAGCAATTGAGACGATCGGCAAGTAGCAGCAATAGCATCAAGAAACGATGGTCATCGGCTGTCACATCGCCACCTTCATCAACATCACCTGATAGTGTGGGAGGCCGTGCTAGTTTCAGCTCCGTAAGAAGCTTTTCATCGTCATCGTTTATGATGGTGGATCCATCACCGCCCTCGTCTTTGACGTCATCTGGATCAGCCAGCAGCAAGTATGTGACGCTTGAACAGCATGAAGAAGAAATACAGCGATTATCATGGACATTGGCACAACTCAACACCAAGCATCAGCAAACAATTGATGAGCTTGTGGAACTCAAAATGGATAAACAAGATGTCGAGAGTGAAAGAGATGCCTTAAAGATTACGGTACGAGCGCTTGAAAAGGCAATTCGTCAAGGCAATGGCAGTGGACGTTTATCAACATCAGCATCCAATCGTCGAAGATCATCATCATCACCAGAACATGGCAACATGCATAAAGATTTGGAGGAGGATGACAGTGACAGCATGCATAGCTTATCATCACCTGATGGCTGTTTCTCTGATGCCACTAGTCAAAGCGTTGCCACGACAATGGCGAGCTGCAGCAACGAGCACGATGGCAACAATAACCATGGCAACAGTGGTGGTGGTATGGATCTGCGATCGGAGCTTGTGCGAATCAAGGTGGAGAATTTTGAGCTACAGCAACAATGCGAGAAGCTTACTCAAGAAGTTGAGGACGTGCAATCCAAATTGGATATGGTGAACGAGGGACAAATGGCATTGGTGGACAAGATGATTACAACCAAAGCTGATATGGACGAAGTGCTCAAGGAAAAGAAAGCCAAGGACCTTGAATGGATAGAAGCAACCCAAGAAAACAACGTCTTGAAAAAAGAGTTGGCCCATGTCAAGCAACAATTGGCCCAAGCGCAGATGCAGGATAACGAAGCCACGTGCAGCAAACTCCACAGGATACGCGAACTCGAGCGCGCCTTGGCTGAAGCCAAATTGCAGTTGGTCGAATATGAAACTGGCATGGTGGAATATAAACGTCGTACAACCATTGATTATGCACCACCTTCATCATCTGATATTAAGAACCGAACTGGCGTGGATATGCGCCGTGCATCAATGCAACATCCACCACATCCACCACCACCATCATCATCCTCTTCTTCAATGACACGTTCATCTTCCATCTATGGCAGAATGTGGCATGCAATCACACCTCGACAATCAACAACTATTGAAGCTGATTCTTTATCAAGCGATCAATGAATTGTACAAAACATCATCACCACCTAGTATATATATATAGTCTTCTTGTTATTATCAACTTTTATCTACTGCATTAAATTCTCATTCATTTGCTCCTTTGTGCATCTGCTCACACGCACACACACACACGTACGCACGCAAGCACATTTGTACATTTCCCGCTTTTTGGCGGGAAAAAGAACGACAGGGTTAAAAGCGCGATTGATGAGCATAATGATTCTGTGTTACAAAGAAGCATGGGTGGTGCCTCGCCATTGGCTATAAAAAGAACGTGCTTTTAGCTGCATTGTAATAAAGCTGAGATGAGGATACTATTATTCTAGCATGGTGTTTGTAATGGGAAACATGGGGTTTATTCATTGATTGATAAGGGGAAAAGAAGAATACATGGAGGCAAGTTTAGTGATTGAGTATGTTGTATTATGAGAGATTGATGATGGTGTGAAATTGAAACATACGAGCATTGTTACGAGAATCTTCTCCCTGGCTGTCATTGGGTGACCAATGGCGACACGCCAAGCCAAAGTCATTCTAACTGGATGATTTTCCATTTGCCACGTCAAGAAAGGACACGAATTTAAATACCACCATTCCTCGTTCTTTGGCTACCTCTTGCTTGTTCCTTTTTCCACACTTGTTTCCTTTTCTCTCTTTCTCTTCATTGCTATCATGAAAATCCCCACCATTGCTGCTGTCTTGGGTTTGGCTGCCTTGACTTCTGCCGAAGTGTACCTCCACGAGACCTTCTCTGATGGCGAAGGCTGGAAGGATCGCTGGACCGTATCCGAACATCGCGAAGATCTAGGCAAGATGGCCGTGTCCACTGGTGAATGGTATGCCGATGAGAACAAGAGTGCTGGTTTGCGTACCACCGAAGATTATCGTTTCTACGCTCTCTCGACCCCTGTCAAGCCTTTCAACACCAAGGGCAAGGATCTTGTCATCCAATATGATGTCAAGAACGACCAAAACATTGATTGTGGTGGTAGCTATCTTAAGGTAAACTAAGCATATGATTGTATATGGAATGGGTTATATTAATCTATGTGTGATTAGGTGTTCTCGGACTCCTTGGAACCCAAAAACTTCCATGGTGAAAGCGAATACAACATCATGTTTGGTCCTGATTATTGTGGCAGCAAAGCTATGGTCCATGCTATTCTCAACTACAAGGGCGTCAACCATGACTTGAAAAAGACCGTATCAGCACCCAAGGATCTTCACACTCACACCTACACTCTTGTCATCAAGCCTGATCAAACTTACCAAGTTCTTGTTGATGGTGAAGAAAAGGCTGCTGGCAACCTCATTGATGACTGGAGCTTCTTGCCACCAAAGAAGATCAAGGATCCCAATGCAAAGAAGCCTGAAGATTGGGTCGATGAAGCTGAGATTGATGATCCCGAGGATAAGAAGCCTGAAGGTTATGATGACATCCCCGAATTTATTCCTGATCCCGAAGCTACCAAGCCAGAGGATTGGGATGATGACATGGATGGTGATTGGGAAGCTCCTTCGTAAGTGATAAAGTGAATGAAGGTGTGTCACATTTTAAGATAAGCTAACCACGGCATGTACATAGTATTCCAAACCCTGATTACCAAGGTCCATGGAAGGCTAAGCGTATCCCCAACCCTGACTACAAGGGCCCATGGGAACATCCCGAGATTGATAACCCCGAGTACAAGGTTGACAATGAGATTTACGTCTACGATATCAACAACATTGGTTTTGATCTCTGGCAGGTCAAGTCCGGTACCAGCTTTGACAACATTTTGGTGACCGATGATGTCGATTATGCCGAGAAGGTTCGCAACGAATCTCTTGAGCTTGCTGAGAAGGAGAAGGAAGCAAAGAAGGCATTTGACGAGAAGCCCAAGGAAGGTGAAGAGAAGAAGGAATTCGTTGAAGAAGAAGATAAGGATGAGGAGATCACCATTGACCTTGACGCTGAGGAGGAGGAACCCAAGAAGGTTGAGGATGAGGAAAAGGAAGATGCCGAGGATGCCAAGAAGCCCGTCAAGGATGAGCTGTAAACGATCCCCTTCCACGCTTTCAACCTATTCACCATGATCCCTTTTGATTCTGCATTACAAATTTGTCTTCATACCGCCAATTCCCATATCAACGCACTCACACACACCCCTCTCATGACACCATAATCATCATTTGCTCTCGCCCCACCTTTTTTTTTTCTTCCGACACACTTTTCACTCACACTCACATAACACAAATCGAATGTAATATCTACCCAACCCACATCTGCGTACACAGACTGAAAAAGAAAGAAAATGGTTAATCTATTTCCAGAACCCTTGTTATCAAATGCTGTGTTGTTTATTACGGTGAAACCTGTGTATCAGGTACATTTTCCTATAGCTGGTTTCTCCTAAAGAGAAACACTTTAAATAAGTCGGAAGAGACATACATGCAAACAAACACTTTTTTTCAATCCAACAAACAAACAAGACACATGGACCAAGAAAAACAACTACATCCACCAGCACCAGATCAGGCGTTAGAGCAAGTAGCACGAGAACAAGCAAGAAGCAAGCGTACATCATACGTGATCAAAGGATGCACCATTGCATTGCTCTTGGTAATAATCGCTGCATTGGTCGCCTTGCCACAAATGTTTGGTGGATCCACGAACAATGATGACAATAACAATCGACATCATGACAACACGGCATCGTCACCGCCGCCTCCTCCACCACCGCCTGTACCCTCTCCACATCCCAGTGGCCCTAATACTACCATCATTCGAGATACACGATTACATCAATCATTCTATGGCATGGACTATACACCTCATGGCAGTCAGTATTATGAAGGATGTGGTGTGACCTTGGATGCTGTATTGGAAGACATCAAGATCATGAGCCAATTGACAACACGCGTACGGCTATATGGTATGGATTGTGATCAAGCAGGATTGGTAGTACAAGCGATCAAGCTCTTGCGTGTGGATATGGGCGTGATGTTGACGTTATGGGTCGATGGTAATTCGACCACGTATCAACGTCAATACAACACATTTTGGAAATTCCTGCAAGACCATGGTGCTGATCATGTGCTGGGTGTCTCTGTTGGCAATGAAGCCGTGTATCGACGTCAAATGGAGGCATCTGATTTGATCACATTAATGCAAGATGTCAAGCAACGATTGAAATCAATGGGGCTAGAGCAAATTCCTGTATTTACAACCGAGATTCGAGATTTGAAACATTTGATTCCTCATGAAGATGCTGTACTTGATAATGTACATCCATTCTTTGCTGGTACACGTCCCGAGGATGCAGCTGATTGGACATGGCAATACTTTTATGATGTGGATCAGTACCCTACCCTGATCGATGCCAAAGGAAGGATGCAAGAAACACAAGCCAAACCTGCCATCATTTCCGAAATTGGATGGCCCACAGAACCAGCAGCCCATCGTGTCAAGGGAGCTGTACCATCCATAGCCAACCAGCAAACATTACTGGATACTTTTGTATGTCAAGCCAACCAACGACAACTTCCCTATTATTGGTTCGAGTTCAAGGATCAACCTTGGAAGGCGGCTTTATTTAACGAGACACGAGAATCCTATTGGGGTCTCTTTGATAAGGATCTCAATCTCAAGCCATCACGCATACCCAAGTGCAATCATAACGTACATTCTTGGCAAAAGGGCAAATACACGGTCCCCCAACCAGCACCTCTCCCTGACAAGTCATCATCCAAAAGCACTCCTTAATAAACAACCTTATCATTTAATTACGTAATAAACTATTTCTACGCTTCATTTTGCATATACCTTGCCGTAGTGTCTTAATCATATACATAAGAATGGAAGGCTTTCGTTCAAGACATAATATGGATCAGTCAGATCCTTTCCTTTATCATAGCATTCACAAATGGATACACTTTTACAATCCTGTATTTGCCCATCGCAAACATAGATCTTTCCTTAATACAACGCATGAAGAGTACAGCTCAAGAAGGAATACCGTATTCATGAAAACAACCCTTTAATCCAACGTCAGTCATAGGAGATAGATTGAGAGGTACAACGAATTGCTCCAATGGGGGTAGGTACATTGATTTGAAACGTCTCTATCCTTTGGGCGTGCATGGTACAAATGTGAACGGATGGTGTTTGATGCGTGATGGCGAATCATATGGATGTCGGTCAAATTGGATGGTGATGCGTGGTTGTACATGGTTGACAGGTTGCACGAAGGATGATCATAGTAGCTGCCGTGGAATAAGGTGTAAAGTAAACAATAGGATGGTACCAAGCGTTCAGGATGATAGCACAGCATCAAGGTCAAATTGACAAAAGATACATAAGAACAAAGACTCTCTTCCCACACATGGTGTATATCCATACCCTTCCGTCCCATGTACCAAACCAATATCCATATCCATATCCATATCCATAGCAAGTCGTGTGTATTGAAAGCAAGTTGTTACACGTAAATAAAGCTGCTTCTATATGATGGCTATCTGCTGTCCACTTGAAAAGGCTGCAAGCAAATAACACTGTTCGAGACAATGACATAAAGACATTCGTGATAGCAGCTGCTGCTGTAACGTTTGGTCGTGGGCAGTGGAGTGTGCAAAAGAGCGTGTATTGTAGTAGAATGACAAGGTTGCGAATGCTGTTTTACACAAGCAATAAGGACCTTGCTAATGGCAGCTGCTATTACGATTGGTTGTGGCAGACGAGTGTGCAAGAGCGTGTGTTGTGTCAAGAGACTCGTGTGTTGTGGAAGAGCGACATGAAGGTTGTGTACACGCCATGGACTTGCCATCCAGTCAAAGACAATCGGATCAAGGCAACTGTAGGATTGACATGATGGGTTGAAGCAGGACAATCGTTCGCATGGTGGTAGTTGTATACTTGAATGGACCAACCGTTGAGAATGGGAGGAAGAGGGAGTGGAAGAGGTGGAATTAAAGTAGGCTGAGCTGTAGGACGCCTCTTGTATAAATGCATGAACACTGTACATCAATCCTTGATATTGAGATTGCCCCTCTCGAACCTGAAACTTTGACACAAGGTGCTCTTGGGCATGCTGATCCACATGGTTTTAAAAAGACATCATGTACATTTGAAAAATTGGAATGGGAGGGTACAATGTGGGGTTTACTATGTAAGTCGGAAATGCAGGTCAGCCCCAGATCCATGATTTATCGAAACAACATACATTACCTTGGGATTCCCCATTTCGAACTTGAAACTCTGTCAGGAGATTCGCTGAGACATGTTGATCAACCTCATTCATTTTGAATTTGCAGACTTCATTGTGAAGATTTAAAATACGGGGCGGCCCAAATGGTAGTTGATGGGAACAAAAGAGCGGACGGCCCACCGCCCCGAAGTTGCCCACCTCCAACTTGAAAATTGGTCAGAAGGGTGCTCTCGAGCATGCTGATCAACATTTTCTAATAACAACCTCACGCTTCATTCGAAGATTTTGAATGGGAGCGTCCAAAAGTTTGAAAGACGGAGACATTCGCAGGGTCTGTCTTTCATTTATTTTCACGTTGGCTGTTTTGGCGTAGCTCAGTCAAATCAGCTTGGATCAAGACACTTGAATCATGGAAATGCTCGGCTGGTGCAGGAGCATCATTCCACTGTCACACAATGAATAAAAGTTGGGATTGGGAGGAAGTGGCTGTTAGCTGGCAATACATGATAATGCATAAAGGATCATACATTGACCATTCCAATCATGCAAAGTAGCTGAGTTACACAAAGAGGTCCCTCTGCATCTTTTGCTCTGCCAGGGTCCACCTACTTGACAATGAACAAAGACCACTCTTCATATAACATCACGCTTACAAACATAAAGGTGCCTGTATCTCCAAACTTTGCAATGAAACGTGGGGTTTTTATTAGAGCAATGTGCTCGGCTTGGCCAACAGCACCTTGTGTGAAAGTTTCGCGTTCAATCTCGCAAACAGCCCAAAAAATATTTTTTTGGTCGTCGTCGTCGAAGAGGTCGACCTCCAGATCCAGTTTGGCTGGTAGCGACATTGCGAAATCTGGGATTGGCAAGCTTGATCGTGAAACAACTACACAAGATTCCTTTGACCCCGCCGAGCACATTGCTCTATCAAAGACCTCACGTTTCATTGTAAAGTTAGGAGATACAGGCACCTTTCTGTTTGTAAGCGTGATGCTATATGAGAAGTGGTCTTTGTTCATTGCCAAGTAGCTAGACCCTGGAGAGCCAAAGATGCAGAAGGACTTCTTTGGGTAACTCAGCTAAACAGTCAGGTCTTCAGGAACAATGCACGACAGGTACGCAACCCTCATTTTCATGTCATACATTGGCAGCTAATAGCCACTTCTGTGCATTCCCAACTTTTGTGCATTCTATTGCATGGGAACGATGCTCCTGCTCTAGACATTCATTTCCATGATTAAAGTAGGTTGATCCAAGCTGATTTGGTTGAGTTACGCTCACACAAGATTACAGCGGTTGAGCTACATCGAGCGTGCTTTATGTCCAGAGTGATGTAATCTCTCTTTGACCACAGCTCAGTCAAATCAGCTCGGATCAACCTACTTTAATCATGGAAATGAATGTCTAGAGCAGGAGCATCGTTCCCATGCAGTGGATCTCGCAACAATGATGATTGGATAAAAGTGGCCGTTAGCTAGCAATACATGCCTGTTCCTAGATGATCCATAAAGTAATTATACATTGACCCTTTCATTCATGCAAACGTAGCTGTGTTACACAACACGACCCTCTGCATCTTTTGCTCTGCCAGGGTCCACCTACTTTACATTAAACAAAGACCACTTCTCATATAGCATTACGCTTACAAAGATAAAGGTGACTGTATCTCCAAAATCTACAATGAAACGTGGGGTTTTGAATAGAGCAATGGGCTCGGCTTGGCCAACAGCACCTTGTGTGAAAGTTTCACGTTCAATGTCGCAACTAGCCCAAAAAATATTTTTTTGGTCGTCGTCGTCGAAGAGGTCGACCCCCATATCTAGTTTGGCTGGTAGCGACATTGCGAAATCTGGGATTGGCAACCTTGATCGTGAAACTGGCACCCAAGGTGCAGTTGGCCAAGCCGAGCCCATTGCTCTAAGAAAAACCCCACGTTTCATTGTAAAGTTTGGAGATACAGGCACCTATATGTTTGTAAGCGTGATGCTATATGAAGAGTGGTCTTTGTTCATTGTCAAGTAGGTGGACCCTGGCAGAGCAAAAGATGCAGAGGGCGTGTTTGTGTAACTTGAGTCATTCAGCACAGGCGATGCATGATTCTTGTACACTATTTAGGAATAGTTCAAAATGCCAGCTAATAACCTTAGTCCTCCCATTCTCCATTGTTGTCCAATCCAATGCATACGAACGATTGTCCTGCTCCAGCCCAGCATGCCTATCATTCAACTTTCTTGATCCGATGAGATTTGACTGAAAAACGCTCAAACACAGAAACATCATCCAATATCAGAAGAATCAAATTGGTAAGTTATTTGTAACCTGCCACTTGATAGCCCATTCCCCCCAATCACCTTTGTTTCCCAATCCAATGCATGTGAACGATTGTCCTGCTCCAGCCCAGCATGCCCATCATTTAACTTTCTTGATTCGAGGTAACCTGGTATTAAGGTAATGGCTGTTGTTGGATCATCATTATCATGTAAAGTGTAAAATGGCACATACCCTTCGTGAGGATCATAGCTTTTATTTACGTGTACCTATTGTCTATTACGAGGATGATGGTGGGTGGATGGTGTGTGTGGGATCATTGAGTGGCCTCAGTGTAACAGCAGTAGGGGGATTTAAACTTGGGGGACAGCAGCTCCACGACTTGAGACAATGTTTCTCTTCTTTTTCTCCCACCTTTCCTTATTCCATTCACGACTTCTCGATCAAGGTAATGTATTATAGAAGAGTGCTCTTGTTGGCTGTGAGGTGTTAATGTAGTTCTGAACTTGCATTGTCAGGGAGTGAGTGTATCCAAATGCTGAGGAATGGAGCATGGTTGGTGGTTGGTGGTTGCCATGGCGATATTGTTGTTTCCTTTTGCTCGTTGCTATTCCCGCTCTACGCTTGGTGTCAACAGGTACATTCAGAGTCCAATGTTGCAGCCGAACTGGTTCCATTGACGTGTTAGCTAATATAGAGAGCAAGTTTGGTTTCAAGACGTTGGCTGGTTTGGCGTTCTGTTTCGGCTCAACTATACTACACCATGGTTTTCGGTTTCCAGTAACCAACAACAACGGGTCTTTGTGTATATGGAAAAGGCAAGTACAATGAAACAAACAATGAAAAGAGTGTTCATTGTGCGTATGCTAATAATGAATTGAATAGGTTTCTTTGGTCAGGCAATGCAACTTGGGGGCATCATCATCATCTCTTTGTGTTCAAGTCCCAACCTGTATCAAGTGGTCGCTGCGTCGCTCTGCACTAGCCAAGTGTGCTGGAAATGCTTCTTGGAACGCGTCCAGGGCTCTATAAGCCTGCGTTGAGTTGAGGATGGGTCGATGACGATGGATTTTTGGAAGAGCATGGTCACCGTGTTGAGGTAAAAGGGGATTTACAACAGCTTGTGAATGTGTTGAACCAACACGCTCTTCTCGTGATAGGCTTGTTCTTTTCCTTGAGGATTTCTTTTCATGAGGTGGGATAATGATTGGAAGGATCGGGGTCATTCTTTCTTTGGAGAGGATGAATGAGGACAACTATGAGCCTGGACTCTACGTAAGTGATGTCCTTCCTTGCCATGGATCGAACTGGCCTTGCGTGATTCGTGCAGTGCTCTCTCAAGAACAAGGGATCGCCCGACGTTGCTCGTATGGTGGGTGATTTGATTTGTGAATTCCTTCTGATTTGCTTTCTTCCTTAGAGAGGATCGCCAAACGGTACACCAAATCATCATCATTCCCGGTATCAGATGGTTGGTCTAACTTGCCTCCTTTCTTATTTATAGAGATGACGATTACGATGATTACCACATTCACAACAACGACATTCAAAAGGAAGCCTGCAAGATCCCATTCTTATCTACTTGCGTGTTTTGGATATTGGTGACGAGCAGATTGACGACTGTAGACAAGTACGAGTACGAATACGAATGATGATGGACGACGACTACAACGATGGTGGTGGCAAATGTAGCAAGATAGCAAGATAGCTAAATGAAATAAAGCATTGCTTATTTATTACACGTTTGGACTTTGCTAGCTTGTGGATCACATAATACTATTGCTTCGAAGATGGAATAATAAAGGTGGACCTGCTATCGGTCATGCAAGAAGTGTATATGGCTTTTATGATACAATAAGGAGGAGCGGGATGACCTTGAGAAGCGAAAAATGAAGTGATCCCTCCATTGAGTTTCAGGATGAGTGACCCATCAATCAATCAATGTATCTTATTTGAATTTGGGTTTACGTATATCAATGTTGGAAAGGCAACAAGGGATTTGGAATAAGTGGCAGGTTTATGTTTGTAGGGGTAGAAGTCGTGGAGTTTGTACTGGTTAAATCCTTCATCGATTTCCTTGAATTAACTTTGTGTCTATCCCTCTTTTCTTGACTCCTTGCTTTTATACTTGTACATAGTTCCACATAGCAATCGAGAAGGGCCAAAGTGTCTCTAATTCCATGGCGTGTAATCTCGTCATTTGTTGTTGGAAACCAAGCATTTTTCAAGGAATCAAGGACGTATAATCCAGGACCTGGCATGTGCATTGAATACAGTGATACCTCGTAGCCGGTGATTAAAATGAAAGGATAGATTATGGAGGGTATGTCGGTCAATGAAATATCGTTGCATTCGAGGAGTTGGTTCAAATGTGCTTTCGCAGCAAGGATTGTCTTGAGTTTGTCTTTGTAATACTTGTGGCGAAAGACCTCAGCAGCAACCTCACCGCAGCCATAATCGGGTATGTTGATAACAGCAATATGTATCCGTTAGACGCAAGTTCATCTTCAAGCGTAACCCGGAAGCAGTAACAACGTTTGAAACTGGCAAGCACGTATGTCACCTACAAAGGAGTCCCAAATTTCCCATCAGATTGGGGTTGCCTTTTGCCTACAAATGTACAAGACATCCTTTTACAACGTGTATCAATATACAGATGATTTTTATACCTACCACAAGGGGCCCATCAAGGAACACTGCCAAATGTCATTAGGCACCAATGAGCACTTCAAGTGGTAAAGCAATGATGTGAGCTACATAGGTGGATGCATGAGTATCCTCATTTTGGGGATCATATAAAGACTATCCTTGAGACTTACCAGAGGCCATCGATGATGATATGAATACAAGTAGAAAGAAAGGGTGTTTGATAATGTTGGTGAGAACAGCCTTGTTTATATGTGTGAGTGGGCGTGGGAGTTGTTGTCATGATTGATCGATTGATAAAGTGGTCAAGCATCTTGGAGTACCGAGTCGAAGTGATGGAAAATAACACCTGATAAATCCACTGCGTCTTGAAAAGTGATATTTGTAGGTGACGTAAGTATGTCCATAGCTCACTCTTCTTGAGCATAATGAAGTAAGCTTACAACGAGCCAAGATCATGTAGCTCAAGCACTATGCATGTTGGGCAGCATCACTCTCAAATTGATCAACTTTGGTTTGAGAACTGCTACTTCCTTTTCGTTTATGTATCAGCTTGTGCTTTTATTATAGTATGTGGGATATTCAGCACGCTGCATGTCTTCTGGTGCATTGGGATTGCTATGGATGCAGCTGTCATTGGATGTCGACATGTTTTCGTGCGTATGGATATCATTGGTAAATAGCGATCCGTTCTCTTCTTCAACGCCTGCTAACCTCCTCTTTTATTATAGTATGTGGACTATTCAGCAAGCTACTTGTCTTCTGGTCCTTTGGAATTTTCATGGATGAAGCTGTCATTGGTAAATAGTGATCCGTTCTTTCTTTCAACGCCTACTAATCTGCTATATTATCTGACCTATTCAGCGAGCTATTAGTCTTGTGCCCTTTGGATTCCTGATGGGTGCTGCTATCATTGGATGTCGATAAGGTTTCATTCATATGGCTACCATTGGTAATTGATGATCCATTCGTTTCTACAACGCCTGCCAACCTCCGCTTTTATCTTAGCATGTGGGCTATTCATCACGCTACTTTTCGTTTGATTCTTTGGGATTTCATGGATGCTGCTGTCATTGGATGTCAACATCTTTTCGTGCATATGGCTATCATTGGTAAGTGATGATGTTCCGTTCTATACAACGCCTACCGACATTCCTCTTTTATTATAGTATGTGGGCTATTCAGCGAGCTACTTGTCTCTTGGTCCTTTGGGATTTTCATGAATGCAGCTATCATTGGATGTGAACATGTCTTCGTGCATACATGGCTATTATTGGTAAATAGTGTCGGTTATTTGTTCGAGGGCTAATACTCACATGAAACCTCGCATTGTCGTTATCGGTTCAAGTGCAAAGGATATTGTTAAGGCACACACTGTAACAAGCGGGGCGCCGTGGAGTGCACAAATCAGGAACAATGAAAGGAACGACCTTCTCCCACTCCCGCTTCACAACGATGCAAGGTAAGACCAACTCCATTTACACTCTCCACACCACTAACTTCTGGCATTGCCAACAATGCACACCGTCAATGGGCGAACAGGTGGCCAATGGCGACACATTCAGTTACAACAAGCACGTGCGCGATCTATCCATGACACAAGCTTCCATTCCAATACAACATGTAAGTTCAATCGCTGCAATCCTTTTATTCTTCATGTTGAACATTGTGGTACTAAAGTTCACGTGTAGGTTGGTCTTGTCTCGTCTATACAAGACCCAATGAGGCGTCGTATGCCTTCCTTACCGAGTTGTCCACAATGAGAGTTCTCAAGACGTCTTTACATTGCCTCTTTTGGGTATGCTGACAACAAAAGCGTGTGGGTTGGTTTTACTTGTTATCTCACATTGCGTTTATGGTAGGTTGAACATGTTGGATGATGTTACCTGTGGCAGCAACAAGTTACGGATCTCAAAGCAAGAATGCTGTATGGTTGGCTCAATGGTATGCGTGGTATTGGATTAGAAAGCGAAACCTATTAATTAACGACACTTACAGTGAAACAGCAGCAGCACCTACTGGATGGCATGGATATACGGTTTCTATTTGAGGCAAAGATGCTATTTAGAATACCACAAGGTAAGAGTGATCATTATGATGGGATTGATTGGATTCAAGTGAACTTACCAAGCGCCATACAGTGGCAGCGCCTCTTTCGGCGATACTATTATTATCAAGGCTGCACGTCAAGGATGTCATTGTATAGTACTGTGCTCTCCTGGGGAATTTTGGCCCGGAAACAGTGTGACTCAAGATGCGATGGCAAGGCCAATTTGAAAAGGCATCCGCTGTGCGCACGGCCTCCATCCAAGTACGGCTATTGATTTCCTTGCCTACAGAGAGAAGGTGGATATCTCTTATGATGCCAATTTCAGGATCCAATGAGAGTATGGTACATATGGTGGCATACCTTGGCGCTGCAGGTTGATTATTGTATTGCCTTCGGATGGTGTATTTGGTTGCAATTCCTTGTGATCACCATGGTTCAGGGCGTCGTGTGCCTTCCTTACCGAGTTGTCCACAATGAGAGTTCTCAAGACGTCTTTACATTGCTTCTTTTGCGTATGGTGACAACAAGCGTGTGGATTAGGTTTGCTTCTTATCTCACATTGCGTTTATGGTAGGTTGAACATGTTGGATGATGGTACCTCTGGCAGCAACAAGACATTGATCTCAAAGCAAGAATGTTGTATGGTTGGCTCAATGGTATGTATGGCATTGGATCTACAAAGCGAAACCTGTGAATTAACGAGACTTACAGTGAAACAGCAGCAAGACAATATGGATGACATGGAAATACGGCTTTATTTGAGGCAATGATGCTATTGAGAAATACCACAAGGTAAGAGATTCATTGTGGGATTGGTTGGATTCAAGTGGACTTACCAAACACCATACAGTGGCAGAGCCTCTTTCGGCGATACTATTATTATCAAGGCTGCACGTCAAGGACGTCATTGTATAGTACTGTGCTCTCCTGGGGAATTTTGGCCCGGAAACAGTGTGACTCAAGATGCGATGGCAAGGCCAATTTGAAAATGCATCCGCTGTGCACACGGCCTCCATCCAAGTACGGCTATTGATTTCCTTGCCTACAGAGAGAAGGTGGATATCTCTTATGATGCCAATTTCAGGATCCAATGAGAGTATGGTACATATGGTGGCATACCTTGGCGCTGCAGGTTGATTATTGTATTGCCTTCGGATGGTGTATTTGGTTGCAATTCCTTGTGATCACCATGGTTCAGGGCGTCGTATGCCTTCCTCACCGAGTTGTCCACAATGAGAGTTCTCAAGACGTCTTTACATTGCCTCTTTTGGGTATGCTGACAACAAAAGCGTGTGGGTTGGTTTTACTTGTTATCTCACATTGCGTTTATGGTAGGTGAACATGTTGGATGATGGTACCTCTGGCAGCAACAAGTTACGGATCTCAAAGCAAGAATGCACATATGGTCGGCTCAATGGTATGCATGGTGTTTGGATCTATTGCAGGACCGCCTTAATTATTAACCTTACCATAAAACAGCAGCAGCACACTGGATCGGATGGATACAAGGTTATTTACAACCATCAATGGAATGGTATTGAGAAATACACAAGGTAAGAGTTCATTGTGGGATTGATTGGATTCAAGTGGACTTACAAACCACCATACGAGTGGCAGAGCCTCTTTCGACGATACTATTATTATGCGGCTGCACGTCAAGGATGTCATTGTACTATACTTTCCTGTGGAGCTCTACATGCTGTGCCCGAGGACGATGCGATATTATTGCGGCCTTAAGGATTTAAAATGCATCTCTGTTCGCACGGCTCCATCGTTTTTACGGCTATTGATCTCATACGCACAGAAGATGGTATCTCTATTGATGCACTTCATCGCGTCGATCCACAGGAGATACGGGTACAATGATGTTTCTTTATTGTGCGCTTTGATTATTACTTTACATCCTGATGGCCTATTTGGTTCCAAGTCTGCGGAGTGATGATTGCGTGATTCAGGTATGTATGACACTCATGCTTTTGGGGGCGCCTTTGCTGAAACGCCTACCATTATTTAGAGGGACCATTGCAGAGAGCTGCTTGTCTTTTGGTGCTTTGACGTTTACAAGATCACAGCTATGAATTGCTAAGTATTGTTGGATTGGGATTGGGATGAAATTGTTTATGGTGCATCTTTTATAGGTGAATCATGTCAGTCATGGGGAAGCGTTTATGTCTTTTGGTGGTGTCAACCTTTATTGCGTCTCGGGTGGTTGGTTACCAGCAACGGGCGATTTTCTGAAGAGTGTCCGCCAATGAACGTCTTTTATGAGTGGATTGTATCAGCAACAAACAACAGCATTCATATCTTTGGTGCCATATCAACCCTCATCCTCATCCATCTGGTGCTTCCCATTGCCTGCAATTTGGTGAACCTCCTGAAACAAGATCCGCCATCGATCGATCATGTCAGCAACAAGGAGCAGGTTTATACCTTTGGCGTCAGCAAGCTTTTGATCATCTCGTGGTTACGATTATCGGCAATTCCTTTGATGGATCTCTACAACTATACGCGTCTTATGGATGGACCATGTCATCAACAAGCAATGAGAACCCGCGTTGACATCTTTGGTGTTACCAAGGTCATTTATGCATCTCCTCAAGGCATTCATCGTCAAGCTGCATTCGATTTCCAATGAAAAACGATTGCCATTCACATCGCTCTTTAGCCATATGTACATCACTCCACAGCTAAGGATCTGGTTTGGGCTTTTCGATGCACAATGCTTTCTCGATTTGCATGTGGTCTTGGGCAGCAAGGATTGTGATTGTCTCCTCTTTGTAAGGGCTCTTCGGCATCATGTGGACAGCCATCTCTACACGGTGGTATCAATATTACTCAATCTTCTCACTGCATATGCCCATAGAAATGTATCGTTCCATCGCTTTCAGACGAGTACCATAGCGGACGCCCATCAGCAAGCGGACGATTGCAAAGAATCGGCTTGATTTGGATATCAGCGTAGGTTCTGTGCATATGGCTATCATTGGTAAATAGAGGATGATCCGTTTTTTGGCTCCAATCCCAACCAACATCCTTTTTTATTATAGTGTGCGGACTATTCAGCAATCTACTTGTCTTCTGGTTCTTTGGGATTTTCGCGTTGTTGTCACTGAATGTCGACATGTTTTCGTGCGTATGGCTGTCATTGGTAAATAGTGGATGATCCAGTATTTTGAGCAATCCCAACCAACCCCCTCTTTTATTATAGTATGTGTGTGCTATTGTGACTACTTGTCTTCTGGTGCATTGGAATTTCATGCATGAAGCTGTCATTGGTAAATAATGATCCATTCTTTCTTTCAACGCCTACTAACACCCTCTTTCATGTGGGTTATTCAGCGAGCTACTTGTCTTGTTCCCTTTGGATTCTTAATGGATGCAGCTACCATTGGATATCGACAGGGTTTATTCATATGGCTTTCATTGGTAAATAGTGGGTCACCCGTTTTTTGGCTCCAATCCCAACCAACCCTCTCTTTTATTATAGTATGTGTGCTATTCAGCAAACTACTTGTATTTTGGGCCTTTGGAATATTCATGGATGCAGCTATCATTGCTAAATATCGTTCTATGGATTCGGGAAACTGTTTACCGTGCATCTTTTATAGGTGAATCATGTCAGGGTCAAAGAGCAACGTCGACAGCATCCTTCGATGTCAGCTGCCTTATTACATCAGTTCGATGGTTTCGTTACTGTACCACTATTGGACACTTCCTTTTATAAGCATCTGCAGCGGCAGGTCAACAAGTTCTATACCTTTTGGTGTCGCCAAGTGTTATCTCGTCTTATTGTGGTTCTAGTTGCTGTCAACCGCTTTCAATGGATATCCTGCTACGCATGCCTGTTATCGATGGATCATATCAGCTACAAGCAAGAAGCAGCAATGAGCAACAAGAGCCCACATCTTTAGTGTCAACAACATTTATTTGATCCTCTGGTGTTCTCGTTATTGGCCAATTGATTTCAAGAGCCCTCTTCACCGCACGTATCTTATGGATGTATCACATCAGCAACAAACAACAATGTTGCGTATCCTTTTGGTGCTGTCAAAGGTGTATCCATCTCTCATAGCATTCATCATCAAGTATACAACTTAAAGGAGAAACAGCTATCAGGATTGGTCACTGTGTCGGCATCTCTACAGCAAGGAAATGTGTTCTCGTACTGGGTAGCATCGAACATCTG